ATCTGTAACACGAACAAAAGTTCAAAGAAGAACCAATTGTGTTGCGTTAGAACCAACAAAATATTAAAGAAGGAACGTCCACGACATAATTTTATAATTATAGGCTGCTTTTTGATAAAATATTATTTTAAAACCGTTTTGGGGATCTAGTGATGAAATTGAAAGTGTCTTATGACTCCACAATTATTCACTTTTTGTTGGGAGGGGGGCTTCCCAAATTGTAATCAGGTCTCATCAATGTACCTAATTTTAAAGAAAATAAGAAAATAACTCAAAATGAACCCAAATCCCCTAGCATTACCAGGATATAGTGATACAGAAAGGGGTTACTGCTCTATTTTCTGTCCCAAAGTAGGTCAAAAACGTCCGTACAGAGAGATACAGAAAAAGGGAGAGGGAGAGAAAGAGGGGGAAGGGGGAGCGAAGAGGGACGAAGAGAGATAGAAAGAGAGAGAGAGAGAGAGAAAATGTAAAGTAAAATGCTTATTCGCAACGTTATCTGGATAAGTGTGATACACTCTATAATTATGCTAGACTCCTTCATGAGTAGGATTTAGGATTTATGCAGCAATCCTCCCCCTCCCCACTACACCCTCTCTCTCTCTCTCTCTCTCTCTCTCTCTCTCTCTCTCTCTCTTGAGCCGGGAAAGAATTATGTAAATATTTTCATGTCATCTAAAATTGCTTTCAATATTTCCCACGAGATCTATGGACCGGATGAGATGTCATTCTGCACGTAAGCCTCTTCGTATCCAGGTCATTGTACAATTTTCTCTCGTCGGTAACCCCCTTTTGTAGACCCGTTCAGAAGTTAACATAATCTGCTTAACCTGTATCAATTTAAGCCTTTTTAACTCTAAACAGACAAATTGCTTTTGTTACTCAAAATAATTTTTTCCCATTTCCCTCAACCAAATAAATTCTGAATGACAAATATTTCAACTGCTTTATTTATGCTTCTTTATCTTTATCTTTCATGCCTTTGATCATTTTCCCCCAGTTGATAATTTCGTTATTTGGGGTTGGCGATTTTGATGCCCTTTTGATATATTCTTTCCCTGTATTACCTTTCATTGTTATCTTAATCAACCTAATTTGCCATCCTTCTGCCTTTTATTTAAATAATGACTAACACATGAAAACAAGTTCATTTGTTTATATTCTGAAACTGCATTTTACGTACCACAATTTATTAGTGACGAATGTATTACATGCCTCTATTGGATTGTTTCAAATTGTCAAAGTTGAAACGAAACGTCAACTTCCTGGGAACCAATTGCAGCATCGGAGGGAAAAGGGCTTTAAACAGTAAAATGGTTGTCGATAGCTTAAGTTTTAGTTATAAAATGGCCTTTCTGCTAAAGAATTGTAAAGAGTGGTATTACTTCATTCTACCCCTCTTGACCCTGCAGTATTGTTTCTAACTTCTGTCAGATTTGTTTCGATGAAAATACGAGAAAATATTGAGGCACGTGGTACACAGAAACTCCCATGATACTCCGGGGATGTTTTGTTAGATACGAAAGGTTGCCTTGTTCCCCTGGTTCGCAATACGGTGTCACTAAAATCGTCCATTTCGTAATAGAAGTAGACACTAAGTACCTATTAAGATTTTAAGCGGTGTTCCTGCCGCCAATAATTATAAAGCCTAATTCCATAGTACAATAAATGTATAAAGATAAATATTTTCAGGTTCATGTTATAAATGAAAAAATATTGCTATTGAATATTTTTTTTCTCACCGTGCAAAACAAAGGATAGACATGCTATTAAATTTTTTTCTTCCCTATTTTGTCAACCTTCCTATTTGATGTACTAATATGTATGTTTTCCCTTTGTAGTGAGCCTACTCTTTTGTCGTGTATAAATTTTGTAACATTTAGGTTTTGTTAATTTTGTTAACATTCAGGAAATAAAAAGAATCAAACATCAATAAAAGAATAAATAAACAGATATCAGTTTGAACTAATCTAGCTTGTAGGAAATAGCACTATCAAAATACTAAACAAAATTAAAAATTCTTTACTTTTCATTTCGATTGCAAAATCGAATAATTCATCCTTATGTACTTTTGACGCAGATTTGCAACTTTTTTGGCATTAAATTTGCCTATTTTTTGTTTTAAATTATGATTTTCATTATTCTGCGTCTAGTTTTTTGTTGAAACAATGCGATCAGAAGATAATGGTCTGAATGAGGGTCGTTTCATCTTCCAAAGCCCCCCCCCCCCTCTCTCTCTCTCTCCCTCTGCATCCACATCGATGCTTTTGAACACCCCTACCCCAATCGTTTGCATTTTGAAGGGCTGTAAGTTCAGAAGCGTATAACCTAATTTTCATGAACATATATTGCGACTTTCAAAAAAACTGTCAGCTCTTACAGTTTAGCTTCTAGAACTATGAGAGGGAGACTTGAGCAAAAACAAATAAAAGGATATCGAATTATTTATCTTTTTTCCCTCCGTTTGAAAGTTTTATCACCAGATATAAGCTATGCATGACGCATTTTAAACCCACCACGAGTTTCGCAATATCCTTTTGCCTATGATATCTTGTGAGTTATAGAGAGAGAAAACATGTGTAACATTCCAAGGCAGTGTGAAACCATGGCAACGTTTTGTGGATCAGGTCCAAAAAATAATCGGGGTTATCAGATGAAGAAATAGAAAAAAAGAGTTTAACAAAAAAATCAAAGGGAAATAGTAACAAAATACAGTACCCACATGTTTCACTACTTCTTGTAGATGACTTGTACACCTCTCTGTTAAAAAGTATCAGAAACATGATCGAAAAGACTCTAGAAAAAAAATATCAACTTAAAGTGACTCGGTAACATTGTTGAAGATTGATGAAAAAACTTCGTAAGTTTTGTATGAAATGTTACTTATTATATTCCTTCTACTGTACTAACCCTCTAACATGCAAAAAAAAATCCAGAAAAAAATTATCAAACCACAAAGATATCTATGGTTTTCTTGAAGGCGTCATTGTGCGACACCCTCTAACAGTAAAATCTACTAGCCATTTTTAAATTTTCCCAACCGTTTTTCCATGAAAAAAAAAGTCATAAGACAGGCTTTTAAAAATCTTACAACACTTAAATGTCTGGAATGGTATATTATAGAGCCAATTTGTAGCTTGGGGACGATTTACATTCACCTAAAATGTAATTAAATTGTAATAATATAGTTGGGAGAATTAAGGAATCGATCAGATCAGTTTTCCCAATTTTTATTAGTAATATTGGTCTTTTTCACTCAAACTTTCGGATGATCTTTAATATTACATCTAGCATTGAAGTCACTACCTTAGCACCATTTTCTGTCATCTGAACAATGTTACCAAGTCCCTTTAGAGGGATCGTTTAACAATGTTATATTTGAGATGCCCTACGTGTTATCAGTGTCTGTGATATGGGTTCATATTGAAGCCCTTAAAAAAAAAGCGCTTCAAAATGATCAGGAAGTGCCTCAAAAAAGTAAAAACCTTTGAGTGACCGGTTTTACCATACTCGTTTTCCCCAATAGACTGTGTTGTTGTGAAAACCGTTTGGCAAACGCAAAATTTGATTTCGATTTTCAATCATAAATATCTTGATGATCAGGCGGGCGATCGGCTTGTAAAAGTCATGGGGTTCCTGACTGACCTAAAGGTTTATAATTATCATCGCAGCATGAGCTAAATCAAGGATTTCTTTTAAAGGATCTATTAAGTTACCGGATCCCTTTAAGGGGCAATTTCAATACTCGTGTGTATATCCCATTGCAATCATGTTCGGAGTAAGTAATTCGTCTTTGAAGGCTATTGAAATTGTTTTTTTTCGAATGTCTTTGCGATTGTGTTCCAGAAAGGTTTGTGCACGAGGCTTATACATCGAAAAATTCCAAGTTTAATGATTTTTCTTGCTTTTTCCTTTGTAATGTTGATAATTACAATTTGATAACCTATAGGGTAAAATGAATATTCTTCGATGAATTATTTTAATGATTGACGACGGTAAAAAAAACTACCGTGAAAGAAACTTGTTTTATAAAAAGCTTATTATTATCATTATTTATTTGACCATTCATAACAAAAGCACAAATACAATACAGCATGGCAAGAGACAAGTACATAATAAGAATGAACAAACACATGCAAAGAGATAACGGAGCAGCAAGTGGGTCAGGGTGCACAAAAGTCAGGGTTATAAAAAGTCATATTTTAGTCTTCTGATTTATTAGGTTTAAGAGTCATCGGGGTCTCCACTAGAAGTGTGTGTGTGGGTGGTTGTGGAGGGGGGAGTGCCCGACAGTGCTTACCCAATATGTTCTGTCGACAAATCTATATTTTCTTTTGTGTTACATATTGGGAAAAGAGGGTTATTTTACTCTAACTCTAAGGACACTTTGCCCTTTTTTCTTGTCGATTTTTCTTGACAAATTTGGTCCGACACTTCAATTCAACATAATCTAAAGACATCTATGTCGAATGCATGAGAGATTTATCAGTATAAACAACTGAGAAAATATGAAAAATATAACATTCAAAATTAAATGACATCGACAAAAGCATGTTTTTGGCATTAGCAATATTTATTTTTTCAAAAATTGATTTATGCGACAACAAAACGAATTCAAATACAAAAGTTAATTTACAGACATATAATCACAAGTTATTTACATTGAGCTAATGCCTATTGTATACACATGTAATTATTTACCTTTTACTCTTCTCTGGTGACAAGATTATCTAGGCATAGTAAAACGTCTTATATCGCTTATTACATCGATAATGTCTCAGATACAAAGAAGCTAAGCTTTCAGTCCCTACACTCAAGTATAGCCTGCTTTAGTGACCACCTGTCTTCAAAGACCACATTTTTCGTTTCCCTTGAAAATGGTTTCTTATTGAAAAATGTACTATAGGCACCTGTCTACCAAGACCACCTGCCTATAAAGACCAATTTTCTTGTCTCCCTTGAGTGGTCTTTATAGACAGGTTTCACTGTATATTTGTAAATATTCCCTTCTCCCCCCCCCCCCTCCCTTGGGAGCATTCCATCCCAGTGCCATTTTACAGACGTACACAATGCTGAACAAACCACAATGACTTTCGTATCCTATCCATTTAACATCTAGGCGGACAGAAGCGATGAAGATCATGAAGTGCCTTGCCGTGATCGAACCTACGACCTTTACATCTCCAACCAATTGTTTAGTCCGCTCGACTACGTTCAGTAGTTCAGAATATGACGAAGGGTGGGGCAGTATGTGTGATTCTTTAGCAGAAAGTTAAAATGATATTGTTTTTCCAGTGACGTTTTTAATCCAATGATGTTTTTCTCTACTGTTTTCTTTAGTGATTTTCTACAAAAATGGCTTTTCTCCCATTTTTTTTTCTTTCTTCCAACAGTCGTTATGAAGAAAATAAAATCAATTGAAGAAATGAGACTTAGGCTACTTTGTATTTGTAACCAATTATATACGAGTCTTTTTATAACAAGAGATTTACTCCAAAAATAAGAAACTTTCGCGTGCATGAAAGTTGCGCTTGGTCACGCCTATCGAATGTTTCATGCTCCCAAATATTTAAATTTGATTACGTGTTAACCATATATGGTTGTGGACACGACTCTTACACAGGGGATGACGACTCGTGCCCTAATATCACTTTTCAAATTTTCTAAATTTTGCGAACGAGCAAAGCTAACGAGCAAAATTATTCACATCTTTCCTTTTTACAATGCAATTTTGATAAACCATCCATACCTCGTTCCCTACCCTCGACATGTTTGGAAACATGCGAAAAATGACTCACAGCTGTAAATGGTGTCATTTATAGGAGAGTTAAATTATGTCGCGAAGTTTCTGATTTCACATATATTAACTTCTATAACTATTGGCGTAAATGTTCGTAAATTGAATGATACATTATAAACATTAACAACAGCAATAAAAACAACGACAATAACAACAATGATAAGAACAACAATAACAACAACAATAACGACGTCACAAAGAACAGAACCAACGTGAACATGATTAGAAAGAGATAGTCGATGTATCTCAATACACACACAATAAATTGAAAATGTAGTAATCAGCTCGTTAATGATATAGGCCAACCCTGCACAGTTTATGAATAACATTGAAAATATATACTACTTACACTATTTACAGATATAGCAGTCTCGAGATCAATATGGAGCAAGTTTAAAACATGTAAAGTGAAACCATCCATCTCTGGTAAAAGTATCGAGAAGGAAAAACAAAGTTATGTTTAAGAGATACCAGGTACTAAAAATAGGTGTTAACACTGAGTTACAAGCGCTGTTTAAGGGAAAGTACATCCTGATATTAAGTTTGTTTTCATAGAAACAGAAAAGTAGAGGAACGGGTAGTGAATGTTTGTTGGCATATAATAATGTCCTACATTTAAATAGAATACTTAGTAGTAATGCACATTATTAGTAAATGCCAAAGGGTAACCAGATATTGTGTGGGTGTGGTGGGTAATAGAACACAACCTCTGAAAATTTTGCAGAAGAAACCTGCAGTTTCGGGAATCACAGGTTTCGTGCTAATTTTCATAACTTATCCGCCACCAATTTGTGTTACGACTGATTCGCTTTAATATGAACTTGTTTCAAAATTTATCATTCACGAATATTTTCCGGCTGATAAATCTCGAATCAACAAATTAAATTCAAATGATTGTGTTTGATGGTGGGAACTGATTTGTCTGGCTGGACATATACCCTGAACTGTCTTGTCCTCTTAAAATATTCCGAGACTTACTGAAGAAAACTTAGTATCCATTTCGTCTTTGATCTGTATATTATGCTAGATACGCCGAGAGAAACACATTCTTATGGAGGTCTAGGACCTTCATCAACGCATACCTTATAGTTCATAACGCATGTTTATATTTCTTTCCTTGCTAGAAGTTACAAATATATATCATTCGTGGCATCGTTTTGTAATGAATTATGGCAGAGGGCGTCAACAGATAGCGGTCTCGACATGTCATCCATGATATCATTCTCCTGGTCGACGTCCGATGACCTTCTTCTCAATGTGATCGTCGTCGAGTTCGTTAAACCATTTTGCTCCGCAGTGTGGTTGTTAGTCATTCCATCTTTATTGCCAAGCTCTATGTAAATCAAAGGAAACAACAAAATGCTTGGTTAGAGATAGAGCGGGATCTGTGTATAACACGGTTAAATATTAATCAGTTATGTCTTAATTACTTCAGCTAACCGATAATGTTATATCAGGCAGGATATGAAAAATTATTGAAGAGACCACCTATCTGCCAAGGTATGTGGTCATAGTTGTCCGAACATTATTTCGTAGTTCCAAATTGTTAGGGGGCTGCAGCCCACCCCAACCCCTCCTCCCCTCCTCCCCTCCACTCCTCCTCTTCCTCCTCCCCTCCCCTCCTCCTCTTCCTCCTCCCCCTTATACACATGTGCAACGGGTAATAGGAATTTTTTTTTAAAGGTGTCACTTTATGAAAATATTGAGGGGTGACACTTAATAAACATGTCTGTTTGGGTCATTCGTAATTTTCGTTTGCTCTTTTTGCAAGAGGCGAATTCTAAGATCTGATCTGTCGGCAATTTGAAAACCATATTGCACACTTTTTTATCTGTTTCATTTTTTAAAAACTTTAATATATTAATTGTGAGTGTGTAATTTTGCTTTTCATTTAAAACGTGAAGGCCTAAATCTAAATACTGTTATAAAACGTTAAGGATCGGAAAGGTGAATAGTAGTAGGCCTACCTATGTTTTCGTTGTAGTCTGTTGCATTCTCTTTCACATCAAGAGGAGGATGGTGTATGGAGATAGCGAGGTAGTAGGCCCAGGATCCGAGAGCACTCCCGATGGCGGGTCCTAAGATGGGTATCCACCACCAATGAACACCACCGGGTCTGTGAATCAAGATGGATAAAGGTTCAGAATAACAACATTGGTGATTGTGACGAAAGTGTAGTGGAAGTGACCTAATAAGTGGGGTGGTGATGATGGTGATGATGATGGTCATTATGGTGATGATGATGATGATGATGGGGATGATGATGAGGGTGGTGGTGATGGTGATGGTGATTGAGTTGGTAGTGGTGGTGATGGTGAGGATAATGATGATGATGATGGAGATGATGATGACGGTGGTGGTGGTGGTGGTGGTGGTGGTGGTGGTGGTGGTGATGATGATGATGGTCCAACTGCTGATGATTATGCTGGTGATAATGGCGATGATGGTAGTGGTGATGGTGTTGATGATTGAAGTGGTAGTGGTGGTGATAATGATCAGGATGATAATGATTATAAATAGGATGATGATGATGATGATGATCTTAATTATCATCATCATCATCATCATCATCATCAGATGCTGATAATGCTGAGGAAGACAATTATGGTTAGATGATATAGGCCCTAAACATTGTAATGACGATCAGGAGGTTGAAGATGAAAGTCACTTTGGTTTGTATTCTACATCTCTTTCTACAACTCCGATCATAACATATTTAACAATTCTGAAAGTCGATTTTACAACCAATTATAATCATATGACTCTGTACTGATGGTAACATCTTTTTTCTACTTTGACCACAATGAAAATGACTTACGTCCAGACCTCCTTGCCGTAGCCCATTGCAGCCAGAAGAAGACGTCCTGATAGGTCTATCGAAGGATTCAGGGGTGCTCCTGCATTATATCCATAGCTCATGAGGATGGTGAATACAATCAAACCAAAGAAGAAAGGTGCGAAGCTGAGAGGAGGAGGGTTGTTTCGTCGGTCCATCATCGCACCTATAACGGCTAATAATAGCGCCGTGTTCAATACCTGGAAATTGAATAGAACAAAGGCAGTACTTACGGGATTAGAATCAACATAAACTTGTACTGATAAAATACCAATATATACTGTCTTGATAGGTTCTGGTTAAAACTATGCGCAAGAGATGACTCCAACGTAAGTATTATTGGAGTCACCGAGGCCCATAATTTTAACCAGTACCTCGAAAAGAGGGCAGGGTATTTTTGTTTGATATCCTGCATCAAAAATTCATTTTCAGAAAAAGAAAAAAAATTGTATCAAAATTATTTTGTTTTTCTTAAAAGCAATCTTTAAAAAAAAAATGATAATGATTAAAATATACCAAAACAAATATCTAAAATTTAAACATTTTAATTGATTTTTTTATTTTTATAAAGAAAGTTAAAAAATATCAACTACCAAATAGTATTTCCAAATAGCACTTTTTGAGTGCAACCTTAAAATGGTTGAAATATTTCTGGTCATGAGAAGAGCTCTCAACTTATCAAAAACCATTATTTTGTTGATACAGAATATAATCTGAAATATATGTGTTGTGTATGTATAGCATAATCATTCTAGTTGACAGGTACCCTTTTCTTTAATGAACCATGACAGCGCAGACGATAAGATCCAAATCCATTCTTTTATGTCTATGCGTGATTCTCAGAAATTGAAAACTACTTCGATTTGGTATAGCCACTCAACAGAGCACATTCTGGGGAAATACGTAGATGTGTACGAAGCAAATGCGCTTTGATAGATTTGATTATATTTTGTCTCGTTTAATGATTCAACGAAATGGCCCTCGAGCCTCCAGTGATCAAGAAGTAAGCAAAGCATAAAAAGGAATCTGAACGAGTCGATTCTAATGCATGTAAGCGAGATGGAACAAGAAGTTGATTAAAGGAGGATTTAAGATCACATTGTTACGTAATTACCTGTTCGAGGAACCCGGTCGTAACAGACAGGTAAGGTTGTGGGAACGTGGCAAAGATCCCCGCCGTGCCGTTCTCGCCAAACGCTTGACGCATTCCACCGTCAAAATGATCAAAGGCGTCTGTTGAACAGTTAAGGTAGACAAAAATACGTAGATTCATTAAAGGACATCGGTCCTGCTAAAAAAATTCATGAAAATTAAAAGAACATTAGAATAATTTATCAACCTGAAGTGTAAATAGAGAACTGATAATCACTCGACATCTCATTTCACTTTGACTCTACGACTAATGTTCTAGCATTTTTATTATAATTTTTTTTATCGTTACAGAATCAATATCTACAGAAACTGTGGGATGATCTCTTGTATATGGCATTACAGTGTCTTAGTTCTTTCACAAGCTCCCCGAATGTAGAAGACTGATAGCTTTAAATTCAAATTTTATAATGTGCTAATATTTCAAAATCGGCTGTTGGTGTATAAAAAAACAGACAGTTGTTTTTTCCTCTTCAATGTAACCCGCTTCCAGAAATACCTACCAAGGTCCCACACTCATATGCTGGTTTACATCTCCAAGTCAATTAAAATAATTATATATATATATATATATATATATATATATATATATATATATATATATATATATATATAAATGTCATTTTCTAGAGTGAATTGATAAAGATTTTTATGAAAACTTTAGTGACAGATCCATTTAACACCAATACTACACGCTGAAAACTATATATGTCATATACCGGTTTCTAAGATATTATTTTACGCACCTTCGTAAACTCGATAGACGACCCAGGCTCCGGCGAACCCGCCCGCTAGTTCGGCTAAGAAATAGAGAGGAATCCTTCTCCAAGGGAATATTCCTATAGCAGCTATTCCTATCGATAGAGCCAGGTTGACGTGGCCCCCTGAATAAATAAATACAGATATGAAGACATAATGTAACATTGTTAACCTCTCAAAACAAGTTGTATCGATTAGATCTCTCCTGCCAGGTTTTAATTAACGCTTTGTTTACTATCATTAAACATTATGTTTATTCCTCTTTAAAATAATGCCATATTTTGTATGATTTTGCAGCCAAGGAGTGAGTAATACGTCAGAATGAGGGGCAGAGTCAAAAGTGCCAAGGATATCCTAGGTGATCGACGATGTTCGCGTGGTCAGTATGTTTATTCCTCTTTAAGATAATACCATATTTGTATGATTTTACAGAATAAGAGTCAAAAGTGACAAGGATATCCTAAATGATCGACAATGTAGGCGTGGCCAGGGTATGGTGAACCCCGAGAAAAGTTATCAGTAGGCCAGCAAGACCGACAGTCGAAAAAAGCTGCGAGACCGATATTGTCAACCTCTTTGGTTGTCAGTTTCGTTGGCTGTCGGTCTCGTCGGTTTTCGGTCTCGTGGGTTGCGTTCTCGCGTGATTCAGCCTAAAAGGCCTACGTTGGTTTTACCTGAGACACCGAACCCGGAGTAGATGCCGAACATGACCCCCATACCGGCGGCCAAGGCGACGTTGAATCCCGATCCTGTCCTAGATACCACATCCTGAGCGACAGCCGCATGTACGAAGGCCTTATCAAAACAAAACAAAAAATAGATCATTATACTATATGCATCATTTATAAGAGTACATCCAGGATTTTTTTTTAAAGGGGGGTGGGCGGGGTACACTTTCGAATTTAGATATCTGAAGAGCAAAATAAAAACAAAGATATATTATTGAAATAAATCACCGTGCGAGTATTCCTTACAGTTTTTTTTTTTTCAAATACAATTTTAGCTTCCTCGCTCCCCACCCCTCACTCCATTCTCTCTCTCTCTCTCTCTCTCTTTCTCTCTCTCAGGATAAAATATGTTTCTTGGAGCACAGGGACCTCTTTCATCGCAAACTCGGAAAAAAGTTTGAAAACTCAATTTTGATGGATGATCTCTCTTAGGTTACTGTACTAAAGGTATAGACCGGTTCTGGTCATGCGATTGTATTGTGAAAGAAACGTTGTGGAATCGATCAGAAACGGTTGATCATCTAGCATATAAGTATTAGTGTGTACTGCAAGGTTCTGGAATCACCAAAATGATAAGAAATTTGGCCTATAGTCTTGGTAAAGTTACAAGCACTATACACAAAAAGATGTATATGGGACTACGCGATATCTATCCAGTCCGGATAATTTACCAAATATATCAATTAGTAGGCGGTTTCCCGGCAAAATTTGTATCATCGCGTTAGTCAAATTTTCCATATTCTTTCACATGATTGGTAATAAGAGCTTCCATTTAATTTTTTTGAGAGGGGGGCGTTTCCCAAACTGGTCTATACCTTTAATATCCGTTACTGTATTGATATAGTTTTTTTAATTCACTTTTTCTTTAATTCCTCCCCCCCCCCCCCCCTCGAAGCTTCCTCATATTTATTGTTAATATTGTTTTTGTATTAAAGGGCTGTATTCCTCCCCATAAGATGTAAAGTTTTGCACTGAGACCTTACAAAGCTTAAAAGTTTTGCTCGTTTCGCAAATGAATATTCAGACCATCGCACCCAAATGCAAAGTATGATTCTTAGCAGTATTTTGGACCATGGTAAGGGGAACAACAAAATATTGAAATCATCCCTGACAATGTTATCAAAATAAAAGGGTACAGGGTCGGCGATCCCGGGGGCAGGGGGGCACGTCCCCCCCCCCCCAATAAATTTTAAACGTTTTTCTTACTCTTTCGTAAATTATACTTTTTATGCGTTTATGGAAAATGACAAATGCCCAAATTTTACTGTCAGGCATGAAATATGCTTATTTAGAATCCCAAATTTCAGGGCCTGCGGATCAGCAGGGCCCGGGGGCTCGAACCCACCCCCGCCCCCGACCCCGTCACTTTTTCAAAAGAATGTTGAAGAGAAATGGAAAGAAAGAAAGACAGCATAGTGACCTGCCAGTGTCACAAATGAGGTACAAATATATGCTCAACTGCCCGTATTTAAATTCCTAAAATCCCTGGAACCCACAAGGGGCCCTAAGGCGGCCCCCTGCATGGTCATCTGACTGTTATTAAATGCCTAAAATCCGTTTGCTTCCGGAGGCTATGCCCCCTGGACCCCACAAAGGGCCCTATGGCGGGCCTCTGGATGCTCATTTTACCGGAATTTAATGCCTAAAACCCTGAGTTTTAGGGGGCTTCGCCCCTGCACCCCACGCCAACTAGTGAACTGCCAGTGTCACAAATAAGATATCAAAATATGCTTATCTGACCGTAATTAAATGCTTAAATTTAAAACCCCTAAGCTCCCGGGAGTTTCACCCATGGATCCCATGCAAATTTACATTCAACTCGCTTCGCTCTACCTGATCGTTAATACTTTAGCCCCCCCCCCCACACTTTGAATAACATTCCGCGGAGCATATATGTTATATATAAGAGTGGTGGTGATGCGGATTTTTTCTTCTACCCCCCCCCCCCCACCCCCACCCCCCCCCCCCCCAAAAAAAAAAACGGTTTTGCTCATTACGTCACTGGTCCCTCGCATTTCGTGCTCCCCCCCCCCCCCCCCCCCCTGGTCTGAAAAGAAATTGCTTCCCCTATATATTTTCGTTCCGAGGAGCCTGTTTTATGTTTCAAAATGTTGATGTGAAGCGCTAATTCTTACCTGTAATTTATAGTTTTCTCCTCAACATCATAAATATTATGTGTTTATAAGAAAGTCAATTTACGAACATAAAGTTCAACGGGGGCCAACATCCCTCACTATTCAAGGTCAGGAAGGGCATAGTTGCGCCATGGAATTTATAGCTCCAGGGTTGCGCTACAACATCACCGTCAAGAACATTTCTTCTTCTTCTTCTTCTTCTTCGCTATATCTCCTCCTTCTTCTCCTCCCTTCTTCTTTTCCTTTCTTCTCCCTTCTTCTTCTTCCTCCTCTTCTTCTTCTTCTTCCTCCTCTTCTTCTTCTCCCTTTTTCTTCTTTTTCTTCTTCTTCTTCTTCTTTTTCTTCTTCTTCTTCTTCTTCTTCGCTATATCTCCTCCTTCTTCTCATCCCTTCTTCTTTTTCTTCTTCCTCTTATCTCTTCTTCTTGTTATCCCTTCTTCTTCTTGTTTTTTTCGTTTGCATAAGGTTAAATCTGCCGGCGAAATATTAATTTTCCAAAATCTCTTGTCATCTCTCCCCCCCCCCCCCTTCCTCCCATCAGCTCTGTTTGGCTATAATAATGTTTTTCTAAAAAATAAACATAAACTTAAAAGTACATTATAACGAGTTAACGACCCACTTTCCCTGCATGCTACACCTGGGTCGAGATAGGCAACAGAGATAAAGTGCCCTGAGTTGAAGAGCTGCTGGCTTAATTGGGTCTCTCAAACGACGGCTAATGATGTGACGGATCACTCATTAAACTTGCTCCCTTGTAAAATTACAGATCAAAATTGATTACTGTCTCGCCGTCTTGAAAAGCGGTTCTTGTATTGTTCTTGAGCGAATAATCAGGAAAAGTGTTTCCTGTGGGCCTATTAAGTATTATTTTGTTTTGAACGTACGATATGACTATTATCAGCCTCGTTCTGTTAATTCTCTTGTTCAGATCAAATTGCATTTGGCTGAACTCATCAAACCGTCAATCATGGAATCGCATGTAATTTCCCGTTCCTAAATTCTATTCAAACAAACCCATCCAAGAGGGTTAATAATTCGACAGAGATTGCCATAAGTGAGATCGATGACCCGCACCATCATACATGTAATAAGCTCAGTGCTTGAATTTGGAATGGAAAATCAAGGCGTACATTGCCAATACAAAACTACGGGGCTTCAGAAAATGGGGGCTCAGGAGCACTGGCGGATCGAGCCGGCGGCAAGAGGGGGGTGGGGGGGGGGCAAATCTTGAGAAAATATTTAGCGGCAAATCAGCCGGCCGGCGAACGGCGAATGAGCGGGGGAGGGGTGGATAAGAGCACATATATTTGTTTGTTTGGGGGTCCAGTTTTTAGGAACATTTTTGAGCCTACTCAGCCGGCCGGTGAATATTAAAGCGGGGGATGCTGGAAAGGAGGACCACTAATTTTTTTTTTCGTGGGGGGGGGGGGGGGTGAAGCTCCGTTTTAGCTTGACTTTCTTTTTAACTCTCACTTTCACCTACCCCAGATAACCCTAAGTTTGTTGTTGCTGCTTTATATGTAGTTGATAATGCATGATTAAAATAAATAGAAAGAGAGAGAGAGAGAGAGAGAGAGAGAACCACCATCATTATGCAATGGTTCAGGGTTTGTGTAATGTACATTAAAAACCATTACTTAGCGTCTCAACCTTAAAAAAATAGCGAAACTATTTTTGAGGAAAAGCATTATACTGAACTGAATAAAGAATAATAAATTTATATTGGCTCATACTGAAACGGGCTAAAGATAATGTGGTATCGGCACAGTAAGATCGGGTATTTGTATAGAGGTATTCCAAAATGACATTCTGATAATCAACATGTTGTTCTGTTATCATAATTATGTACATGTAATATACGCATAATGCAACTGATCTTTATGATTCTTAACGTGACATAGATTATTTAATAAAAGGATCATGCTACAAAATGATCATTGTGATTCAAATTGATGCAAGGATTTTTTTTTTTTGAATAAGCAATGCTTTTCACCAGAATCTTCTTTGTAAAAAAAGACTTTTACGAATCTCAGCCATGCAATTCTGCCACTGTGTTGTAAGATCACTTTCAGATTCGGAGAAGTGTATTCTTTAATGAGTATTTTAAATTGAAGGGAACGTCTCAACTCAGTAAGCATGGCTGAGATTTGTAAAAGTTGTTTTTACAAAGAAGATTCTGGTGAATAGCAGTGCTTATTCAAACAAATTTACACATCAATTGAATCACAATCATTATTTGTCGCTTAATCCCTTGTTTTCTTTCTCGTTTGCATGGGGAGAAGAAGATATGTCACGTTAAAGACATCAAAAAGATCAGTGTTGTATGCGTGTATATTATATACACAGGCCCCGCGGAACGTTTATCAAAGTGGGGGGGGGGGGGGGCTAAAGTATTTACGATCAGGTTGAGGGTAGTAGCGAGCGTAAATCGGTGTGTGGGGGGGGGGGGTTCAGGGGGGTTCAGGGGGCGGAAACCCCGGAAGCCCAGGAGTTTTAGGCATTTAATTACGGTCAGAGAAGCATAAATATTTTGATGCCGCATTTATGTCACTGGCAGGTCAGGGGGGGGGGTCGTTTTGGGTTGTTTTTTTTAGAGGTAAAATTTACGTTACTATCCTATTTTTTTTTTTACCGGTTTGGGAGGCTATTGGGGGGAGGGCGGTAGAATCGGCCCGTGGATCCGCGCCTGCACGCACTATTATACATGTAATAAGCCCAGTGCTTGAATTTGGAATGGATAATCAAGGCGTACATTGCCAATACAAAACTACGGGGCTTCGGAAAATGGGGGCTCAGGAGGCTTGGGCCCTCCCCCTTTGACGAAACGGACTGATACCCATGAATAGATACATCATTTGGGCACTTTGGCAGTAGCGTTTCTAGAAGGGTTTGGTGTCTCGCCTCAATATTATTTTTCGCGAGGCATTTGCAGAAAATGAATGGAATAATCTCGAAGTAACCCCTAAAACTCCCCAAAGCCGCCCCCTCCAAAAAATAGAAGAGCTCCTGCACTCTGGCCCTCTTTAAGTTTGAGCACCCCTACTTGTTGCACTTTGCCCTGGTCGTCGAAATGAAAGGTCGGTAGTTACTTACCGATACAATGAACGTCGAGTAGAACTCGCAGATGAGATATCGTCCAAGCTCATTCCGAATTGTTAACGAATTTAGTATCTTCTTCTTCCAAGATATCTTACCCGTTCCCATGTTTTTATCCTGTATTCCAAATAGGACCTCTCCCGTAAAACACATGAAGCAAGTATAAAGCAGTTTAATTACAATCGTATGCCCTCCGCTCGAAAAATGCCTGGCAACAAACAGTAAACCCACTTGTGGACGGACTATCTCGGAGATAGTCGAGGTTTGAGACATGAAGTTGAAATGATTTATCTTTGAATACTCAACCTTTAAACTACCATCATGCCCGATTATCAAGTTCGTAATGTCATGAGTGTGCTTCTACGTGATTGGTTGAATGCTGGTGACGAAGCAATATGTAAATTATTAAGTTCGTAACGTCATGCGTATGCTTTTATGTGATTCGTTGAATGCTGCATGGTGACGAAGCATAATGTAAATCAGTTCGAACATGTTGTTGTTGTTTAGTTAGGTTGGTGAACTTGTCCATCTTTTTTCTCAAACCTCCCATTTACTCCGAAAAATTATGTGGACCAGCGCTATGTCATTCCCCCCCCCCCCCACACACACACACACCCAGTCAGGGGTGGCGATTCCGGGGGTGGGAGGACACGTCCCCCCTCAATTTGTTTAGGGGGGTCGTCGTCCCCCCCCCCGGAAAATTTGAAAAAGTGCCAAAAGAAATGTATAGCAAAAGAGGTATCAAAATCTTATATAATTTTATCTATAGGAATCTTGAGGCTATACTTATCGACGTGGTAAGTTGATTGAACCACGTATCTCTTGAACCTTGAGATTGTCTTTTTTTTAAAAACACAATAGATCTCCCTATACAAATGAGTATACGTGGATGTTAGCCATATACACCCCACCCCCTTAAACAGCGACGCCCCTGGATATTGCATGTCCTTGACATGTTTGTAACGTCACTATCGTGGTTAATGCAGGCCGCGAAAAAAAAAATGACGAAGTGGAATTAAAAAAAAAAATAATAACAAACAGTAGGACGACTGGACATCTATTGGACGTTACGGTTACCTACAACCTTTTACCTCTAACTACACTGTTTTTTCATGTATATCTTTAAAACTTTAATCTTCAACATGTTTATAATTGTCAAATTTCTCTTCCAAAGCTACATAGAAGGGCACTAATACCTTAATGAGTTAACTCCCTTCAGACTCCAAATGAGCATTTGATAGAAATAGCGGGTAGACCTACTTTAGTGGCATACTCATAGCGTGCCACCCTCGAAGTGGCACTTTTGGAGACGCCCGTGAATGAAATACGAGTAAAACAAGGATAAAAAATAAGCAAATCTCTGCAATGCCGCATAGCTTGTTTTCTTCCACATCGTTTATCGTTTCTCTCCAACCTTGATTTGGTCACTTTAGCTAGAAAAAAAAACTCGTATAAAAGAAGAAGATCGTTCACAATTTCATATCACTTTTATGGGTTTCTGTGACCAGGCGCGTACGCAGGATTTTTTCGAAGGGGGGGGGGGGTACAATTTTAAAATCGCGCCGAACATTTCGAAACGACTCAGCCAGCCGCTGAATAAGCGGGGCAGGGGGGGGGGGAGAGGACTTATATTATTTATTTTTGTCCCGAAATTTGAAAAATTGACCGATCGACATTTCGTTCGGTTTGGGGGGGGGGGGGGGAGAGGACTTATATTTTTTTTTTTGTCCCGAAATTTGAAAATATTGACCGATCGACATTTCGTTCATATGAAGCACATAAACCTAGATTTGTCGACAAACCTCCTTTGTAAATTCGGGCCAAAACCTCCATGGGTGCGATGTGACCTGTGTGGACGTTGGCTCCACCTATTTTGTGTTTTGCTCAAAAAACTATCCACAAAAAGGACTATGTACGCCCCTTTTGTGAAGCGACCTATCAATATTAATGTTCACATATCAGTCCCTTTTTGGATTACTCTCCTCCCGTCCCCCCCCCCCCCACCCCAAGAAAAAATATTATCACATTGTTACATGTGTGCACAATATATATTGATGTGTCAACCTTACGAAAGTGGTGTTTTCATAATGATTATTGACCTCCTTAAAATTTATATTTATATGGAAGACTTAAAAAGACAACTGTTTACAGTCCAACTAAGGGTGTAGAGCATGCCGTGTAGACTAAAATTTACAATGTTGTTCAATTTCTGAATTCTTTGTTTAAAAAACTTGCTTGCTGTCAATAGTGTATACATTTTTTATACATTTCAAATGTCTAGTCCGGTTAAAAATAGCACGTAATGATTTCATTATTTGACACGTACTTCACATTTATTTATCTTATCGATAAGCGAAACGATTTGCTTTAGTATCATATAACAAATATAACAGTAATGGCAAGTATGGTTTTCCTGAAAATTGCATTATACAATGTATATTCATCGTTATGGAAAATGTTGTATAATATACAACAATGGGCATAACATTTTCCAGACCAATGATTTAATTACGTTTAATATTGATTGAAGCTGTTGCCCTTTGTATATACAAGAACTTAAAATAATAAGTAGCCTTGAAAGTGTCGCAATAAATCATGTGTGAGTGAGCTTGAAGTTTAATGGTGTAGGTTTGTTTGATACTGTATAGCCTTTACTCTGTTTTTAATGAGATATATCTCCAATCAAATCAAACTGAGTGATGTTATCGTACAACTTAACAATATCAATCTTATGTTCTCCTAAATAAGCCTGGGAAACTAGAAAATTGCATTAAATGTGAATTCATTGTCAGTGAAAATGTAATACAATACACAACAATGGGCAAATAATTGTTTCCAGACCAATGATTTAAGTAAGAAGAACTTACATTTTATATTGAAACTGCTGCCGTTGTATACACATCAGGCGCGGATCCAGGGATTTCTTAGGGGGGGGGGCAAAATTTGAAATTATGCGAGCCAAATATTGGTTCGTAATGGTGACCAGCAGTGACGTAAGCAGTGACGTAATTGGGGGTTGGTGGGTGCAGGGAGGGGCGAGTTTCCCCCTCCCTCCTCCGCGAAACGCGGAAGCTTTGACATTTCAATAAATTATTAGAGAAAGAAGACGATTTGTTGTACCGTTCCCAAAAAATAATTCTCGTCTGAATTTAGTTTTCCTAGCCTGGGAGGCAAGTCCTTTTGCCCTCCCCCGATCTATTTCTTCCCTCTTTTCTTTTCTTCTTCCTCTTCTTTTTTTTCCCTTTCTCTCCTCTTTTCCTTTCCTTCTTTCCTTCTCTCTCTCTCCTTTTTTTTTTTTTTTTTGCGGGGGGGGGGGGGGCAAGGCCCGCTTGGCCCCCCTGGATCCGCACCTGTATCATGGTATGACTAAAAATGGGGATCGAACATTGATTTGTGGTATCTAGGCAAAGTCTCTCTTTTGACGCTCTCTCTCTCTCTCTCTCTCTCTCTCTCTCTCTCTCTCTCTCTCCACAGCTCTCTTTTCGCTTTGTCTTAACCCTAAAAAGGCCGGGCATTTGGGGTCCTAATACGGCCCCAAGATCTCGGCCGTGAAACGGCCGATCGTTGCGAAAATTTGCACGCATTTTAAGTGAAGTGTACAGAATGCTATGGTAATTTTTTTAATTTTTTTTTACTTCACTCATTTGCATATTTATGGTAATTTATGCAAATAACGTCATAACATCCACCTTTTTACCATAAATCATATATTCTTTATATTAATTTTTAGCATCCTTTTTCACTACATGTATTCGTTAGACCATTTGAAACAATAAAACGACAAAACAAATAGGAGGAGCTAGGTTATTCCTTTTGTTATCTAGTTTTGATAATTTATTATGTGTATTGTTTTTTAACTCATGTATTTTATTGTTTTTGTTGTTATATTTCATTTCTAACTGCAATTTAACTATTTTGACTCCCAAAACCAACACCGAAACTGTAAACAAGACCCAATAACCAACGTTTTATCACTTTTTAGGAAAAATGACATTTCCATATATGTTTTTGTACAAAAATCACGAAAATTAGCGATTTTCGGGTTGACATGCAAAAACAAAACGTCCCTTGACTCTGTAACTGTACGTCCGATTTTCAAAAAAATTGCTTTAAAAGATGCGCAAGACTCGAAAGAGCACTTTTTTGTGTTTTTTTGGTCCCGAAATTTGAAAATTTAGCTCATCGATATTTCGTTCCGTTGGGGGGGGGGGGGATAAGGTCATCTTTTAGAGTCACCCATTTGCTCAATTTTTATATATACTTTAATTTTTTTTTTAAATTGAGGGGGGGGTCCTCCAAAACACATACACACACAAAATTAAGGTGGGGTTCAAACCCCCCCCCCCCCCCCCCGCACGCGCCTGTCTGTGACGAACTATCACCTTTCGAAACTTCGAAGGTTGTCAACACATTTCCATCATATCTGACATCACACGCTCGAGCATATTATGTTTCCTCACACTAAATGAACACACACGTAGACCTATGCCCAGGGGCGTCGCCAAAGGGGGGGGGGTGTGTGGGGGGTGCGACACCCCTCCCCCCCCCCCCACCTGTCAGGATATTGTCGGTAAAATTGCGCTGCCGTCGGGAAAAAGAGAAAAGGGGGAGGGAAAAAAAGAGAGGGAAAAAAAGAGAGGGAAAAAAAGAGAGGGGAAGGGAAAGAAAAGAAAAAAAGAAAAGGAAAAGAAAAGAAAGAAAGGAAAATAAAGGAAAGAAAGGAAAAGAAAGGAAAAGAAAGAAAAGAAAAGAGAAGAAAGAAAGAGAAAAAAGAAAAAGAAGGGGGGGGAGAGGAAAGAAAGAAAAAAAAAAAAAGAAAAAAGAAAAGGAAAAAAGAAGAAAAAAGAGTGAAAGGGAAACAAAAGAAACGGGGGATGAAAGAGAGGAGAGAGAGAGGGGAGGTAAGAGTCTGAGAGAGGAGGAGTGGGAGTAAAAGAGAAAAGGGGGTTGTTGGGTGGAGTCGTCTCGTCGAGGGAGCAAGAAAGACACGGGTAAATATGTTGCTGTGTCGGGTCAGCTGTGTCGGTATTCTTGCTCGATCCTCATCAATGCATAAGTTTGAAGTCGGTGAGATGTATATTGTCGATCGGCCGACAAGTTTTTTTCCCTACGAACTGCAACTTCTTATCCGCTGTGACGACTTCGAGAGTGACTACAACTACAATACTTGTATTTTCTTGAAGTTTCACTTTCCTATAATATCAGCTAAAGAAATCAGAGGTTTAAAATTTTCGGGGAAACTAAATTCAAACAAGGTTTAAGAGTCAACAACGGTACGACGAATCATTTTCCTTTCATTATATTGTGATATCATTTAGACGAATCGAGAACGGTACAACGAATCGTCTTCTTTCTCTAATAATTTAAGGAAACGTCAAAGCTTCCGCGCTTCGCGCGAAAGTGGGAAACTGAATTCAGACAAATAGGGCTTACTAAAAGTCGAAAAACGATACAACGAATCGTCTTCTTTCTCTAATAATTAAATAAAACCAAAACTTCCGCGCTTCGCGCGGGAGGGGGAAGCTTCATTCAGATTAGGATTAAGAGTCAAGAACAGTACACCGAATCGTCTGCTTTTTCTCATAATGTAAGGAAAAGTCAAAGCTTCCGCGCTTCGCGCGTTAGGGTAAAACTGAATTCAGACAAAATTAATAGGGTTTATTTAAAGTCGAAAACGGTACAACGAATCGTGTTCTTTCTCTAATGATATGAGGAAACGTCAAAGCTTTCGCGCTTCGCGCGAGAGGGGGAAACTGAATTCAGATGAATAGGGCTTATTAAGAGTCGAAAACGGTACGACGAATCGTCTTCTTTCTCTAATAATTTTAATGAAACGTCAAAACTTCCGCGCTTCGCGCGGGAGGGGGAAGCTTCATTCAGATTAGGATTAAGAGTCGAGAACAGTACACCGAATCGTCTGCTTTTTCTCATAACTTAATGTAACGTCAAAGCTTCCGCGCTTCGCGCGGGGGGAATACTGAATTCAGAAAAGGATAAACAGTCGAGAATGGTACAGCAAATCGTCTTCTTTTTTTTATAGTAATTTAATGAAACGTCAAAGCTTTCGCGCTTCGCGCGGGAGGGGGGGGGGGAACTTCATTCAGCCTAGGATTACCAGTCGAAAACGGTACAATTTATCGTCTTCTTTTCCTAATAATTTAAGGAAACGTCTAAGCTTCCGCGCTTCGCGCGGGAGGCTCATCACCCACACCCCCTTATGAGCGCGCTTTTAAGTGATTCTCTTGCTCACTACCGCCCCTCCCTAAAATAAGATCCTAGCTCCGCACCTGCATTAAAATATATAGCTATGATGCTGACTAAATTTAAGAAATAATTCGTATATTAATGTCGTCGAGGAAAATGACCATTTTGCGCATTTGCAAGTACTATAGATAGTCCATAGGAAAAACAATTTAGCCTTCGGCCCCAGGTTTATAGGGTTGACTTTGTAGATATTGGAAATTTAATTTCGTCGGTAATTGGTGGCTACTTTTGTTGGTAATCGTTGGCCTCTACACGCCCCACTGAAAAAGGTCTTGCGACGCCCCTGCCTATACCATGGGTGTCGATCTGTAATTGATACCTATCGTTCAGGGGGATGATCTATTCATTCATCCCCTCCCCCTCCCTGAACAATAGGTATTACGTAAGGGTCGACAACCATGACCTATACACAATACACAGTTTCTTCTCCTTCTCGTTATTCTTTTCTTCTTCTTCTTCCTCGTCTTCTTTTCCCCTTCGTCTTCTCCTTCTTCTACTTTTTTTTTCTTTTGCCTCCTTTTCTTTTTCTTTAGTCCGTATTTGCCTAAATTCTTATGTTTTGAGGTCGACAATTCGATCTCGTAGACACCTTCTTCGATCGGTTGACTTTTTTTTTTCTTGATTCTTTTAAATGTTCTCTCCTCCCCCCCCCCCCCCCCCTCCCTTTCTTTCTCTCTCTCTCTCTCTCTCTCTCTCTCTCTCTCTCTCTCTCTCTCTCTCTCTCTAATGGTCCCGTGCTTTAGATTCTTTTATGTGTTTGCCTCATTTCCCGCGGCGATGATTTTATTTTGAAATGAGGCAAACACACAAATGTCTATTACGAAAATAACATGGCATTGGAAAATGTGTAGAATCTGCGGGTATATGGAAAACAATTAGGTGCTAAATATTTGCTAAAAATTATCATTGAATACAGACGTGCACTGAGGTTAAATTACGTTTCACGAAACCGGCAGTTCTTAAATCCCCGGGAGTATAATTGAAAGTACAGGCCACCGTCGCGTGTATATATCTCGTCCAGTTCGCCGACATCCTATTGAAACGCGAGTAAGTGTTTCTATGAGATGAATAGGGGCTAGAGGTAGTGATCAATTTTCCATCATGCGATACATTGATCAATGAGAATAATCATTTGCAAACAAGAAAATAATAATCTAAAATGGAAATTCATGTGCTGCAATACATAATCAAATACTGTATAAAGCGAGGAAAGAGAGAGGATGGTACATGACGGGGAGACAGGGAGAGAGGGGCCAAGAGAGAGGGGGGGGGGGGGAAGAGAGGCGGCAAGGGAAAAAGACCATAAGAAGGAAGATGGAAGGAAGCTTAGGAAAGAAAAATCCAAGAATGAACTTGGAACGGAAAGAAAACAAGGAAGGAAGGACAAGAAAGAAAAGAGAAACGTGGAAAGGGAAAACTGTGTCTTCCTATTCAAGATGGATTTTATTTCAAACAAATAATATCAAGTAAGAAAACATATTGTGACGACGAACTGGGAATTCAGTTTATTTTGCTTTGAAATAAATAAATAATTTGATATAATCTCTAGCTACAAGCCTTACAAACGTACATATATATGGGCCTAGAGAGGGCGTTTTCATATTGCGCGAAATTTGAACAGAACAGTCAACAAGTTTTGGTAAGCTCTCCAAATATTTTTACTCGTATTTCTTACATCGATGTATCTAGAGTTTAAATATTATATTAAAGGAAATAGAAGACAATGATTTACCTTTGTTATCTCAATAGATATGATACAAATATCTGTCGGAAAGGTAAAAAAACATGTTCTAAATGTAGACGTTTGTCCCACTCGTTAACATTCGTGTTGTGATTCAGCATGGATTTGCCACACATAGGAGCATCACTATCCTGGCTGTGTAGTAAAAGCTGTGCTTTTGATTCTCAACATTTCAAACACCACTGTACAAAACTCAAACTGATTTCACTCAAAATCGGTACTTTAGTGACAATTGATGACACCTAAATAGCAGTAAAATACTTTTTTTAACTGACTGATGTTAAAATAAAAAGAATTATTTAAAAATTCAAATTGTAAGTCTACTTTGCTTACAGCTGCATCGACACGATTGTGTACAGTCTATGCAATATTGTGTGGTGTGTATATTTGTGTATAATAATACCCGCTTCACAGCAATCATGCAGTGCTAGAGGTCAATACGCATTAGCATTGACTCTCTATGCTTTGCTGGAGTGGGATTTGCCTTGTCCTTTCTCTTTTCGGCGATGGAGTCTGCTCATACCTGGACCATCTACATCAGGATTTCATCAGAAAAATCAAGGAATGCCTCGTGGATTATCCCATCTGTTTAAACCTATCTGTCATTATCTGACGATGATGACCCACAGAAATTTACCCCTTCATCCATGCCTGCCTTCAGAAATTCATTTGTAGCCTAGCCCTGGGATCTACTTCTACTATCAATCTTTTTCCTACACAAAATTGATGCTTCTCGTTCTAATACTATCCAAAGCTCCTAACCGGTCAGATTTTAAACATTTACTTTATTTGGACTCTAGGAATCTCCAAAATAGTGGAGGGATCAACTAAGAAGAAGAAGAAGAAGCTGGCGCGGTGCGGTGGGAACGGATTATCTTTGGTACGCTTGACATTATTTAAAGTTTTCAACATCATCTTTGGTACACTTCACCACAAGCACCAACGCTATCTTCTAGTCACCAGCATTACAAATAAACGTTTACCTAATAAATCACCAAACTAGAAGATCATTTTGGGTGTGAAACAGACCCCTAAAAAGCGTACTAAACTAATTAACTAGGCCGTATCTACCTCCAAGGAGCTCCGACGCCGATACCGACATCTAGCAAGAATCTACATTTTATTTGTATTTGACTTTTTTTCTTTCAGAGTAAACTGTGACCGAGATGGAGTGTCATACACTAAATGAATTGAAAACTCATTTTGAGGTTAAGCTCACCAGTCTAGCAACATGCATGGATTTGGTTTCTATTGGTAAGCTGCTCTAGATCTACTCTGAATTTTTGGAATATTAAGGCCCAAAAAAAGAGCCAATATCAGTGCATCACGAATTGACAGTTCAAGTGTTTAACAATAGCATTACTAGCTATGTGACTTTAGCATTACATGTACCTTCAAAGCTTTTTATTCATAAATTGTATCTGATATTTACATTTGTTTCAGGGTCCTGCCATTACTATTTTTCAGATACCAGATAACATTTGTTATAGTTGTAATTTCCAAATGCAAATTCATGTTCTGTGTGTTTAAAAGCATTTAATTCACTTTCTTCTTTTGAAATGGGGATGAGAAATAATCAATATTTCCCACATTTAGCTGGAGTATATCATTGGTTTAGACTCAATTTCATCGCACATGATTTATATATTTGTCATTTTTTTATATTTAGTTTGAAATTTTTTAAATGTAAAGGTTTTATTGAAAAGAGAATAATTTGTATAGAGAGAGACAGAGAGATTCATGCATGGATGACCTATTGCTAATGTACAATGTAGGGGAAAATAAGTTTTTCTTTACACAAAAAATTACAATTGTTAAATGTATCTCCTGATCAGCATCAGAGCCTTATGGAGTGAGATCAGAATGCCATGAGCAGTTAAACATGATGGAAAGGGACCTGTGTGATGCTGAGTCAGCTGTGGCAAGGATCAGAGAATGGGTCAAAGAACACCAAGGAAAACTGCAGGCAGCACAGGTGATCAAGATAATTATGGAGTGGGTGGTTGTGGTGGTGATGATGATAATGATGGTGGTGGTGGTGATGGTGGTGGTGATGATGATGATGATGGTGATGGTGGTGATGATGATGATGATGGTGATGATGATGGTGATGATGATGGTGATGATGATGATGGTGATGATGATGGTGATGATGATGATGATGATGGTGATGATGATGGTGATGATGATGATGATGATGATGATGATGGTGATGATGATGGTGGTGGTGGTAATGATAATGATGGTGGTGGTGATGGTGGTGGTGGTGATGATGATGACGATGGTGGTGGTGGTGGTGATGATGATGGTAATGATGGTGGTGATGATGATGATGATGGTGATGATGATGATGATGGTGATGAAGATGGTGATGAAGATGGTGATGAAGATGGTGATGATGATGATGATGGTGATGGTGATGATGATGATGGTGATAATGATGGTGGTGGTGATGGGGGTGGTGGTGGTGGTACTGATGTTGTCATTTGAGAATTCCAAATAGAGATATATATTACATTGGTTTTGATTGAGATGGCAGCTTTGATGCCGTTTTAAATTAATTGTAAGTTTATTTGACAATTATTTTCTTATTGTCTCATCATACTCGGTTGTTTGCCTTTTCATTGTTTGAAATCATAACACTTCATTATAATGTATTGTCATATTGTCACAAATGTGAAATAATATTACTGTATATTATCTTTTGTGTAATGTTATAAGCTTAAAGACTATGTATTTCTGTACCAAATAAAGTATATTGCAATACACTGAGACTGTCCATAAAGTATATATTAAGAAAATAAGAAACTAATGATTTTGCTTTTAATTATTACTTTGGTAGGTGTTATATGAGAACCTGAAAGAATTGAACAGTCGCCTCTCTCACATGCAGCACAACCTCCCAGAGAGACTCCCAGCTAATCACCAACATGTTCAAAGACAACCCAGGTAAGATATAACTTTGCCCTAAAACAGACAGAAAGAGAGACAAGCAGACAGACAGTTGGTCAAACAGACTTTCAGCTCATCACAAACATGTTCAAAGACAACCAAGGCAAGAAATATGCCCTATAACAGACAGAAGGAGAGAGAGAGAGAGACAGACAGACAGACTGACTGACTGACCGACAGGCAGACAGACAGTTGGTCCAACAGACTTTCAGCTCATCACAAACATATTCAAAGACAACCAAGGCAAGATATCTCTGCCTTATAACAAACAAATGATGGATATTTCATTATGTATCTAATAATGGTAGATTACCAGAGAATCTCTCTCTCTCTCTCTCTCCATCTCGTTTTCTCTTCTCAACCTACAGTCAAGAAAATCATCTCCCTCTTCAATCCAAACCTGTAATTGAGAACACCAATCAGAATACAAGACATGGAAGCTCTACGTCGACAAAGCCTGTAAAACCTCCTCCAGCACCCATCATGGATCTAGTCACTGTACCCGAGTTTGAAGATGCTCCAAAGTGAGTATCAGATGCGTAACAAGTCAAGGAGGCATGATGGCTCAGTGGTAGAGCAGTGGTCTCGTAACCGTGAGGTCCCGGGTTCAAAACAAAGTCGATCTGCTAGTGCCCTTTGGTTATCCTCATTACCAAGTCCCTCTGAAAGGACTTCAAGCCATGGGTCCCCTGGTTGCTTACTTACAAGCATACACATGCTTCCTGAGCTGTCAGTTAAAACAAACAAACAGACAAACAAACAAATGCAGTGAGGAAAAGTATCTGGCATTTAGTTCTGTCGCATGAATCCAGTCATTGAGAGGATGGGGTACCCTATTGAAGGTGCAGTGTATTCATAGAGAGGAGTTAGTTGTGTCATCCCCTCTTTGCTTTTTTTTTTGGGGGGAGGGGCAATTATTTGTTGCAAGGGAGGTAGGAGCCACTCATGGGAATCTTCCACTTTGCTTTTAATAGTAGCACATGCCTAGAAGTCTCTCATCTTTTATTGCCGAGCCCACGTAATAAACTATCAAGGTGTTCCCATCTCAAATTGTCCAGGTCGAGAGAGCCACACGCATGGCAGATTTACATGTTGCTCTTGGAATTTACCCTGTGATTTAGGGAGTCATCATGATCTTATTGAAAGCATTCCAGGCAACACGTCCCTCTCTTTTTATATCCCCCTAATAATAATAATAATAATGATATTGGATAATTATATAGCGCACATATCACCATGCATGGTGCTCAAGGCGCTCCAACTATTACACCAGCTGTGCTAGGCAGCCGATTTTGGCGCTCACAGCATTCAAGGAATTCCTTCCCACCGGTACCCATTTAACACCTGGGTGGAGAGTGACAAATGTAGATTAACCCCTAATCTCCTCCTCATCCTAGATACATGAAAGGACGGATGACATACGATAACATCAACGGAGCGGTGGAAGGCTTCAACACAGCTATGGAGGTCAAGTACAGACTGATGAAGCGCCCTCGCTCTGCGCTGAATGACAGGGACAGGAAACAGTACCAGAAATACAAGGAACAGGAGAACAAGAATACAAAAGGTAACGGCTCTAATGCCTCAGTCACACCTTTGCGTATTTGGTTTGCGCGTATTGCTGCATATTTATGGCAAGCCGTCTTAACATTTATACGTATTTCTTGATATCAAGAAATGATTTTCTGTTGTAGAGTAATGGTATTTCTCGATATCAAGAAATAGGAAAAAATGTTAAAACGGCTTGCCATAAATATGCAGCAATATGCAAGCCAAATACGCAAAGGTGTGACTGAGGCATTACCCTGACACAATGCAGAGTTCAAGCATATTATGTTGTGTTATAACATTGTTCCTTACTAGCCTCTTCCAGAAAAATTCAACTAAACAGAAAATTGTGAAGTCACCATTCTGATCATGGGATAGTCAAATTGCTATCAACTTTTGTAGTCATGTTAGATCACAACTTTTGGTGAAACAGGCCCCTTGAGCAAGTTTATTAACAAAGTACAAATTAACAAATAGTAAACAAAAAAAGTGAAAGGCGTAAATATTCTAAAAAAGAATGAAACGCTGATAATACCAAACAAGAACAACAACAACATTCCTCCTAACAAATGTCATGGATACACTCTACAAATTATAACATCTGAAAAAATTGATAAAATGTCAATTTAAGATTTCAGTATGAATATTTGCTTCAGATTTGCCATTCACCATAGAATAATTACTATGAAATAAGATGGAGATTTTTTTTCTCCTGATTTATTTCTATGCAGTTTTGATCACACCATGGTATTGTGCAACAAAAGGTTCTCTGATGGGTTTTGCATAAAAGCTCTTAAGTGGTATTGACCAGCCTCGTAGTAGTTGTATTAAGCCAGTTCTTATATTTTGCTCTTATGCTCTGAACAATCGCCAAAGCAAGATGTCTGGATTTTTCTAATCTCAAATAATGAATTATGACCATTAATTTTCACTTTTTTTTCAGGAACATTCTTTGTGACGGAGGATGACCTGCGGAGACACGGCAGCCTGAAGATGGATTCCACAGCGAGGGCAGCGCTCACCATCCTGAGGCATTGTGGGAGGATGCGGGAAATAAGGGGCGGTGGGCTCATTAGATATGTAGTCATCCACTGAGTCCTGAACTCAATTTCATTCAAGATGACATCTAGTGAAGCATATCATAGTGGCCATCTCTGTACGAATAGACCTATATTGTGAAATACAGAACATCTCTTTCAGTGCCCATAGACACACTTGCGCGCAAAGTCTATGGAGGGTAAAAATGACACTGATGCCTTCCATGAAAAAAGTGCTACTAGGCAGAGTAAATGAGAGGGTCCAGTTTAACGTTAATGCCATGAATTTACCTGTCCAAAAAGATCATGGCTAAGTCGGACTCCTTCACCCAGGTCTGAGCCCTGTTTCATAAAACGTTTTATCAATAACAACTGCCACCAAGCCAATCAAGTGTAACAATTTCACTAGCTCATAACATTTTGTATCTTGTTATTGAAAACAAGTTTTATGAAATGGGGTCATGATGTTTATTTGAACCTTTGCAGAAAGAACTATCTGAGAGAGTAAACTATCTTAATCATATCTGAATGTAGTGTGTATGCATGCTTAGGCCTTTAAAAAAAGAAAGATGTTGTATTGCCCTTTAGGTGCCAAAACAGAAATCTTTTTTTTTTTTTTCCTTCTTTTAAATTTTAAAACTCCCTCTTTGGGCTGGTATTTCTCAGTTTTGAATGCCTAATACCTTTTTTTCCTATAAAACGGTATCAAACAAAAAATTTTTTTTTAAAGCTTACCATCAACTTTAAAATTTTTGGGTCGGTCGCAAAGGGCAATACAACATCTTTTTGGGCCTTATTATGAAGGTTAGGTCATATCTCAGCGTTGTGTATAAAGATTAAAACATTTCTTTCACATACATGTAATGGTTATCATCGATAGAATTGATTTAACCAAACATGTGTAGATGATGTTTCTTTCAAATGACTGCACATCTCAAAATGATGAATTGAAAATGATTTTTCTGTTGATGTTTTGAAACAACTGGCAAAATTTTTTATAGGCAATATTCCAATAAAACATTTTAGAAATAATCCAAAACGGAGGTTTATCATTGGTATTCTCTAAACCATGCAGTTTTCACTAATGAAATGTTGTGTTAACTATCATTGGATACATTACATAATATTTAAAAACTCATAGACTGTTATATATTGGTAAATAATTCCAATAAAGTCCAACCTTGACTTTTTGTTCTTCCTAATCAAAGCTAGTTATTAAATATATATTTTTGTAAAGAAGTTGAATCATTTATTAATTTGGCCTAGAATGTAAGGTGCAACACTCTTTGAAATTTTAAGAAGATTGAAGAAGATTGACAAACATTTCATATGGGAATTTTTTTTTCTTCAATTTTTGAAATTAAAGATTCTCTCTGTGCCTGTTATGAATAACCTTAAAATCTCACATATGATTGTGAATAGCTAAGCAGTTTCAAAGAAATTTCATACAATTTTCATTACCTATGTAACCTTGCTTCCAATCTCCTTCTGGACTAGTATCAACTGTATTTTCAGAACTCAATACCTCTAAAGTATATAAATTTTACGTAATTGACAACCATTCTTATATATATTTGAAAGGAAAACAGAAGTTTGGTACTGTATTAGCGAGGTTATATCTATTATGTGAGTAATTGTGCATACTCGTGTAGAGTGCTGTTGCTTTCTCATACAGTACATGTATTTGTGTTTTATATCATATTTGTATATAAACAATGAACACAACTTACAAAGATGTCTGAAAATGTTTAAATGACTTACGGTACATGTACATGACTGTTAGTGTTTTGCTCTTGTATATCCATGATCATGTCTGTGCTTTACAATTAACTCAGGATAAAAGAATTATCAGTAGTTTTAAGACTATTGATGACGAAAAGAGAGAAAGACAGAGTGTGAGAGAGAAAATAAGTAGGGTAAGGGGAATAATCTCTCTCTATATAATTCAATTATATATGATACAATGGAGAAAGAAAGAGAGAGAGAGAGAGAACGGGTGAATTGTGACCATATGAAACTAATGAATATATGAGATAATAAAACAAAAAGAACGTATTAACGTGAAAGAGGGAGCAAGGGGCAGAACATGTATTGAAGATAAACAAAGGCGAAATAAAGAATGACTGGTTCAGAGAAGATTGATGGTTGATAAATAGAGAGAGATTTTTAAAATAAATATGCTTGATATAAAGAGTGATTAGCAACAATGTTATTATGATTGCTTTAAAGCCCCACTGCACTACTTATAGCTATTTGCACCCTCTATATAGCAAAAATGCCTAATCGGTGACCATTGGTCCCCCATGATCCCTTTTTTCTTATGTTAATGTCGGGGACCATGCAGGGAGGTCTAATTCCTCCTGGCCAAACTAGTGCAGAGGGGCTTTAAAGTGAAAATAATAGTTTTCTTTTAGAGAAAATAGTGGAGAAACGGAGAGAGATATAATAGAGAGAAAAAAGAAGAACAAGAGTGTTTATTCTTTGATAAATACAAAGATGTAGAGTGTTGGGTGTCCACCAATCTTCACGATGAGGGGATGGGGAGGGGGGAGGGGCGCACCTACATGATTTTTCAATGAATTGGGCTGTACCATTCCCCCTCCCCTCGGGATACAAAGTAGAAGTGTAAAATCGAATGACAGTGGCAGATTCAGGCGCTATTTTCAAATTTTCGGGAGCAAAAAAAAAATAGTGCTCACTATTTTCAAAATTTTCGGGTACACCCGAAAAACACCCGAAAACAGCTGAAAACACTACCCCCCTTCCATACAAGCATTTTGCGTCCAATTGTTCAATTCTTCAGAAATGGGAAGAATACGAAGTAATGAGTTTGGGATTTGCGATTTAAGGACAAGTGTTTGCGACCAAGGTACAAATATTTGGTTATGATGCTACATTTTTGCACTTTTCTCTACCAACTGAAGGACAAACCACGAAGAAGCCCATGATTACGTAACAGATTACCCATTCGCATGTAGGGCGCCCTGAAGTACAATAATACAATGACTGATGGACTCGAGTCGGCTCTTTTAATTTCAGTCATCACAATAGTAATTCTAATTTGTTGGCGAAGCAAACAAGAGTTTCTGTACGCTCTTAAAACAGGTTTTGAATAGTAACAAATTGAATTGTTACAACCACTGTTTGTGTTCGGTAGCTTGGGCAGCCTGTCATAATACATGCCCCAAAGTCACCATACAGTATTGCCAAATACTCGGGGGAAATAGAAAGGACTAACACATATCATCTGCATTTATATCATGTATTATTCTAGATTACTGAGGTTATGTTAGCAATGCCAAAATCATAAGATATTAACTAGAAATATTTAATTAGATTTTTATACAAATATTTATGTTTGTGATATTGATAAATTACGAGAATGTGTCAAATTTGGAAGCGTCCAATTATTATTTATGTAAGTAAATTAAATTAATACCAGTAACATATACAAGCTATCAAGACACGTGTAGTTTGTGTTTGTTTGTTTGGTTCGTTTGTTTGGTTTTATTTCTGCGTTCATCGAAAAAATACAAATTCAAACTCAAACTACAAAAATTCGAACAATAACAAATACAATGAATAAAATGTTTACAAAAGTAATTAAATAGAAAATCATGTACAATAATATCATACAATGAACATTATATGAAGCATACAAATAAGATAAGAAATATAAATAAATATTTTTCAAGAGTTCGATGTCTCTCTCCCTCCCTCTCTCTCTCTCTCTCTCTCTCTCTCTCTCTATCTATCTTTCTCTCCCTCCCTTCCTCGGCCTCCCTCTCTCTGCTTCCTGTTTGATATTCACACACACGCCACTGGTTGATTTATGAACTACAACTTCTACCTAATTATTCTGATACATGATATTGAATAATTTGTCCCTTTACCAGTGTTTCATCTTTCCCATTAGGAACATCTCAGTAATATTTTACATCCCACTGTTCAGCTAATGCCATTTTTAAATACAGTCTTACAAACAAAACTGCAAAGCGATTCGATCATACACCACACTGTTTGGTTACTCAAATATACGCAAAGGTGATTGACAGGTATTCTTGTATCATATTCATCACAATTGTTTCACTGACAGAGTATACAAGACATATGCAACATGTACAATATAGGAAACATATCAAGCATATACAGCAAATCGCTAACGAAATAACATAAAGAAAAAGTTGAGATTCCTCAACGGTAATGAACAATCCGAATCTAATATATCTTAGGCGATCTTAAATATCAATATGAATAGTAGAAATGTAACCAGGAAAGTGCATTATGCTTAATTTTGCCATATCTTGATAGGGTTGATGGGGTAAGAGGACACTTTTTCTTTTCTTTTTTCTCGAAATTTGAAAAATTGACATTTTGCTCCGTTAGGGGGGGGGTGAGGTCACCTTTTTTAGGTCAGCCATGGGAATAAAAAAAAATAAAAAAAAGAGAAAAAAAACCCAAAGGGGGGGGGGGTTAGGGGGGTTTATACACATAAAAATACCAAAGGGGGGGTTTAACCCCCCCCCCCCTGCGTACGCGCCTGAGCAGGGGTGTGTACTAAAGCCTTGTTCCTATTCGTCATGTTATTCTCAAATGAGACTTTCAATTCAACACAAATTTCTATTCCATGAGGGCGGAAAAGGACCATGTCAGGGCGGCCTGAAGTTGGTCATGTGTTTACAGAAATATACTTCTATTGCTTGTCATGCTACCTTGTAAATCGACGTTTACAAGTATGCTCCCGCTTGATACCAGTTCAAATGATAGCACTACTTGCGCCATAATTATGTAGCTCAAAATACTATCATGCCGCCATGAGAAGCGGCCTTGAGTTGACATCGTATGACAATGGTTTAATACATGATGTAGGGTTTGCGTATTGTTGTAAAGATCACATTTGCCTGTTAGGCGCTGTCCCCATCTTTGTAGATTTCGGAATGTAGGGAGTGCATCAATGGAAGCCCTAACGGCAAAACTTAGCACTCTTCTGGGAAGATTATAGATGATGCACTTCCATGATATATCGGCATCTTGTTCGTTTAGCATGTTTATGTATTGTCCTTGAACCACCAGCGTTTGGGTTTTACTGACCCACTTCTTATCCCTTTCTTCTCTGACGACAGAAATGGACAATTGAAATATCTAGAATACAATGAAAACAAATACCTTGCTAAATAATTCTTATGAAAATGTAGTTCGCATGAAGCCTGACATTTTCTCCCAAGTGCCTTTCCAAAATGCACTCAGAAAACAAGGAAAATTAATGTAGAAAGTAGAAAATTTCTCTGAACGACAGTTTAGGACAGATATATACCGATATACATAATTGGACCAATGTAACATAAATGATAGCACCATGAAAGTACATTGAGATTGGCTTCCATTGCAATGTAGGCCTATCGGCAAATTAACAATAACACAAATATACTCAATCAAAAAGCATGATTTTTTCCATTATAGTTTCAATAGAAATAGTTCATACATTTTCAAAATCATTATAACACAAGTACAGATACACGACAGAGAGATCAGTTCAATTAATATTAGTAAGATTCCTACGGTCGTGTATCCCTTGATATCCTTATCCGGGTATTGGTCCACATAAGCATCATGTCGTCAGGTTTTAGGTTCGAGACCACTGTGAAGTGTTTAAAAAGCTTTACCGCTCTGGTCTTGTTTGCAATCCGTGATTCTTTGTCTACGATGAAGATGAAATCGTGATAGAGTTTTGGTAGGACTCCAAGCTGCTTCAGACAGATCCCCAAGAACACATCTTCCCAAGGAAACAATTGTGTTTTGATAGCAACGTTGTATATTCCTTCGGTGAGGTCAGACGATAGGAGATAACCTGGTCCATTTAGATACGGAGGGTATGTGGGCAGAGGGTAGTATGTCTCTGAGATGTAGTACTTGCTGCTTGTGTTACGTATCACCGGGGCATCCATCAGCGACTCCGCCGCTGTAAATTTCACGGCCGTAGCGTTCTTCAGCACCTGAAGCAGTCTGTTCTGGTGGATCATGGAATCATCGTCGATCTTCATCGTGTACCTAGCATGTCTGCAGTAGTTTGTGACCCACTTCAGTCCCATGACCGTCTTTAGGGTTAGGTTCGCGTAGCTGTCTACGAAATCCTCTTGCACGATGTCCTTGTAGGTTTCAGATTCGTCGTGAATGTCGTTCTGCAGGGTCATGTTATCTACCGCACCTAATAGAAAAACAGTCCGGAACACACCGGCAGTGAGAACAGGCCATCTGCGTTTGCTGCCGTATGTGTTGCGGATCAGCATCCTGCGCTCCAAGTTCTTAGGAGATGTCGTCACAATGAAGATGAGAAACACTTTTATTCTCCGTCCAGTCACCTTAGAACAGACTTTTGGTTTATGTATGTAGGTATAGTTGTGAGCATCAACAGGTTCGTCCACGTAGTGTTTGTGCCTTGGTATGGTTATATCTTTGTTGTAGATAATTTCACCAGTTTCTGCCGTTGGATGTTGAAGCTTTGGGTTGATAACCAACTCACTTTCATCATTCTTGGTAATCATATCCTCAGCCAAGAGATGATTCACCTCATCTATCAGCAATTGAAATTTACTCGGTTTCAACTCTTCTCGTTTAACAGTCTTCATCACCTTGTCCGCATGATGTCTCTTAACTTTATACCTCCCATTATGCTTCCATCCATATTCCCGCGGGGCGTGGTCCACATACCCTCCCCCATACCCATACCTTTCAACGTCGAGGGCACGCACATGAGAGTTAAAGTAGTTCTCGAGTGATGGATAGCTGTAGAAGATTTGGATACTGTACATGAAAATAGCACCAAGGAAGAAGGGTCCAATAGCTCGAGCCAGATGCATCCTCTTCACCATGATGCTTCCGTGATGAAGGACACAGGAGCTGATCGACAAGAAAAGTATTAGCAATCCCAAATCTTTAGTGCTTTCCTTGAATGTCCCTGTCAACTCGATTGTGGGTTTCCAATTAGTCTGTTATCAGTCATGAACAGAGAAAGGATATACAACACAGGTTGAATTGCCGAAAAGAGGACTATAATTTCTCCAAAAATTGTCGATCGTCACAGTACAGTCTTCCCCCTTCGCCATCAAGGCACCAAATGGCGACTCGCAGATAAATTGTAGTTTAAGCGTATTTGCTCAATCCTTACAAGTAGATAGTGTTCTGATGCTAATTTATTCTGCACCCTCATAAGACATGTCAAGTATGACACTCACTGTTTACCGACATCTAGACTCAAGAATTTCACCTTTAGACGTCTCCGCTTCATTACGTTACAACGTCCAGATTCCGAGGGGTCAAAAAAGAAAGAAATGGTAGACGGTTAACAAACAAAAGTATTGTGCACTATATAGATTCATTGTTCTATTAAACATGCCTGACATCTCATATTAGAGAGTTTTTACATGTAAATGGGACAAGGTGGAACAAATAGATTTTAATTGCAAAGGAAGTGAAAAAATGACTCTCAGTTCAAAGTCAAAATGCGATCGCAACTGGTTTCAAGAAATCAATCTAGCATAAAACTATGTATTTACACGTACACCATAGAAATCGAGTTCGATCATTGCAATGTTGACACCTTTCAAACGATGAGAGACATGGCTACTAAAATTGGGTTCAGTTTTATTTTGAGGTGTTTGCCACCGTGTTCAATATGGTTAAGTTCAGGGTGTTGTCTATTTTTTGTTTAATACCACATTGTATACTTTGTATGTACAGTATACATGTATACAAATTAATGATTCTTGATGATCTATGCTGCAAAATCATACCAAAGTGTTAGTCATACAGACAACTCTGACCAATGACGCTCCCCCTCTAGGATAGGAGCTCATGGAGATTTACAAAATAAGAAGCTTCATTTCATCAAAATCAAAACAATTTGATCATAATAAAAAAAATTTAAAGCGTACCGCATTTCAAGAAAAGTCCTTGGCATTCCTCATCCAGAAAACTTCAAATCTGAATTTTCGCCCAATAACTAAGCTGTGACGACACTGGGTGAGAACGTTATTTTCTGTTTCATTTCGTATGATAACTGTTTCTCAGTTGCTGGAAGATCGAGTATCTGAGGTAGACCTCCTCGAATTGAGAGTTTACCGAGGAGATGTTATTTAACAAAGGGTGTGTGTTCTTTTGGTGATGGGCAGGTTGACTCATTTCCTTTTTTTCGCCGCGCCCTTATCCTCTTGGTTTAGCTCTTGTGTCGCATCGGAGAAAGATTTGTCTGTCACTGTTTGTCTTCGGCTCTCATTGTTCTTTTCGTTTGTAGTTGTATCTTTTGTTGGTTCGCGAATCTGCAAAAGCGGAGGTTGATGAGGATGCCTTTGGGTTCTTCTGTCAGAATATTTGTCATCTCATAAATGGAGCTCGTTCTTCATTCGGTATGCCCCTTTTTGAGATGTGTGTTTAGAGGGAAGCCATACCGAGACCGCTTTGCAGAGTTCATTATGAAGCTTTCCTTGCACAAGAGAGAGTGATCAGAAGAGGGCTTGTGTTTTCAAAGTAAAATTACTCAAGAGAGAAACCCAGTCGAGATGGATTATTTAAAAAAATACTTGTACAAACTTTCAAATTTGTTTCAACCACACTTCCTCTATACATCTCCCAACAAAGAGCATCGTATTCACTTTGATCTACCTCAGCTCCTCCCTTCTCATTCCTAAATCTCGTAAACAGGCTGGCTTCAAATCCTTTCATTCCGTTGCACCACGCCTATAGAACAAACTCCATACATTTATGATAAATATTACTTCACTTGAGTTCTTCAAAAACATCTGTAGACATACCTCTACAACTCTTAATTTGTCCTTAGCTTAAGGGACAACGCCTTGTCTCTTCTGAAAAAGGCGTTATTATAAATCCAATTATTATTATCATAATTATGATATCAGTAGCACCCATACCCCCTGTAGTAGTGTTATTTTACCTGACTGCGAAGAAAGCATTAATGCTTGTTAGTAAGTAACCAGAGGACCGACGGCTTTAGGTCCTCTCCGAGAGACCTGGCAATGAGGATTAATACCTTGCCGAAGGGCACTAGCGCATTGCCTTGGTTTCGAACCCGGGTCGCCGGATTACGAGACCATTGCTCTCCCAACTGAGCTATCGCACCTCAAATCACTCTCACGCCATTTAAAGTGATTTTGGGGGTGATACAATTACTTGAAGATTGAGTATACGAGAAAGTACACCCCGTCAACCCCGGGCCTCTTCTGACACCAGCACACGCTGATTATCAAAGTTGATGTCTTTACCGTTCCAATGAGGAAGCCCCCCACCCCCCCCCCCCCTTAACACGCATGTGTCGTTTTCGTTACTACTCCCCTGCCTGATACTATACACTGACATTTCATTGAAGGGGGTGTGTGACCTCCCGCAGACAAACACACACACGCACACACACACACACACGCACACACGCACCAAACTCACACACACACACGCACACGCACACACACATGCACACACACGCATACAAACACAAGCGCCGAATAGAAGAATTATGGGGAAGAGGCACGTGCCCCCCCCCCCTCCTGAATGTACGTATCGAGGGGGTGTGAGAAGGATATGTCCATTTTCAAACCCAGCTAATTTGGTACATTTTCAAACGTATACAAATACATTCTTAGTAATGTCAAAACGACCACATCGGTATACATTTTTGTGTGCCTGTCAAAAGCTATCTTCAGAAGATAACATACAGGCCCCCCAAAAAGCTACAAAGTTATCCATGTTTGGGATACAGTTTGTATTTTGTAAAAATTTTACGCAGCACGATCGATCCGTCAATAGCATTTACATCGTAATCACCTCTATTGGATTTAGTCATATCAAAAGATGTTTTGATCTCCTTGTTTATCATAATTATCAGTACTTTAAAGGGTCTTTTAAAAGCAAAACAAATATTTCCCGAAGTGTGCAAAAATTATGTTTATTTTGCTTTCTCTTTTCTTGAATCGCTTTATAAATATATGCACACCATTATACTGTATTTCTCATAATTGAGCCGGGAGTGTCAACTTTGGCATACATGGCGTATTACAAATCTGTAAGCAGACCCCCTCTCCCCGTCGTCAGAGGGCGTGGTCGTTCGAACATTAGACCCCCCTTTTTTCTTCAATTGATCATGCGGATTTCTGCTGGTTATGATGAGTTAAAGAATGCATGTGCCCAGGCGCGGATACCGGCAAAAAACAAATTAATAATAATAATTGTGACTAGAAATTGTCCTCTTTTTTTTTGCTCAAGGGGGGGGGGGGGGGGTGTTGAGCGAAATAGCGGCCGGCACGATTTTCAATTTCCGAGGGCAAAAATGTTTTTGTTTAAATAGTGCTCACTACCCCCCCTTCCCCCCCCCCCCCCCCCCACTGAGCGAAATATCGGCCGTCACGATTTTCAAATTTCAGCACACTAAAATGTGGGCCTCCCCCCCCCCCCCTAAGAAATTCTGTATCCGCGCCTGCATGTGCCTTTTACCATTCTCTTTCAATTTTATTCAGGAAATTAAAAGTTCAAAATGTGATCGTTACAGTAAATAGTTACGTGTGTTTCTCCTTCCAGTTACCATGATTACAGGTAGGCCTAAATGACGACTGGCTTTTGATATTCCCGTATACACCATTTTCGCAAAGATTTTGATAAAAAGGGATGCCATTATTCCATAAGAACATATTTCCACAAAAATGGCAGAGGATCTTTTTGTTGTTGACGATGAAAATGTTGATGCTAGATGATTTCATTTGCTACAAGCACAATACATATCACACCTAAGTATTCCATGATCGTTTGATCATACTTTCCCCAAAAGATAATTTTCATGAAAACTGAGGGCTTTTGAACCTTTACCCCAATGACCGCTATAAACTCTTTCTTCTCATTCAATCGGCTCATGTTCATTCGTCCCTTGCTACTTTCTTTAAGCCATGCATCCTTTTCTTCTGTTTATAGATTTCGACCCCCGCGTCCTTTTATTTATTTTGTCTCCATCCGTATTTACTTCAATCTTGTTCGGAGAACCACTGTATACATACATTTTCTTTACAAGAAAATCAATATTTTTTATTTTGCTATTATCCATGGTCCACCACGTGGAGTGAACTATTGATTTTTTCGAAGGCCCTCTCAAAGCGCTTTACAGATATATTACCTATTGGCCTAAACAGGAAGATGTTTTTTGATTCGCCAATGCTGGCGACCACGTTACCATATGGTTCCTATATTAAATCGCCCCATTGAGTACTAGGAGTTAGCAAAAGGTCCCAAACATTCACAAATAGTGGCAAAGGTTGGCAAATATTTGCTAACCTTCGCAAAAAATGTCGCTAACATTTGCTTACAGTCGCTAATAGTCGCCAACTCTCTTTCGCAAACATTCGCTCAAATGTTGCTAATTGTCGCAAAACATCGCTAAAAGTCTCTAAATGTCGCAGAGGCGAACCCTGATTTTCACAAACATTCGTCAGAAAAGTTGGCGATCATAAATTCGCAACGTTTGTAAGCATTCGCCGCTCAGAGAGATACACCCTTAAAAGGGTAGATAAGTACGTGTATATACTCGGTCACTTTTCTTGGGACAACCCTGCACGCCTGTATATACTTCCACAATAGTTCCTGCTGTATAGTACAGTCTAACAATGTGGGTTGGCTTTTTATTTAAAGGTTACGTAACCGACCATCATCGAATCCTTTTCATGGTTTGGTCTCAGTTTGGTCTCAGTGTTCTGACCCAGTGGTTTTCACAACCCACTGTCCGAGGGCAACGGACGTGAATATGCATACGTGAAAGCATCTTTAAGGAATGCTCTAATTACCTCCCACCATTCAGATAAGTGACATTTTAAGGTATTAACGTGGCAAGGATCTCATCGCAATCGAGCTATCCCTGCTGGTCGTGGATGTCCTCAAACCATGCCACTATTTCGGAGTGATTCCGTAGGAATTTGATTTCATCACGACAAACCATTTTGGGGACCAAAGACTTCAAAGTCTGGCAGGAACATAAAGAAAAACAAAATTTAGACTCATAGTGGAACATCTATCTGTTTGTCGCATCAACACACGTGTCGGCATCTTTGTGAAGGATCTCCTGCTTACAGATTGTAAAGTAAGTATTATTAGTATACGACAGATTATATCGATGAATTACATTTGTATGAGTTGTATACAGTGCGACCCAGAAAAAACGAAACCGAGAATTATCGATGTTTTATCATAACTTAATCACAATTATAATTAATAAATGACACATATTTGTAAAGCTTAGATCCTCTTCTTTCAGTTGATGCAGCTCATTATGATGCATATTTCACGCATGAGTGATTAAAAGCAATTTGAAGGGAGAAAACCAAAAAGTCATTTGGCGGGTGGTATCTGAATTTCGAAGAAAAATTCACATTTCTAGAAATTTCATTTCCTGCCTTTCATATGGCCTCAATCAGGAATAACAAAGTTCTGTAAACGTAATGCTTCCTAGGAGAAATTTCAATTATTTAAACATATTTGTTTTTCAATACAGATCGATCAATCGATCTTATTTACTTGGTGTAAGCCACAAATATGTTTAAATAACAAAGTTCTGTTTGATTAAAGTGATGCTTGCATTCCCATAATTTTAAGTGTTCCATAGCAGTCTTACAATAGAACCAAATAATAATCTTGAAAAAATACAACGTAGAGTATGTAAGAATATTTTAGGGCCTAGTTACATTACCTATTCTAATGCATGTCAAGTATGCAATTTACCAACTCTTGAGGAGAGGAGACTAGCACTTTGCAGAAAATTCGTAAAATCCCTTTCAAATCACTCTATTTGTCAGCCAGACCTGGTTACCTAAGAAAAAATACACCAATATCCTCTTCGCCGTATTCCCATTTATCAACAATTTCAATTCAAAACAAAAAGATTTAAAAATAGCCCACTGTCATTTCTAGTTGACATAGTTGAAGAAAAAAAAATTGTTTTATTTTGTACTTTTATCGTTATTGCAGGTATACTAAGTGCTTGTCTCCTCCCCTCAGCAGGCTGTTTTGTACATATTTTAATCTTTTTACCATGCTTGTATTGACTTTTATAGGACATTTGTAAACAATTACAGCTGTATTTCTGGAAACTCGTGCAATGTGTTTATGGATTTTAGTTACAGAATCTAAGTCTTATTTTTTATATTGCTAGTTTTTTACATGTATGTATTTAAAAGTGTTATCTATTGTGCCGAACAAGTAAACATGAATATTCCAGCCAAGGCTGTCCTTCATGTAAAATTGTATTTGTATGAACCATGTTTCTGCTATAATAAAAACCATTTTTGAATTGAATTTAATTTAATTTAATAATCGAAATCGTTTTCACTGGCTGCTTGCCGTAGCAACAAACGGAATTGACAAAAGATTTAACTCCGTTTCGTTGACGATCAGCCATAGACGAAAGACTTCATGCATAGCTGATTTTCAACGAAACGGAGTTAAGTCTTTTGTCAATTCTGCTTGTTGCTACGGCAGGAGGCCAGTCAAAACGAACTTTAAAATCAAATTATGGAAATGCAAGCATCACTTTAAACAAACAGAACTTTGTTATTCCTTGCTTATTTTTCCTGATTGAGTTATCATATGAAAGGGCAAAAACTGAATTGTCTAGAAATGTGATTTTCCCTTGAAATTCAGATACCACCCGCCAAATGAATTTTTGGTTCCCTCTCTCCAAATCCATTTCAATCACTCATGCGTGAAATATGCATCATATGAGTTACATCGAATGAAAGAAGAGGATCTAAGCCTTACAAATATGTGTCATTCAGTAATCAAAATTAGGATTAAGTTATGATAAAACATCGATAATTCTCGGTTTCGTTTCGTTTTTTTTTTTTTATATATGACCGTAACATATGGAAAAAGTGATTATTCAATGCACTTTTGCCATTTTTTGAAATATATACGAATTCAACTTTGAAACGCAAACTTGTTTCTTCGTCAGTGAACATGATTATACAAAAATGAATTATTGTATAAGAGAGTATATTATGTTTGTGTGTATAATGAATAATAATAAAAACGTTACTTATAAAGCGCTTACCACCGAAGTCTCTAAGCGCTATACTCAAAGAATAGATTGATATACAATTACATCTTATACAAAACTAAAAATGCAAATAAATATACAAATTACAATACATATGGAATACACGTCAAAGTGAACAGAGTTAATTAATCATCGAACGCAATTTTGAATAAACGTGTCTTGAGACTAGTTTTGAATAGGTTAACAGTTTGACAGTTTTTTTTACATTGAAAGGTAATCTGTTTCAAAGTTCAGCAGAAGCTTTGCGAAAGGAGCGATTACCATAAGAAAGAGTTGACACAGAAGTAGATACGAGGTTTAATTGTGAATATGACCGTAAATTACGCGAGGGTTTGTATTCCTCGATTAATTCTTGCAGATAAATTGGTGCCAATTCATGAATGCAATTCGCAATTCGCGTATTCGCGTAATGTATGTTTTATGTTCATTTACAGAACCATAATAATTACGAAGTATATCTACTACCATCGGTTTTTGTATGCACTGGAGTATGATTGGAGTACTCCTCACTATTGTGCTTATTTATGTTTCATTAACTTAATAATTAAATGAATATTCATATTCGAAAGTGATAGGAAGCCATACCCCTCATTGGAGATAAGGTTTGGTAACTCAAGTTTGGTCGATTATATCTCTCTTAGTTTGAAAATATTTGTGGCTTAAATCCAGTAAATAAGATCGATTGATCGATCTGTAATTGAAAAACAAGTCAAAAAAATCTTGGAACCAGCGGGATTTGAGCCTGCCATCTACTGCTTGCTGGGCAGCGACTCTACCACCAGGCCATCACTGGTCCATGGCACAGTCATGGTTCTCCCAGGAAGCATTGCATTTATATTTTAAAATATATATATATATATATATATATATATATCTTGTTATGGCATAACCATCGCTATATCTATTATCATAACAAAGTTTGGTTATTCTTCTTTTAGAAACATACCCTATTTTGTATGATTTGTCTGTTATGGAATGCACATTACATCAAATTAAGGGGGAGGTCAAATGTTAAAATTGCAAAAGGCACTGCTCTTGTTCAGCTGTGCATTCTTCTTTCTGTGAAGAGTGTAGGGTGATGTGTAGTGCACTGTTTAACAAAACCAGTGCTTACCTGTGTATTTTGAAACTTTCACTTTTGACCCTGCCTCTTATTCTAATGTACTGCTTGTTCCATGGCTGCGAAATAATAACACAATATTGTATAATTCTAAAAGAGGAATAAACGTACTTTCGAAAAATACAAAACAAAACAATGCATATCTCATGACATGAGAGATATAGTTGATCAAACGGAAGTTTCCAAGCTTTTTTGAGGGGTTAATAATTTAGATAGACTGATGACGTCACGTGGCAACGGTGAAAGAAATCTTTTCTAAATATTTTTGTAGAATAGATATTTGGCCTTATGAAAGTAAATACTTCTAATCAACATCATGATATAAATAATTGCAATAATTATCATTCTTATTGGTATTTTGAGAATTGCTATTAATATTTGTAATAACATGATCATGATGAGGTGCTACCTTTCTTATTTTTTTTTAAAATCAGGTCTACTTTAGTAACGATGATACCCCGCCGAACTATTGCTAAACTAGCCTGCCTCATTCTCATCGGCCCTGTATTCATCTACGGAATCGTGAAGTTCAGGTACCTATTGGATGCCGAGCACGAGGTCCGTCAAGGTCGTATGTCTCTCTGGAGAAAGACTGGGTACGGAGTCCAAAGTTCGAGCAGCGAGGGTGAAATGTCCCCGAGTCTGTACTGGAAGAGGAGAAGTGCATCTCGTCTGGTCGGGGACAAGACGAAGGAGAATGCGGAAGAAAAGAATGTTACCAAACTTCGCAAAGAAGTGATAATGGCTCTGAAAAAGCTAGATATCGCAAAAAAGAAATTGCACCATCGAGAAATTTTAAACAAATATCCGTATACTAGTGGAAAGCCGGGATGGAAAATGGAAAATAGTTCTGAAAACAAAGTAGGTATTGTCAATAAATTACATGAGAAAATAGAGCACTCTGATATGCAGAAAGACGAAATGGGCCTTGATATATTGGAAACCGAGGGTGAAATCGGTAATTATTTCGATGAGGATGATGAAGATATTGAGGATGACCCCAATCTAAATGCGGATGTTGTACGAGCTGTGCCTGTCTCACATGTAAAACGATACGTGGATGAACCTGTGGATCCACATGAATATAACTACATTTACAACCCATCTCACCGCTGCTACGACAAAGATGGACGACCTCGCAGTGTCTTCCTACTCCTGATGGTAGTAACAGCACCGGGGCACTTCCAGAGGAGGGATGTCATCAGGAATACTTACGGAAGCGAGGATCAATGGCCCGCTCTTAAGAGAGGTGTCTTTACCACGGTGTTCCTTCTTGGAAAGACCTTCAACGACACTCAGCAGAAGATGATAGACAAAGAGGCCCATATATACAGTGACATCGTGCAGGAGGATTTCATCGACACCTACGCCAATCTCTCTCGGAAGACGGTGATGGGGTTGAAGTGGGTGACGAACCACTGTCGACATACCACTTTTGCCATGAAAATTGACGACGATTCCATGATCAACCAGGGGCGGTTCCTCTGGATCTTCAAGGATTCCTCGCTCACAAACTGGACAGCATCAGAGACAATGCTGAATGCCCCGGTGTTACGTAGCACCACTAGTAAGTACTTCATCTCCGAGGAATATTACCCTGCACCAACATACCCACCGTATATGAATGGTCCTGGATATGTCTTGTCTTCGGACCTGGTTGAATCGGGCTACCACATGGCTCTCAAGACACCCCTCTTCCCATGGGAAGACGTCTTCCTCGGCACCTGCTTCAAGAAGATGGGTTTCAAACCCGTTTACCATAAACGTTTCCTGTGGATACCCAACCCTCAGTTCTTCACTTTAAACAGCGAGAGGACAATAGTCTCAGGAATACGTCCCTACATTGTGATATCAAATCTACAACCTAATACCATGGAGTTCGTTTGGTTTATATGCAAAATTAAACTTATCAGACCGGTATGATGCCCTAATTGCGTCTTTCATTTTCAACTCAAAACAAATCCAAAGTTTCTATATATTCTTATAAGTATGAAATTTCGTTTCCTTTTAATGATTTAGTTTCATTTAATACGAAACGATGTCGTACTTATAGACAGATGACAGAAAGAAAACTTAGTTTCTGCATGCTGATATCGGAATTACTGAATCAAATTATTTATCATTCTCTCTCAAGAATTTCATATAATAAGACATAAAAATGATGCGTTTCGGATATGCCAATAGTGTTCTTGTTTTTTCATCTGTCCTATCTCGGTATAGCTTGCCATTAAACTATCTCCCTTCTTTTAATTTGATGATGAGTTTGTCCTGACGACTTAATAAGTACTTACTCAATTTGTTATTAATTATGAACCTGATAATTAACCGCATCTGCTTTGCATGCTTATTTTATATATGATATATAAAGATATTGATAATGGAAATAGAAATAATGATGATGGTATATGGTAATGATAATCAGGCGCGGATCCAGGAGGCCGAGCGAGCCTTGCCCCCCTCCCATGCCCCCCCCCCCAAAAAAAAGACCGGCAAAAAAGTGCTCACTAAATTTCAGCGCAATAAATTTCAAATTCATTTGAAATTTGGGCATCCTCCCTAAGAAATCCTGGATCCGCGCCTGATGATAATACAGATAATGATAATATCAACGATAACAATGATCATGATAATAATAACGGTAATGACAATTATATTTTAAAAATTATGATGATAATTAAAATGAAATGATAATGATAATGATAAGAGTGAGAATGAAAATGGTGATGATGAAATGTAATTGATAATAAAGTCGTACCCTACCCCCTCACAATTGGCGTAAAATTTACCGTTTATCAAAATCAAAGAAACCGTTTGCCTGTAAACAACGTCCTTATATTTTCAGTTTGGGATTTAGAGCATTATCAAGTTAAAGAGTGCAGGAAAGTTAACACGCCGTTACTTTTATTCAAATCACGTTGGTGTACAATTTACGCGATAATATTTTTATATCCATGTTTTTATTTGTAGTTACTAACTTACTCGAATGTTTGATAATTGAAACTGAATATGTACTTGCCATTAACGATAATATGTGTTATCCTTGAATAGTTCTTTTTCCTGACAATTCTGTTTCTGGACATTCTGGTATATCAAATCAATGTATATAGGCCTAACATTTAATTTTGTTTGCGTGTTGTGGGCTTGTGTTTTTTAAATTTTATTCAACCTTGTATTCACAATTTAGATTACCTGCCATATCATGTTTATGTGAGTGTATGTCAACATGTAATCTTTTTCCGTTTTTTTTTTCTTTTTCACTTTTTTCATTTTTTCAAATTTTTTCAAGATACTTTTTAGCATTTTGTTTTAAGACCACGGCATTCAAACGTTCGAAATGAATGCTTACCCTATTGAAATTCTAATATAAAAATTGAAACCCAAATTTTTGGTTGGTATCTTTATTAAGTTTTTAAAGAATAATGTAATGTTATATAATTGCAGATCATGGTATTAGTGAATGTCATCATCTTTGTCAACTACATTAGTTTGTGAGTAATATACAATCATGACATATACTTAATACCATTTGAAAGTAATAGATCGTTAACCATTGCTTAGTGAAATGTGATCTACAAATTGCTAAAATGTACTTAAATGATAGTCATTAGTATATACGGGTTGCCAGAAAAAGCAGTTGTTTTTTATTGCTGCATTTGATTGCGCTCCTCGTCCACATTCCAATTTAATTAAAAAAAATTATTCATTGGCATCATCTTCAAATGTTTTAATAAATGTGTTTTGTTCTTATTTATATCACATTCATGGTATTTATTCTGATTATTTGTTCATCCTTTTATAATCTGCAACCGCCGAAGTATCTTATGTTACTCCTTTTTTTTTTTTACATAATGCTTTCGCTTAATCAAAACATTGGTGTCTAGTTGCTTTAAAAACAAAACAATATACATCGTAGAAGAGTGACTGGTTGAATGGATATGACGTTGGACTGATGCGAATGGGTGTATGATGTCATGTTAGTCATTCAATTATGTCAAGTTGAATATAAAATATGACTGACGTTTTTATGGTAACTTAATTCAATATCATAGTAAGGGATATTTGCAACAGAAGTATAAAGCAGTTGGTAGCCCATTTATATTTGTGAAACAAACGCAACGCAAGGAACAGTTCGTGGCTCGTATTGTGGAAGTACACTAGTTAAAAATGGAACAGAAAATTCTTTTTAGTAAACTGCATTACACGTTAACTTTTTTCACCTTATTTGCATTCATTAAACAAATGAAACAAAGGTTAAGCGCAATCACAACAACTAAATGGAATACGGAATTTATACAAATTACATTAACTCAACATTTTCATAGACCATTAAATGAAAAGATATTCTTTCTAGGAAAATAAGAAATATGACAAATATTAGTATAACCGTTACTGGCATATCCAACATAAAATTGTACCGACGCAAGGCGCCTTCCCCGGCTGAAGTGCCATTGGAAATTAATCGAATTTAAAACGTATCTACGGAACCCATACACTCCCCCCCCCCCCCCCCCCCCAACCCGAGGGATTCGGCTACCTTTTTGTAATCAATTACCAATTCCTCGTTACGCTACTGTGTGTGTCCTCATTTTGAGGGTGTTAGGGAGTGTCCTATTAGGGACTTTTAGATTTGCGTGGACTGATACGTGGTACTTCCATTCAAGGCAGTGCTTTAAAAGGACGTCGATCGTAGCATAGCCCTATTGTCTTCGTGCGAATCTAAAAGTCCCTAATGAGAGAAGTTTGCACAAAATGTCGTTAAAATAAGTTCAGAGAGGTATAAGTGAAGAAATCCACATAGGAAAATAGCTTCTTTAAAGAAAACAAGGGAGAATAGAGAAAGAAAAGAAGTCTTGACAAGGATTACAGACACATCAAGGATAATTTGATAAAGGAGAGTACCAACGTATTGCATAATACTCGCAATAATGCTGTAAATCATGAAGAATAAAGAAAGAAAAAAGCACTTCGTTAATAAGGTCACACTGGCATGGGTGAACAATGAGAATGATAATAAAGACTGAGCCAGTAACTATGTCACAAACCGATTAGAGCATAATTACGATGCACTTACAGCCTGTAATTATATCGTAATCATGTTTTACAAGTAGCCTACCTTCAAATAGTAGCGTTTGAGTGAGATGTGTTTAAAATGTATACAGAGCTCAAGATATGGAGAAGTGGAAGATTTTAATCGTATGATGATAAGAGATCTTCTCTTTATTTAGTTGGTGAGAGTTGAAGCCTCAAAACAGATCGGTATACCTCCTTGGTCCTCCGGTGTGGAATATTCATGGTGTACACAATTCTGAAAAGATTTCAGTTAATTTCTCTTTTTAAGCTGAAATTACAACTTCTCCCCTTATAAGTTTGCATTTGGGAATCAAGACAGTGCTTGCTGTGCAGATTTAGGCACATACTTTCTATAACTCCTTCAACGAGTCTGCATATACTTAACACTCACTGTAAGAAAAAACAAACAAATTATGCATACATAGAAACAAAAAGTATTTGTCTTAGTGCCGCGGTTGCCTTGGACAGGAGGTGAGCTATTTGGTATTAGACGATTATCTGGCTACCAATTCCGATCTGAAGGGAATCCTACTTATAATCATTCTTGAAAATAAATTCAGCAGTAGAGACGGCCGAATCTTCACATCAGCAGCACCACGCAATTTTGCTCAATGAATTCACATATTTTGCATAATGTTGATGTATATCAGGTTACAACGATATTGCAGAGATCTTGACGGTTTGAATTGAACATTTAATAGTTTGTCTCTCGTGAGGCCGTTTACAAAACACTATATTTTGTTGAGAAGAAACGTCATATTTGCGTAAACTACGTTACGCTGGTGATTTATTTAGAAGTTCCTTTCAACAAAAATGAATTTTACTGAAGGATACAAGTTGGTGGATGGTAAATCATTGAGGAACACACATCGTGATATCAGACACCACCGTTATCCTGATTTTGTCTTTGGAATCAAACCAAAGGTAAGTGATTGAAATAACGTTTCTGTTAAAATTGTCAGATTATGTATCAGACACTTATATTTTGTTATAGAATACATTTGGAAAGACGATGAAATAAAAATATGCTACATAATATTCAGTCTCACCATCCAAATATTTTAAAATCATATTGACCGTTAATGACAAGCAATACAATAACTGAATTCATTAGTAATCAATGATTTATTCATTAAGGAATTGTACTTTGTTTTGTTTGTCTTTTATAGAAAATGCATATTTAGATCATTATCCACATTGTCGCTCTAGATTCTTTTTTTTTTTAATTTATATTATTTTATCTTCTAGTTATCCATGGGCTTGCTCTCCGCCTTAGCCCGTGTCGCCTGGCCGCTCCTTCTCGTCACCATCTGCGTATATTTGTTGATACTCGTCGATAGTTTATCCAACAAACATCAAGTGACAACACGACAGACAGAGTCATTCCAAATATTGCAACAAATGAATATCACACTCTCAAATAGAACGTTATTACAAACCTCTCACGAGCTGAAAGATAATACCGACAGCACCGAAAGAATTCCTAAATATCAGCCTTACGTAACCAAAACTAAGGAGAACACATCCTACAACGGTGGAAATGGATTATATCTGAATGAAACCGTCGATAAACACGAACACAAATACATTCATAATCCATCTTTATTCTGCAGAAAGAAGAATTTGGAGCCCAAACCCATCTTTTTGCTTATCATGATTCTTACGGCACCAAAGAATATTATACGACGAAATGTCCTCCGTGGAATTTATAGGGCTGAAAGTGCATGGCCGCGATTAAGTAAAGGCGCTATTGAGACGGTGTTTTTACTTGGAAAGACAGACAATGGGATACTACAAAGTAACATTGATAGAGAGTCTGAACTCCATGGTGATATCGTTCAGGAGGACTTCGTTGACTCCTACGAAAACCTGACGATAAAGACGGTCATGGGACTCAAGTGGGTGACCTTTCATTGCCGTCATGCAAGCTACGTCATCAAATGCGATGACGATTCCGTTATCATTCAAGTGAGGTTTTTCGCAGCTTTCTTAAACTCACCAACGACAAACTGGGCGGCTGGCAACGCTCTCTTTGACTCACCGGTAGCACGAAACACCAGCGAAAAATTCTTCCTTCCGAAAGACTTCTACCCTTTCCCGACCTATCCTCCTTATCTTAATGGTCCTGGGTACATCTTATCTACTGATCTTGTGGAAAGTATCTACAAAGTAGCCATCACCACACCTCTCTTTCCATGGGAAGACGTCTTTATCGGACTATGCCTTCAGAAACTCGAAGTAGTGCCATACAATGTCGATACATTTTTAATGTTTGCTCCTAAGTACTGGCCTGTTAATTTGAAGGAGGACGGAATGAAACCATTTTGGGTTAAGGAATACTCGCTGATTACCAATATCGAACCAGAATACATACCGATGATTTGGGAAGCTGGTCGACTTAATTTTAAGAAATATTGATTATTATTATTTTATTTGGCATATCAAGTCACATAAATACAAAAATATAACAAACGTGAATTGAGATGAAATCAATAGAAAACATATATAAATATTGTAATAGCAGGTGCATCAGGTCAAGCTGCCCGGGTATCGATGCTCAATATATTATTTTTTTGTTATAGAGACTTTATTACAGTTCTGGCATTCGTTATAAATATCTACATATTCAACCATGTTTGAAAGATTCATAAGAGTAATAAAGAGCGGGGTGTTGGTAGACAAGTCGAATTATTAGAGCAAGATCTTTCAATGAATTGTGTCATGTCTCTGATCTATCGTGGTGATGTTGTATTGTGAATTTACCAGATGAACATTAAACACGTACTGTTAATTCTAATACAGTTACTTACATTCATAAATTCGTTATTACATAGTATAGCTGTTTACACAAAAAATGTACAGGTTGATTTATTAATAATTTGTCGTCGCTAATGAGACAACTTACCAGCTGGTAATAAAAAATTATCGACAATATAATTTTATCATTTTTTCTCCAGACGGGCGGTCGAATATATTGTTGCTGATTGAATACAAATCACAAACATATACGTATGTATTATAATTGTGTGCGAATCTAAGAAACAAAAACGAGAGAGGCCTATGGTTGAAAACATAGATAATGAACATGTTTATTAAAATGACTTAGAAGTTATACCTGATCAGGCATTATAATGTGAAGTTACCACTAAAAATTATAATTCATCCAGGTTTGTTATCATCCTATTATCTAGAGTGTTACCAAGGAGAAAAAAAATGTGAGTGAAAAATTTCTTTTCGTTGCTACCGAAATACATCTTTACTAATTTCAGCGTAAATATAGTTCTCACATTGAATTTGTATGGTCTGATTTTATTAACCTGGTTTTGATGTCGATAGAGTAAAAGATGTACTTGCGCTTTTCTTATAGCACACACACATTCATCGCTGGACTCTTTCTCTTTCTCGCTCTTTCTCTCTCTCTCTCTCCCTCTCTCCTTCTCTCTAGGTGCCACTTGCGCTTTTTGTTAATAGCACACACATTCGTCACTGGACTATTTATATATCTCTCTCTCTCTCTCTCTCTTTCTCTTTCTAGATGCCATTTCTGTCGACGTTTTGCTTTCCCACAACTCTCTGTATCTAGCCTTCGTCATGAGCTCCATTCCCTGGTCTATTTCACTCCGCCTTCCTCAATTGAGTCATCTCTGCGGATTGTCCATTCGTAGTACTCTTCATATTCGTCTTTCCTGTAAATGCCAGACTTTCCAAACCACATTTTCACTTCACTGGACAGCGTATGTAAAATGGTAATTCAAATCACGATTGTCTTGGACAGACACTAGCACACGAGGCAGAAAGGGAAGGGGGCATAGGGGGCTACAGCCCCCGGTAATTTCTATAATTACAACTCTTAAACTTTTCAATTTTCAGGCAACCACATCGCCACATATATTCGGACAGTCTGTGGTGAGACTTGTAAGTTCTCCATTTCTACGTCCTGCGGACAAAATCTAGACTGGGGGATAGGGGAACCCGGAGCAAAGTGGAACGCGGGGCAAAGTGAAAAACGCCCGGTAAATTTTTGTTTATGCTGCCATCTATCTAAGTTCAATAACACTGCAACGAGGATATGCATCGCTTTTTTTTTACCTGAGTTGCGTGAATACGTCAGCTATGTGTACTTTTTACGGAAAATATCGGTTTTTCATACATAAAAACCGATAATTAATATAGGTACATTATCTGCTATAATACTGTGTTTCTGCCGAATTATCACGAATGCCATATTAATAATGGATGGGCTTAAGCTTAACTTTATACATCGTAGCACCGCTAGTAATCATTGACCTACGTGAAGTAATGCTGTTCGGGGCAAAATGGATGGGGCATAGTGGGATGTGTTACATGGTATTTTACTTTGCCCAGGAGGTCCGGGGCAAAGTCAATTTTTAATATTTTTTGGAAGTTCATAGTATTTAATAAAAATGATTATTTGAGAAACATCGTTAGTGTCATCTGTTAGTGGAAGTCCAAAGGTAAAAGTATAGACCAAATGTTTTGCTTTATTTTGCTTTGTAATACTGTTCTGGTTGTTCAAATTTTGTTGGTAAACTTTGCCCTACCATCGCTGCGTACAGACCATTCGTGGATCACGCCCTCTTCGGCCTCCAGTCAGCTGCAAGTAGGAAAGGGAGCTACCTCGCGAATAAAATAACATAGGCCGAGACAGTATTTTTAATACTGCCTTCATTGAGCACGGTCATTCAAGCCTATAAGATCCCTTTGTATTTACCCACTCTACTATACCCTCTCTCATTATATCAAAATAAATTGCATGTGTAAACTTCAGTCACATAGACACGAATGCCATATGAGTAAACTACTTAAAATCTTCATGTGGAGATGAGATCGAGCGAAGCAGGCAGGGATTGAAGAAGGAAAACAAAATCGTATACACATCCGTGAGACTTCTACTGTAGATCCGCCTCTCTGTCTCTCTGTGATACGAGATCAGGATTTGAACAAAATGAATTTGGCAGAACGGGGTTTGTTGCGAGATGGAAGTTTATTTAACAAAAACAGGAGTAAGAGATCAGACCAAATGCCAGCTGATAATGGATGTTTGGAAAGAACGACGGAGAGGGTGAGGAGATGGCTTCGTTTATTTTCGTTAGTAGTTCGACAACCCTACTGTTTGTATTGATCCGTTAGCATGATTTGCGCAGAAGGGGGCAGAGTATTTTTAAACAGTTTACAAACAGAACATTGATTTGTTACATTATATTGTAAATTTTATATGATATATATGTTTCCAAACAGAATATTGATTTGTTACATTGCATTGTAAATTGATTTATATGTTTATAAACAAAATATTGATGAACATCAATGAACTTTAATAAATACAATACAATACATGATTATGCTGTAAATATTGATAGTGTACTGTCTTGTTAAGATCCCTTCGCAAGAATAGCCAAAATGACTAGTTGCTTCAAATAAACTGAGGCATGGGAAGATATGAATTAGTCCAGCGTTTTTCAACCGGGGTGCCGCGGCGACCTGTGTTAACAAGCAGTAGATGGCTCTGATATCACAATAAATTTTCTGCACAAAAGATCATGATTGGCAACTCAGAAATAAAATGTGTTAGTCAGGTTCGTAATCTTGGAGTTTTTTTGATGCAGGAATGACCATGAAATCTCATTCCATATTCACAATATTTGGAGGATCAGAAAATATCTGAATCAGAAAGCCACTAAGCAGATTCTTCATTCTAATATTACATGTTGTTTGGATATGTGTAATTCATTGTATATTGGCCTTCCTCAAAATCAAATAGCCCGTCTGCAACGAGTTCAGAACATGGCAGCTCGGCTCGTCACTCTCCGCAGTAGATCAGACAGTATTTCAGATATATTAAAATGTCTTCATTAGCTATCAGTCTCAAAAAGAATTATGTATAAGCTGTTACTCATTTCTTACAAAACACTTCTTCATTCTTCACCCCATTACTTGTACCAGATTTTGAAACCGTACATCCCACAACGGAATTTACGTTCAGGTTCACAGCTCCAGTTATGTACACCCAAAACCAATAACAAATGGGGGGACAGGGCTTTTGCTAACGTTGCACCCAAACTATGGAACACTTTACCATTAGAAATAAGACAATCATCATCAGTTGAAATATTTAAGAAGAAAGTTAAGCACCATTTGTTTATGTCATAGTTTTAATATTGTATAATTATGTCGTAGTTTTTATAGTGTATAATTATGTCGTAGTTTTAATATTGTATAATTATTTTGATGTTGTACAAGAGCGCCTTGAGCAGTCTTTTAGAATGGATATGTGCGCTTTATAAATTGACATTATTATTATTATTATTATTATCTGCATGAAGGGGTGCCGCGAGAGAAATTCACTTATGTTATTAAGTTTAGCTAAGCATGTAGGTTCAATCCAACACAGAACAAGTAGGTAGGTGTTACTCGGTTGAAGTCTTGTGCTCATCTGCTTTAGGCTTTGCCCAGCCCTGATTGATTATTTATCTTCTAATTTGCACATCTTATATTCAAATCAACTCTAAAATAACAATGACTGAGAACATATTCATAAGGAAATGTCCAATCACATTTGAGAGTGTACAACATAAATATTCAATAGATCAATCACCCAATGGGGAAAGGGATAGTATATGCAAACAAAATAAGGTGAAGCATAGAAAGAAGGTAATCTATAACAATAGAAGAAAAGAGCCAACTTGGGAATATAAAGCATGAAGGAGGAATATTGATAACAAAAGCAAGAGGGAGCAATGTTAATGAGAGTATACCTGATAGGCTATGGTACAGGTGGAACTGATGTTACAAGAGGTGAACACTGGCTTGGAGAAAAGTAAACAAAATAAAGCCTCAAAAATAGTTCACCACATTAACAAAATAGTAGGAATAAAATCTTGTGAAACTAAAACATTGGAAACTACTCTGTATTTTCATGAGGAAATCACATTTAAAAAAGGTTATCTTTCTTCCTCGCTGGCTTCGCTTGCTCGCAAAGTTTAGAAACAGGATCATTTTAAGCAGAGAAGTGCCCGAATACCTCCATATTGTGGCAACAGGGAGATATTGTCACCTCAATATTTTGACCACGCTTGTTCGCTTCATTCCCTCACAACATTTAGAAACAGGATAATTCTGGGCAACGAGTTGTTCGAATATCTTTATATTTTTGTATCGAGATGACTGAATATATGATATTCGTATTCATGTCAATATTCAGCAGCAAGGTGTGGTTTTGATGACAAAATGATATTTTGACAATATCAAATTAATTTGACCAGAAGGTTACTCGAACACATGCCATGCTATCCAAATATACCAATCGTCAGGGATAATAGTTTTACAGAGTAAATACATATCCAAATATTGATTTTTTTTTTTTTTTTTTGTTGATTTTTTTTAAATATTTTTTTTATAATAATTTTATTTAAATAAATATTTTCTGCTCCTTTTATGTAACTTAACATCGAGCATCTTAGATGCAAAACATAAATACAACTGATATTAACTGGTTTTCTAATCTTTAATATGATTTCGAAATAATTTGTCATCAGCTGTATGAAGATTTACTACAAATCGTGTCAAAATAACTATGCGTACGCCAGCCACTGAAGTGATTTTACAACAAATGCCTGGAATCTGGATGATGGAATTTCCAACTTTAACCCTGTACTCGGCTCCGCTTCCCCTAGCCTAAACCTTAACTGAACTTAAAACCCATATCGAATCCTTAGCCTTAACCCAATATCTTTGACGAAATACAACCCGAAACTTATAGCGCCGCATCAATTTGACAATCACCAATGGAATACAACTCTTTTGTCATACTATTTATTTAGAACGCTTCCTTTATTCATAATTATAACGTATTTTGTATAATCTATAATCTATAATTTATATCTTTGTTTTTCTGTCTTCATTAGGTGTCGATTCGAGCGTTTTCCTGCTTCGGTCGTCTTGTTTTGCCCATCCTGGTCGTCACCATCTTAGTCTATTGTTGGCTAGCCGTGAAGGGTATGTCCTATGTGCATCATGTTTCATTACGACATACACATACGACCTCAGTCCGGGAACGGGAAAACACTACCCTTTTATGTACGCGTCAGGAAGATTCTAAAGAAATAAATATTTGTATATCTGAGAGTAATGGGCATGCAGCAATTACAAACGAAAACAATGCTGATCAACACCAAAACGTAACGCCGTCAGATCTAAAAGTAGCCAATGGAAACGAAAATGGTTCGTATTTTACTAACCCGATTGATAAACATGATTACAAGTACATTCATAATCCGGAATCGTTATGCAAGAAGAACACTATTAAACCTCAACAAAACTTTCTTCTCACCATGATTACTACGGCACCTGAGAATGTGGAACGGCGAAACATCATTCGCTCGAGTTACGGAAACGAAAAGGATTGGGAAGCATTTGCGAATCACAACTTGACTGTCCTGACCGTCTTTTTACTGGGTAGGACGAATAACGCGACACTGCAAATGGACATCGACAAGGAGTCTGATCTTCACGACGACATCGTCCAAGAGGACTTCGTGGATTGTTATGACAACCTGACGATGAAGACAGTAATGGGACTGAAGTGGGTGACCAATCATTGCCGTCATGCAACCTTCGTCATCAAATTCGTTGACACCGCTGTAATCATCCAAACCAAGTTATATCAGCGGTGGTTATATACGGCTTTAATCGATGTCCCGAAGACAACATGGGCGGCTGGACAAGTTCGTATGGACGCAAAGGTATTCCGCAACACCGATGACAAGTTCTATATATCCAAGGACTTCTACGCCTTCCCGACTTACCCTCCCTATCTGGATGGACAAGGGTACGTCTTATCGACTGACCTGGTGGAAGCCATCTACAAAGTAGCCATCACCACACCCCTCTTTCCTTGTGAGGATGTCTTCATTGGGATGTGTCTTCAGAAACTCCATGTAGTGCCAACCAACATCAAGAACTTCGTATAAAAAACGCCCCAGGAGACTGGCCTGTTGATTTCGCAAAGAATGGGTGTTAGATTCAACAGGTTAAAATTTCTCTGTAATATCCAATCTCGAGCCAGACCAAATCACTATGATTTAGGAAATAGTAGAATGAAACTGAGATTTTTGTGAAGTTGAAAATGTTGAACCGACTATACTTAAATATATTCTAATGGAAAACTATAGGTATACAATTTTAAATTGATAACTTGCTGGTTTTAAGAATGGAGGTTCCGCCTATGTCATATAATATTTACATGATCAACCTGGAATAATAACTAAAGACAGAGAGAGGATGATATTGAGTTTGTGTCACTGACATTCTTAACAACATGTATAAATAAAGTGATAGAAAATTAGATTGAAAACTATATAAAGATATAAACCTCATCTGGAAAGTAAAGATTACAAACTCTGGACACAAGACGGCAAAATTATTGTCAAGAAACCGAACGGCGAAAAGGTGACTATTGTCAGAGAAAAAGACTTATCGAAACTAGGCATAAATTGTTGAAAAGCTGTGTTTCTTTGTCGAAATCTTATCTTATTTTGATTTAATGCATGTTCATTTCGTTGTCTGTGATTTTTGGCTAACAACGTTTATTTTCGTTATTTCATTTTTGTTTCGTTTACTATTCCATGTGAATTGTTTACATGCCAATTAAGTATGCGTGTGTATGTTGCAAGAAACCAGTGTTCCACTTTGTTCCACCTTTCAGTTAACTCAGCTTATCCGAGAACCAACAAGAATAACTCCTTTCAGCAGTACTTTAATTGACGTTATTTGTGTTTCTAGTTCAATGCTATCCAATGTAAAGCAATCTGGAACAATTTCAAGTGGACTAAGTGACCACTCCCTAGTCTATTTGATCCTTGGGCATATACCCCAAAAGCTAAGCCCGAAATCTTTTCATTTAGATCGTTTAGGCATTTTGTCGTCGAAGATTTTGTCGAAGACCTACGTAAAATACAATGGAATGATCTATTGTCGTCCGAAGAGGACGTAGAGCATTGCTGGGAGAAATTCAGTGAAGCATTCAAGGCATTAGCTGATAAACATGCTCCCCATGTTACAGTATGAAAGAAACTGAATGGGTCTCCCTGGATTACAACTGAATACCTGGGCCCCGTTCCTAGAAACCGTCATAAGTCTAACTTCTTGACTATCCCATTGAAACGTGTGTTATAGGATTAACACGCGTTTCAATGGGATAGTCAAGAAGTTAGACTTGTGACGGCTTCTAGGAACGGGCCCCAGGCTCTATCTAGGGATCGTGACTATTATAAAAGAAAGTTTGACAAACTTAAAAAAAAATCAGCAGAAGCAGGTCAGGAAATCAATGAACTTTGGAATAAATATAAACATCTCAGAAATAAATTAAATATATTAAATAAAAAGCTGAAAAGGGACTTTTTCCTCAACAAATTTCAACAATGTGCAAACAAATTGCAAGATTCGTGGAAAGTCCTGAAAAAATTACTCCCGAAGAAAAAGGTTTCAGTTAATTCGAATATTAACACAGGAACTCATATGACTTCAGATAAGGTAGAAATTGCAACGTCATTCAATGAATTGTTTGTTAGTGTTGGAAAACGACATTCTCCTCTTAACCAACAAAGTTTTAATTCCTTTAATACATTATCAAGGGTTGGATCAACATTTAAATTCCAAAGCATAGACTCGGAGTTTGTAAAAAGAGAACTTTGTTGGTCTGGATGACTTACATCCAAGATTATTGAAAATCGCTGCCCCTTTTATTGCTGAACCACTTTCAATAGTCTTTAACAAATCTCTAAGCTCAGGATGCTTCCCAAGTGATTTCAAAAGAACCAAGATTATTCCAGTACCAAAAAGTAGTGAAACAAGTGACATTGGCAATTAAAGGCCAATTTCTTTATTGTCCTGTCTGTCAAAGATACTTGAAAAGGCAGTCCATGCCCAGCTTTATGAGTATCTCCAAGAATACAAACTGCTATCTCAGCGCCAATCGGGTTTTCGCCCAAAGCATTCAACTGCGACTTGTCTAATTGAAATAACCGATTACTTGTTAAACAATATTGACTGTGGTTTGATAACAGGGGCGACTGATTTCTTGATCTCAAAAAGGCGTTTGATGTTATATCTCACGAAATATTGTTATTAAAAATGCCATATTATGGTATTAATTCTGTTGAATTAGACTGGTTCTCTTCATACCTAACGAATAGGCAACAATGCGTCTCATTTCAAGGTGTCCAAAGCAATTTTTCTACAGATTTACTCTGGTGTGCCACAAGGGTCTATTTTGGGCCCACTCATTTTTTGCTTATTTCTTAGTGATATGTACGTGTAACTTGAAATTTAGTAAACAAACCAAAATTGCTCTGTACGCTGATGACGCGGCACTGTTTTGTAAAGGTAACAATTTAAAAAGCAGTCAGAAGAAACTACACAAATATTATGATTTACTGCGTAAATGGTTTGAAATAAATAATATGGAAATAAATGCAAAGAAAACTAAAGTGATGGTCTTTGGAACGAAACATAAAACTAAGAACCAAATTTTGAAAATCTGTCATGGACGAGACTATCTTGAGAATGTTACCGAGATCAAATATTTAGGCGTAACCCTTGACCAAAGTCTAAGTTGGACACCACACATATTGAATGTGACTAATAAGATTAATCGGGCTATTGCATGCACTAGAAGGATTAAGAGTTATTTGAATCAAAGCCTACTGAAACATCTTTATTACTCCCTCATTCTTCCACATATAGATTATTGTGCAGTTGTTTGGGGCAAGTGCAAAAAGAAAGATTTACTCAAATTGCAGAGGACGCAGAACAGATATGCAAGATTAGTCCTTAATGCAGACTATCTAACCCCAAAAGACAAAAGGCGTAAATATTCATAATTGAATGACACACGCCCTTAAGACTAAAACAACAACAACAACATCCTCTTCAATGGCAAAGTGTTGAAAATAGAATCAACTACCACTACTGCATTTTCGTCTACAAAATACTCAATAATCTAGCCCCTTATTATTTAGAACCTTTTGCTTGCAAACGTCCAGTTTACTATATGTTACTCGTCATTCTACCTTAAATCCCTTATCTATCCCGAAACCCAAGACTGAATTTAAAAAACGATCTTTTTCTTTCATCGCTCCAAGCATCTACAACAATCTACCGACTCATATTCGCACGGCAACTTCACTCCAAATGTTCAAAAACCAAATTAAATCACTCCCTCCTCTTTAATGCATGCACTGGTATTATATCATGACTTATTACATTTAGTTTTGTTTGTTTGTAGTTGTGTAGTCTGTAGTCGTTTTATTTCTTACCTTTTACCCTTTTGATTTTATGTCTGTTCTTTATGGCATGTGTATTGTATATGTATTTTGTATTGTATCAATAATATCTTAAATGTTTAATATTTCAGGCCTTATGTTCACTTTGATCTAGTTTTTAAGTTGTTTTAGTTCTCTTATGGTATGTTGTGTATATAATGTCTTTGTTTTCTACAATGTATTCTATTTTTTGTAAATCTTTGTATGTACAGGGCTCTTTTGTAAAGCAGGCCTCTGGCACTGAAAAGACTACTCTGTTTTTAAATAAAATTGAATCTAGGCCTATATATAAATGCAATGCAATAATACCTCTTGCGTATAACCATTTCATGCGTAATGGCATGTTATAACGATAATGGTATTTTTCTATTAAAATTGTTGATAATTAAAAAGGCTTTTGCTTATGCACTATATATTCTTGTTTCTTCATTTATTGGGTTATACGGAGGTTATATCTACTAAAGCTAATAGACATTAAGCACGATGTGATTGAGAGCAGGGAATGACAGATAATTTAATTGCAAACTCACTTTACATGGGAGTAGTCTGGAGCTTATGAGCTCATGCTACATTTTGTTGTAACATGGTGAATATGGGCGAGTGAAATTTCCCAACCACAATTCTAAGTTATACAGTGCGTCCGAGAAAAAAACGAAACCGAGAATTATCGATGTTTTATCATAACTTAATCACAATTATAATTAATAAATGACATATATTTGTTAAGCTTAGATCCGCTTCTTTCATTTGATGCAACTCATAATATGCATATTTCACGCACGAGTGATTAAAAACAATTTGAAGAGAGGGTACCAAAAAATCATTCGGCAGACGGTATTTGAATTTCAAAGAGAAAATCACATTTCTAGAAATTCATTTTCTGCCCTTTCATATGACAACTCAATCAGGAAAAATGAGCCAGGAATAAAAAAAAATTTTAAAAAAGTTCTGTTTGTTTAAAGTAATGCTTGCATTTCCATAATTTGATTAAATAAATTCGTTTTCACTAGCTGCCTGCCTGAGGAACAAACAGAGTTGACAAAAGACTTAACTCCGTTTGGTTGACGATCAGCCATGCTCAAAGACTGAGACGAAAGACGAAAATAACAAAAACAATATGATAAAGTGAAATACAAAATTAAATGAAAGCTTAGTGTTTAAAGACACCAGAAGTTTATGCCACTAAAAATTGTGTTTTTTGTGAATGTAGGCTACAGTGTATATTCATGTTTTCATTCGGAGATCTGACTCGACCAGAGATTCTCGCCTGTGACACCGGATCCAGGATTCTTCGACGACATGATGTGGCATGGGGCAGAGGAGTCATTACTTTATCCATAATAGTTTGGTCTCAAATTTCAAGACAATAAAACAGTTATCGAATCTGCAAGGGGTGCAAATGTACACGTGTGTGTATTAATTAGGCATTGGTCGATTTTGCCACCCTCTCCAGTGCATGTTATATGCTTTCAATTTATAAAAGGTCATCAGATTATTCATACACATTCTATATACAATGGTAGGATGTGAGCCTAAACTATATTTCAATAACATGTTTCCAATACATAATACCGAGTCATCCGAGTGTTAAATAAAGTTTTGAAAAGTATTCACAGATGATTTAAAACGCCACCGCGTGTACTCATTTTCTACAGATATCCTACCCCAATAAACTAAAACTAAAAGAGGGAAAAAAAGAAAAAAAAAGAAAAAAAAACTACCATTCTACTTCTGGCGTCATATACCTCTCCCAGAATTATATCTCGTACAATTATACCTCTTCATAATTTTACCTCTACTAACTCTCCTACCCTTCTAACTCTACAAACATCACATTGTGCTATCGCTCTATCTCTCATTTTATCTTACATCTATCATACTACAGAAAACTTGCATTGGTTGGGCTGATTATAACATGTCGTTTAAGTTTCTACCGCATATACCTAACAGGTCCATGCTTTTAAAAACCTTGACATTTTAGTAAACAAGCTTTTGTCCACTTCTGTGGACTTTCTCAAGCCGAGTGATTATTCACACAGCTTCTTGCTGTCTGCTGACCTGCGGATCACTGGAGCAAAGATAGGTGACAATAAATAGCCAGAGTCCTTATTCAGTGAAGGATTAATCCTTTTTATCCAGATGGATTCTTTCACCTTTCTTGCATGACCAGAAGTGTTTTTATACACAATAATATGGGCATTATCCCATCCTAGCTCTAACGTTGTGTCGAGTTTTAGGGGCGTGTTAATTCTGCCTCTGCTGAGTGAGATAGAATCGGCCCATCCTGATCCCCTACCCCATCCCGAATTCGAAACTGCAATTAGTCATGAAACTCTTATCTCATCTTCGATGGTGAGATAATCTTGGGATTTTCGTTTATCTTGCCTAATAAGATACTTTACAAACCTACATGAAAAATTTAAAATTGATACAGGCACCCATCAAAAAGTCAAGGAACGGTCTCTTTTTGTTTTCTGTCTGCTTGTAATTATGTAGACGATGTAATATTCACATCTAGCCTAGTTCTTTCTTTAAATAATACCATTTCAATACAATATTACGCAAACTAATAAAATGGATAATCATCTAATGGCCTTTCCCAGTTTTCATGAATTCTCCATCTTTCCACCCACAGTGACATCCATCACATTACATAGCTCGTGATAATATAAACAATGGGCGGTTTCACAGTCTGCTTATACAGACTTGATACATTCATTAAATGCTAACAAATAAAATGTATAATGAAACAAAAAGAAAATTGAGTAAAAATTGACCGAAATAGCATTTTAATGATATTTTACTAATAAAAGTCTATTTGTACATTGATTGTAAATGGTTTTTAATCTTCTTCGTGAGAATAAATATATTCTGGTCTGCATGAACCAGACTATTTGCTAATGGTCACCTGATAATTTGCATTTACAGGATGGAGGTTTCTAAAGACCGACATTCCGTCTCTGTTCGGAAGGCAAAGTCGGAGTTAAGCATAAATTCCATTGATGATTTTCATTTTTCTGTTAGCTGTGGATCGATAATAATATGTGGAAGAGGAGAGAGTGACAATCATAGCCAGAATGCAGTGCTTTTGATAAATGGAACCGTTCCGGATGCATCAAGGTAGGTGTTGTGTAGCCCCACTCGTTTATAATTGTGTAGGCCTAGAGTCTATAGATTAAAGTTGTTTTGTTGACAAAGAGCGACAGAAATGACATCCGATACAGAGACTGTGTCCTAAATACTGTTATGTTGGCATTATCGTGATCCAAGTCCCCAGGGACTCGGATCCACAGACACTTTTTAATCTGAAAAACATGTCCTACCTTCCAAATTTGTTTCCACCAAAGCGCGCGTTTAATGGTAGCTTTGAAGATGAAATATTACTTTCATTATAATTTTTTGTAATGATTATTATTGCTTTATTTAGTCAAGCCAATTCATCTAATAGGCATATTAGAAGTTCTTCACTGAATAAAGCAAACTATAATTCACATTTATTTAGTCAAGCACTGATTAGGCTGTATGATATTAAAGACGAAATACTATTTTCATTATAATTTTGTTTAAATTATATTATTGCTTTATTTAGTCAAGCCAATTTATCTAGTACACCTATTAAAAGTCATTCACTAAAGCAAACTATGATTCACATTTATATAGTCAAGCATTAATTAGGCTTAATGAATAAATATTATATTGATTGATTTCATCATGCCTTTAACGGTTATTGAAGACGAAATATTACTTTCATTATAATTTTTAAAAATTATATTATTGCTTTATTTAGTCAAGCCTGAGTTTAATATAGTAGACCTATTAGAAGTCCTTCACTAAATAAAGCAAACTATAATTCACATTTATTTAGTCAAGCATTAATTAAGCTATTAACGGCAATTGAAGACGAAATATAACTTTCATTATTATATCGAGCCAATTTATCTAGTAAAACACTATAAAACTGTCTATATATTCCTCGTGGTGCGAGTCCCCCCTCCGAAATTAATACGAGACGGCAATTAACCCGTTGATATTATCTACCCCTCATTTCCCTCCTCTTCAAGACCACACTGCCACTTTCAGACAGTTACCTAGAGATGTTAAATTAATATTCGCTGTTAAAGTTTATCAATAAATCAAAAGAATCTGACTAAAAAACACTATAAAACTGTCTATATATTCCTCGTGGTGTAAGTCCCCCTTACGTGTTAAGATCTTCAAATTTCTCATAGAAGGGGACTTACACCACGACTAATATACTACTCGTGATCCGAGTCCCCCCTCCGAAATCACACGATACGGCAATTAACCCGTTGATATTATCTACCCCTCATTTCCCTCCTTTTCAAGACCACACTGCCACTTTCAGACAGTTACCTAGAGATGATAAATTAATATTCGCTGTTAAAGTTTATCAATTAATCAAAAGAATCTGACTAAAAACCACTATAAAACTGTCTATATATTCCTCGTGGTGTAAGTCCCCCTTACGTGTTAAGATCATCAAATTTCCCATAGAAGGGGACTTACACCACGACTAATATACTACTCGTGATCCGAGTCCCCCCTCCGAAATCACACGATACGGCAATTAACCCGTTGATATTATCTACCCCTCATTTCCCTCCTCTTCAAGACCACACTGCCACTTTCAGACAGTTACCTAAAGATGTTAGAGATGTTAAATTAATATTTGCTGTTATAGTTTATCAATAAATCAAAAGAATCTGACTAAAAAACACTATAAAACTGTCTATATATTCCTCGTGGTGTAAGTCCCCCTTACGTGTTAAAATCGTCAAATTTCCCATAGAAGGGGACTTACACCACGACTAATATACTACTCGTGATCCGAGTCCCCCTCTATGAGAAATGTGATGATCTTAACACGTGAGGGGGGCTTACACCAAGAGGAATATAAAGACATTTTTATAGTGTTTTGAGTCATATTATTTGATCATATTAAAGTTGTCAAAAGAATATTCGCTGTTAAAGTTTATCAATAAATCAAAAGAATCTGACTAAAAAACACTATAAAACTGTCTATATATTCCTCGTGGTGTAAGTCCCCCTTACGTGTTAAAATCGTCAAATTTCCCATAGAAGGGGACTTACACCACGACTAATATACTCCTCGTGATCCGAGTCCCCCTCTATGAGAAATGTGATGATCTTAACACGTAAGGGGGACTTACACCACGAGGAATATATAGACAGTTTTATAGTGTTTTTAGTCATTTTATTTATCATATTGAATGATAGAAAAGAGACTAAGAATACAGGATTTTATGTCGTTTGAAATAGTGTCCCAGCCAGTATTTTTTGCATCAATTCAAATATGTGTGGTGGAAAGAAATCCCCCATGTAGGAATGTTCTGTGTGAATTTCGCAACTTTTCGCATCGTGGACAATAGATTTCTTTTGACAACCTCCCAACCGTGAATCCTTTAGAAAGATTGCTGGAAAAAAAGGTACGTCTCAAGTTTGTCCCCAGTGACTCGGATGACGATATAGCCGTTATGTTTTGCAATACGTCGGATATATGTTTTCATGAAGTAAAAGGTAAAAAGTAAAAGGTTCTATGGAGTCAACCAATTGCACGGAAAGAAATTGCGCTAGTGTAGACTCTACTTCCATAGAGTAAAGGAGGGGGTAATCGACCATTTCCAGTTTTCGGCCGATCTGTTGGATGCATGGTAAAATCCCTTTAAAATACATCGCATAATAGCATATCACATATTCCACACATACCATACCATGCCAGAGTCACTGAAGAACCACATTTGCAATCAAAATATATCCTAAAATATCACATTTTAGCGATGTAATCGGTGGTTCCGCTACCCGAATCTGAAAAAACCAAGTATCTTACGCGTGTCTGTAAGAAATATGGGTACCATAAAATGAGCTTTAGGTTTAGAGCCCGATTTTGTTCGAGTCGCAAGCTCAAAAGTATCTCATCGCATGTATTAAATCAATGCAGCCGGACACCGCAACGCACACACGATATCTCTGCCTAATTCAGATTCCAATTTCCGATCAACGCAGAGCTCGTTTTCGACCTGGTGAGCACCCGGGAGCTCTGGCATCGGATACCTGCGCCGCCCGCTAGTGCTATAGATCAGCGCGGGAACGCGCGGCGTGCGTGCGCGCTTCCTATTGACTTTGTACATGCGGTCGAAAACTGGCTCGCTATGTCGATAACTGCCTCCGAAACAGTGAAAATTAAAATGAATATTGTCATGGCAATTCGTGATTTTTTTCTGGGATTCTTTTTCTGTTTAAATAATAATAATATTTGCTTCATGATTTAAACAAGAAATGATAATAAATAGGAAGTAAAGAGTCCCAAAAATAGGATTTTGTCTTAATTGGTCGAAAAACCCCTCCTTTACTCTAGACCATATCCATTTTTTTTTAGCAGTTTCATATTCATTTTTAGCAAAGGAAATTTAGCCCAATTTTTTACTAATTTTAATCATAATCATATATCACATTTTCCACCTGAATTTGGATCACATCCGATATCGGGAAGCCTCCGATGAGGGCTTCGATGTCGACGTCGTTGCTCAGTACCGTCTCTACCCTATAGCTTAAGCTCTGCACCTCAGACTGAAGCTATCAGTTCAAAATTATGCAAACTTCTCGTATGGTTTATGGTATTACGCGCATGCATGATACCATAACCCATACAAGAAGTTTGCATAATTTCAATTAATTACTTTGGCTCAAATGAGAAATTATCCCTTTTCACCATATACTTCAAATCTCTCAATCGATGACAAAAATGTTGTAGATATACTTTAGGCATGGCCTCAATTTGTCAAACATTTTTAACGAGTAGCCTTGCTTTTACTGTTGTTGTAAAACTGGAATTAATTGAATAGTATCTATAAAGACTGATTTTTAAAAGTGTAAATGATTTATTTATGGCAGTATTTCGTTCCATGTGGCAGATTGTACAAATGGAAGTCCGACACAGATGGAAAAGGGACCTCAATTCTAGTGCTTTCACATGATGGTACCCTCAGTGCAGTTAGCCTGCCGTCCATCTCTACTTCATCTTCATCTTCTCTCAGCAAAGCAACATCAAAGGCAGAGGTCCTTTGGGTTTACTCATCAGAGAAACTGAAGCAAATAATAGGTATGTAGTCAATAAAGACAAGACAAGATGGAATATTTTTTATATAACGCATATTTAATTTGGTAATATATTTTCAAGTGTGAGAGCTCATAAGCATGAAAATGTTGGAATTTATTAAAATAGCTGGCAGTGTTACATTTTGGTCTGTCAATTTGATTCTCAAGCAAATTTCAATATTATAAATGCACTGTTATATGTACATGTATATCTACTCTATATGGTTTTTCTTGATGAATTGCTACATTTAGAAATACTACGAAAAGTCTGCCCTGAAGAAATATTTATAACACAATTGCAATTTTAACAATTTGTGAGAAACAAAACTGTTAAATACTCGATGGTACACATTCTATATGCTTTACCCTTTTTCTCACAACATAAAATATCTGCTCCCCATGCCTCATATTGCAGTTTATAATCTCCTTTATTGCTATTTCTGATCATTTCCTTACTGAAGCTCAGCTGTGATAAATATTTAATGTGCATGTGGTGTTGCATTGTTTATTTGTTGCTGAAAAAAAGAATATGACATTCTCTGTTATCAAATCCCCTGTTCACAGGCATCAGTGAAGCGAGGAGCCTGCCAAAGGTCAACGTCCTATCAGTTGAACAATCCTCTGCATCTCTCCTGATCGGGAAACACTTCTGTCGACTTCCAGAGGGAGGAAATGAATCGCCGCCTCCAGAAAGCTGGCTGTTGTCATGGCAACATACAGGCATCACTGAAGAGGACATTGTGAATGCCAGACTACAGAGAGATTTCTTGTTTACGCTACATACCTCTGGGAACATATGTATCCTTTTATGATTCCCAAATTTCACTGATGATAGCAAGTAATCAGTGACATTAATGTGCATCATTTTTATTAGAAGTTAATCAACACATTTTTAGTAGAAGAAGAGGATTATAAATGGTGAAAAACAAAGAATGAAATGAATTGCAGTTTTATTAACACAAGAAGAAAAGAAATTTTTAAAGAAAACAGTTAAGTAAACTCAAAGTACCAGGTCATTACCTGTACCTTGTCTATTTGTTCTCAGAGGACAAGACAATATTACAGATTAGTTCTAAAACTCCTACTTCCTGCAATCATATAATACCAAAAAGAATAGACAATGTATATATATTCATTTGTAGACGCTTATCACATGCATTCAAATGTAATTTAACAGCGCTTTAGAGAATAAGTGAAAAGGCTACTTTTAAGTACATATTTATTTTGAATAGTAAAGTACAACACCTATCCTTTGCACTTTCCTTGACTTGACTATCGATACAGCTATATTTTCTGTTAATCATCAAAAGCTGGTTGCACATGTGAACCACAAGCATTTCATTCGCAGTATCTTTGTTAATGCCGGAGTCTTAGAGTCACAAGAAACAGGAAAGCCGTGCGACTTCGATGTCAGTCCTGACTTGCAGAATATCATTGTTACCTACAGCAATGTGAAGTACGGCGTTTACAGGATCAACCTTGCGGAGTACTTCAGTCACAATCCCAAGCATGTACTCACATCGGCGAAAAAGCAGGAGATGGTTCAAAAGAGGAAGTCTTCCAAGGCTGACAGGGATGAAGACGAGCTTGACTTCACGCGAGGGGTGGCTCCGGTCAGCGAGAAAGGCACACCAACGAACAGAAGCTGGTGGAACTACCTGGATGACCTGAAGCTGAAGCTCACAAAGGGTGATGATGGTGAGCGCATCAAAGGGGTGTTTACAAGCCCTTCTGCCAACGACATCAAATCATGGCAGAGTTGGTTCCTCATAGCTGATGGACAGCTTTCCATGGTCAATCCTAGAAGCGTGTCTTCAGGCCAGGCCGATGCAACCGATAGAGCTCATGTCTCAGGTTTTCAGAGGAAGCTTCAGAAATCACCTCCATCAGGGTCGTCCACCAAGACGGGAAGTCCAGCTGAGAGGAGTCCAAGGATTGAAACCAGGACCGATTCGATGGTGTCCACTGCTATAAGGACGGCCAAGCTGTGCAAAGGCCTCCCTGTGAGGGGGGTATATGCTGGAAGATCTTCAGGCCTGGTGTGGTATGGTGGTGCTCTTCAAGGCCAAAGTGGTGACAGATATGGTGGTCTATGTTTCTTGAATTTCTCAAACAATTCAACACAATTTGACAGGTAAATATATTTCCTTTAAAAGATAATGAGTTATTATCACACAAAACCGTTGTGTTGTTTCCACATTATTTACCTTATCAAAATTGACAGTTTGTGAGCTTTGTTATTAAATATGCTGGAAAACTGTGGTTAGTAATTGAATAAATATGAGTATTTGAGAAAGAAAGCAACTGCATAACCAATTGAAAATTTAAAAAGAAGTAGTAGCAATATTAATCCTCATCTTATTCCCTGATTTATGCTTCTTCAAAAAAGGGGATATTTTATTTGTAAGCATTTTTTAGAAAAGCATATTTATAACAAACTGCAATCACATCACAGAAGGTGGAAGCTTAATACATGTTTGAATGCATGCACAATCGAAATTAGAAAATTTACTAAACATACTATTATTATTATTATTAAAGGTAGTGTATCCCTTTTGCAGCCAACATCAAATTCTGTAGAACTTTGCAGGAATTAGGTCACTTATGTCCTGTCTGTGAAATTTAAACATTAGCAGTGTCCTAATTTTGCAAGAAAAACCTGTTTTCTTTGTAGACTTCACTGTCAGACACTTTAACATACAAAGCAGGCTTCAGTCTTCCAACTGGGTACGATTTGAACCAATAATCTTTCGGTCGACAGGCAGACGCTCTACCGACTGAGCCAACCCACCTCCTTGGGTTACGCTTGTTGCCGTTGTTTCAGTTGATGCCTACACAGTTGATTGTTGTTTTTGTTTTCATTAGTTTTCAGGAACCAACCCTGTTGTCCATCTCGGAAGACCCTACTCAGCCACACGCCCTGCTAACTAGGTCAGAGGTCAGACTGCTCTCTATCAGTATGGAACAAGAATCAGTTGTCAGCAAGGTAAAGTTGGCAAAACAACCAAAATTAATCTTTCTTTTTCACTTCAAGAGGTAAAATAACATTTCTTTTACAAGATAGTGGGATTTTGAAATGTGGATATTACATTTTCTTATGAAATGTCATTTTTGGGAAGTAATTATTCAGTTTATAATTACAAGCTGGAATAATCCATTGGACTTACGTCATGTTTACCTGCTTAGATCGTGTCAGATAGAACATTTGTGTGTCTACATGTATATTAACACCATTCTCTTAGTACCTGAGATGTTATTATTTTCTTCCAGCAAGAGATATGATAACAGTCTTAACAAACTGGAATTACACAGATTTCTTTTCTTCATGGTGCTTATGCAGATGTCTCTCTCAGATTTACAGAGTCCTGTTAATATGTCCAGGGCACTGTTTCATAAAACTTGATATCAATAACAAGTTACAAGCTACTGTTATAAGCTACTGAAATCATGGCATCTGATTGGCTGAGAGCAATTTACCATGGAAATTAAGCATTTGCTATAGACAAAAAGTTTTATGAAACAGGTCCCAGAGACTAATCAACGACATGAACTGATACACATTGATTTTGACAGTTGAAAGACTTCCTCTAATATAAAATACCACATAGTCTCCAGAATACCACTCTTGGGCTCAGCATATTAGTGATAGCAAAACTTGACATTCTACAGAGGGACATGCCATACAGTACTCATTTTTTCCGTCAATTCTCAATTCAGGGATTAAATTCATAGATCCTTCAAAATACCAATTCAAGTAAAATCTTATTTTTCATTGCAGATGATGGTGTACAAGTCTGCCGCTGTTACCGAGGCGCTCTGCCATCTCAACAACTGGGATCACTGTTCTATTCCTATCCATGCCTTAGAGATTGGACTCAAACACAGGCAGCTGGATACTATAGCCTTCTTCCTAAAGAGCAGAGAGAACAGTAATTCTTAAATCACCTACTATAATATTCTTTTATCCCTTTATTTTACAAAGATCAATGAATGAATTTTACAATCTATTTATGATCGATGAACAGGCAAGCAGTGACAAAGAGAAACACTTTAAAGTCTGTCTGCACTAGTTTGGCCAGGAGAATTAGACCTCCCTGTATGGTCACTGACACATGGTTATCTCATCAAATCAGCTCTCAATTAATATAAGAAAAAGAGAATCATGTGGGACCAACAGGCACCGATTAGGCATTGTTTTCTATATAGAGGGCGCAAGTAGCTATAAGCAGTGCAGTGGGGCTTTAAAGACTTATCACACAGGTTGAAAGCTAGTAAGCCCCACAGGACCTGTTCTTGAACATCATCAAATCAAGTTCCTTTTGTCCATTTTCTTGTATTTATATCATCATGACAAATGACACACCTTAACATTAATACAATACTGAATGGTACAACTTATAGCATGTCAGTGAAGAAGTATATTAGTTAGAGTGGGTATTTAAACAATGCAACAACTCGCAACTGATGGTGTATTATAGCTCTTTCATGGTCATTTGTGTTTAAAAGTGGTGTCCAAAAGAATTATTATTTCATATCAGACATTTATACTAAGAGTGATAGATAATAGGCTGTTTATATTTTTTTGAATATTTGTCAAGTAATAAATTATTACCAATACATCATTTAAAGAAGCACATACATGTAGGAAGCGCAAAGAGGCGTTATATAATGTGAAATGCGCTTTACAAGAACGGATATTATTATTGTTATTAAAACAGGATTACTTCTTGTTTCCCTTCTCAGTGTTCAGATTGAAGCAACACACTGCCCCTGTTACTGTGGCATCCTCCTCACACCACAGTGATCTCTCCTCCTCTAATGATGCAACGCAGCTCTGGTTAGCCATGGATCTCCTCTGCCTGGCCATTGCTGGCAACATCAAGGAGATGCAGTCCAAGCAGTATGCTCTCCAGGTCCTGAATCTGGCCCTCAACCATCTCAATAAGCTCATCCACAATGCCACCGACTCTCTGGAACACGTCTGTAGGTCCTCCAGCTCCTGTTTGGTGCCATCGTCTAAGAGAAGCAGTCAGGGGAAAGCGTCTTCTGGTACTGGCATCTCACCATCTTCATCGTCATCATCAGTTCCATCATCCCTGGAGTCCGACCAGCCTCAGACGGCGCCCAAGGCAGCATCCGTGGTGGTCATGACAGAGGGATTTGAAGGAACCAATCGTGATCTTGAGGACATTCTCAAGAAGTTGATCGGTCACACCGTCAAGCTGAGAGGTCATCTCAAGGGAGCACCGGCATGGATGTTCCCTGACAAAGACGATACAGATTCAGGTAATCCATTGTAGGCTGTAGCATATTACTCAAACTCAGGACATGTATGTATCTTAGCCAATGAACGGATTAGATTTTGGGGTCATGAGATCAAAGGTCAAAGGTCATGGGACTCATTATGTATGCACTATTAGCTTGTGAATGCATTCTCATTTGAACTGCAGATGGACTACTGTCAAACTCAGGACATGTATGTATCTTGCAGAGCCAATTAACTGATTAGATTTTAGGGCTATAAGGTCAAAGATCAAAGGGTCATGCATGTATATGAAAAAAAACTTGTAATCACGATATTTTGAGAACCTGTAAATCAAATCAAATTATTTATTTCCAAATTCCAACATCAATTAAAACAATGTGTACAACAACAACAAAACAGTCAATGGGGGGCAATACAAACATTATAAAACTATGACATTTCAATCAAACGATTAAGAAGATAAAAACAAAAAACAAGTATAATACATAATTCAGCATTAACAGACTACATAAAAAACAAAAGTGGATAATTGGGAAATGGTGAACACAATGAAAGCCAGGTTTGTGGCTTGTTTAGGGTGTGTTCACCTAGTTTATGTATTTGTGTTTTTTTAACATTATTATTATTAAATTTAGACATTGGTTAATGGATGACAATCAAACTTGATTTTAAAAATGCTTCTGTTTTGGTTTGTAAAATCACTATATGGCGGAGGCATCATTTTCGACTGCACGCAGTCGTAGATCCATCTAATATATCACTAAAATTTCTATTTTTATCAACTGAAGTTATATATTGTGTACATTTCTAAAGATCTTTATCTTATTTATGAATAATATATATATTTAATTTTTTTGCTTTTCTTTTCTCCCTTCCATTTTTATTTGCTTGCATTCACTGTTTTCCTACTCTTGTTTGATTTATCTTATTCTTTGTAGATTATATTAAAGCTTGAAACTTTCTCTTATAATCTTTCACATCAGTGTATTCACAAATATATAAAATTACTGAATTAAGATATTAGACTCACTTTGAATACAAGAATATACAGAGATTTCAGTCATAGATTTTCTGTATGGAAATCTAAACGAATTTGGGGGGAGGGGTGTAAAAGATATAATCATTGGATGCTTAAAACCAATTCCATTTTAGACTTCATGAACAGTGGGAAAATTAGATGCCATGACCATGACCAAGACCTTGTAGAGTGAATACATGTAGCTCTATATCATCACCGTCATCACCATGCGCATGTGATGCCCTTCCATGGGAGCTCTCGACTCTTCTCAACACCATTTCCCAATGAGAAGTTCTATGTAAAGCATGAATGTCTGATATGTATACATTATTTTCCTTCTGATTGATATGCATGTAGGTGGCCTATCTCCTTCTGATACATACTACTCAGGTACAGACAAGACGATGTTAGCTACAATGCATGCTTGGAAAGCTATGTCCCCGCAGGTATCGTATGACGTTTTATTATAATGATTATAGGGTCGATTTGTTGCAGCGACAATTGCCATTGAAAGATGTATCTTTTACAGAAAGGGCCGATTTAAGTGACCATAAGAAACCTGTTGCAGTAGCAGTTTTCATTGAAATGTATCTTTCACGGATAGGGACAATGTATTGTCCATGAGAAACCTGTTGCAGTGACAATTTCCATTTAAAAATAAATCATAGATGCATAAACTATAATTTTAAAAAAAATTGTCCTCATGAAATTACATTGCACACCAACTTAAAAAAATGCAGACTATCACACTTCTTCCCTATCATAATTTTTAAATCGGTCACATTTTGTATTGCCTTTTGACCTTTCACCTTCGACAGGAAATCATCCAAGGTGCCATCTTGAAACGCCAGATTCCTTTGGCCCAGGCATTCCTGAGGAAGCAACGGCACCATCAACAGCTTCAACAAACAGAGGCGCAGCAGCAAGCTCTCACATCATTGGAATCTAAAGGGCTCCCTCTCCTGGTAGATAGTGGCCTTGCTCAGGTCTATGCCTCGCTTCTAAATGCAGAGACAGAGACAGCTTACACAATGCTTAAAAACTTGGTAGGTTAGAAAAAGACATTCAAGGAATCGTTACTCCCCTGTAAGAAAAGGAAATAATTAATAATCTGATTATTTAAATATGGCATTTGACTAGTTTTTAGTTGGAGTTAATGCTACTCACAATATGACAGAGGATTATGCATATCATAAAACATTATTTGTCTTTGTGTAGAACAACAATTGCAATTTGTTATTGCCCTTAACATGTCTGTGAGTACAAATAGATGTATGAAGGGAAGCATTAAAAATGAACATAATGGGTGGTATTCCGGTAGCGCGTACTAAGTTAGTCCACACTTTTATGGTGTGTCTGTTGCCAAATCATTTACCCTGTACAGATTATGTTAATCCTTCAATTAAAAGTGTCCAAAAAATTAATTTTGAAATGAAATGGGAAGAAAAAAATAATATGAGTATGAACTGAATTTCAACAAAGTCTTTGGTAGATTATCTTTGCCATAAATATTGAAGGAGGAAGATGAAACCTAGCATTCCATAGAAGTGTGAAATAAAATTCTTGTTTCGTCTGGACTTATTCCCGGCTTAACTTTACCGTATGAGAATACCACTCAATAAGTTTTAAGAATGTGTGTCTTGTTCAATGAACATTCAATTTGCCTCTGACTATCCATTTTTAATATTTTGAATACATTTTTTCAATTTCTAGCAGAATTCAATTCTGTGTGTGTGTTTTGTCATATGATAGGGATTCAATGTCACCGAAGAAATCAAGAAGATCTGCCTTTACACTGCAAATACAGGATTGAGGGACTTCTTGGTAAGTATTCATACAAACCAATGTTAACCCACTGACTACTGAACTCTCTCCTTCCCATAGGGTTAATACAGGGGCCTACCAGCTCCAGTAGGCAATGGGGTTAATAATGATAATAGTAATAATAATAATAGCTACATGTACACTCATAGTGCGCACATATCCATTTCATATCCAAGGTGCCTACGTAATATTACTATAACCCCGGCTTTAGCCCAGCTGCCCTAAGGTGCTAAAAGTGTTAAAGGAATTAATTCCTACCAGGAACCCATTCACTACACCTGGATGGAGAGTGGCAAATGTAAAGTTATATCTTGCCAAAGGATATTAGTGCCGTGGCAGGATTCGAAACCGCAAACCATGTGATCCACATGCAGTCCGGGGACGTATCCACGAGACCATGACAAATCTTGTAGTCTAGACCTTGATGTATGAGAAGTTGAAAACTCAACTTTTAGAATAAATAGTTATGTAGAGTTATAATTTCACAATATATTCTTAGCTGATATAATGTTCACCTTAAACTGTAATATAAATGATACATTTTGTTGTTGTTGTTGTTGTACTGAAGGAATACACTTTGTCTATGTGTAGCCAGAAGAAGGTTAGCTCATATACAGAGATAAAATACTTCTGGCTCATTCCATATATCACTTACTTTCTTTCATTTGGTTCTTCTCCCCTTGCTTGCTCTCCCTCTCTCTCTCCCTCTCTCTCTCTCTCTCTCTCTTTCTCACTCACACTTTTCTCCATCTTATTCTGTCTGTTGCATGTGTAAGTCTGTATCTGTTCGTCTCCCTTTGTCTGCCTGTCTGTCTGTCTCTTTATTGACTCGTGAAAAAGAGAAGACTTTAGTTCATTTCATCTTTTGAACAAACCACAGATTACTGAGCTGAACCTATCACAAGACTTGACCAAGGAGGAAGCCGACATGGTCCATTTTGTCCATCAGTTGGAACATCTCTACACCTGTCTGTCGTTTGAGAAGGCAAAGGCTCTCGCTTCAGAAAAGAGCAAACGGTAGGGGTCATGTGATGATTTGTTTTAAGTCCTTTCAGAAAGTAGAGATCCTACATGCATTGCTTCAGAAAAGAGCAAAGAGGCATTTATCATGAGATTTATTAATGAACTCAAATAGACTGAACATTGTCTTGTCCTTTTTACAATTTTTACCTTCAAATTGATATTCTATTAGTTATGTTATAATTATTATTATATTATATATATATATATATATATATATATATATATTTTTTTTTAAATAAATACTTGATAAACGTGATAAATATTATACCCATCCTTTTATTCCTGTCTTGTTTTGTTTTTTTCTTTTTGTTTTTCTCTTATGTTTACTTTGATTTTTTTTGTGTTGTGTTATCCGTTTTACAGTTTTACTCGCATGCTTGTTGTCGTTTTAGTTGAATATCTGCAATTAACTGTATTATTGTTTGTTTGTTTTGTACATTAGTTTGTTAGAAGTTTAGTTGTTGTAACTACATGTACATATTCATTGCCTTACTTCTTGCATTTGCAATGTTTTACATATTATTGTATAATTTACTGTATATTTATTGTTATTTTTATGTTTGTGAACCCCTTTGAAAATCAGCTGTGCTGAAAGGGCTATCCACCCTATGAGAGGAAATAAATAAATAAATAAATGTATGTATGTTTGATCTCAAAAAAAAAAAAATTATTATTTATTTATTATAGATATTTATCGTCAGTCATTTGAAAAAGCAACAATTTTAGCTTCAGAATATTGAAGAGGAGAAATTTGTGAGAACATTTGCTTCACGTCTGGAAAGCAAATGCTCTAGCTGCAGAAAAGAACAAGAAGCATTAATTGTTTGATGTACATGGCTTAACACTGCTTTGTCTTCCTTTGTTTGAAATGTTGAAGGCTCGTAACCTTTTGGAGAAAAAAAAATCCTTTTAATTATGCATCATATTCGTCATCTTTTAAAAAATACATTTCATCTACACGTTCATGTCAATATAGCATATCTATCATGGCAAATACATGTACACATAAAAATTAGTACATAACACTTGCCAAAATCATCAACAAATTCTTCATCTTCTAGGAATAGAAATCTCCACTCTGTATTTGTTTTCTTGATTACCTTCCCTACACATGACATTTCAAACAAAATGTACCTTTTGTCACCTAAGATTTTGTGACTATGTAATACTTTTGAATCATAAAGGCACGAAGGTGACAAGCAAAGAGAGGAGTGGATCCCACCCAGTGACCCGGAAGCCAAGCAATATCTTGAAGACATCGCTGTGAGAGGAGACATCATGGTGTCAGGTGAGCCGGCGAACTGTGAGAACTTCAACTACGGCCATGTTGTCCTGGAGTGGGTCAGGAGCTGGAAGCAGGAGACGAGGGATCGGATCCTCCTGGAGAGACTCCTTGCATCAAAGAGCAAAGGTGGGTTGGTTGTCTTCCTCTCTCTCTCACTCATTTCTGTCTTTCAATCTCTCTTTCCCCTCTCTCTCTCTGTCTGTGTCTGTCTCTATCTGTCTATCTGTCTTTCTCTCTCACTCTCATTCCCTTTATCCCCCCTCTCACTCTATCTCTGTCTGTCTATCCCCCTCTCTCTCTCTCTCTCTCTCTCTCTTTCTCTTTCTATATCTGTATGTGTCTGTTTGTCTGTTTCTATCTGTCTTTCTCAATCTGGAGAGACTCCTTGCATCAAAGAGCAAAGGTTGGTTGTCTTCCTCTCTTTCTCACTCCTTTCTATCTCTCAATATCTCTTTTTTTTCTCCTTTCTCATTCTTTCTCTGTCTGTCTGTCTCTCTCTCCCCTCTCCCTCTGCCACCACATGTCTGTCTCTGTCTTTCTCTTAATCTCTATTTCTTATTTCCCTCTTTCTCTGTCTCCGTCTTTCTGTCTGTCTCTGTTTCTCTGTTAGTCATTCTCACTCCTTTCTATCTCTGTCTCTATATGTCTGTCTGTCTATCTTTCTCAATCTCTCTTTCTTTCTACATTCTCCTTTTAACTCTGTCTGTCTGTCTGTCTTTCTCTCTCCCCTCTCCCTCTGTCTCCATCTGTCTGTCTCTAACTGTCTTTCTCTCTCAATTTGTCTTTTTCTCCCCCATTTCCTCCTTCTTTTGTCTGTCTCTTTCTCTTTCTCTTTCCCCTCTCACCCTGTCTCTATCTGTCTGTGTCTGTCTGTCTTTCTCACTTCCATCTCCATCTGTCTCTGTATTTCTCTATCTGCTCCCCCCCCCCCCCCCCCTCCCGCTAACTCTGTCTGTATGTCCATCCGTCTGTCCCTCTCTCTCTCTTTATATACATCTCTGTGTCTGTTCATCTGTTTCTATTTGTCTTTCCCAATCTCTCTCTCTCTCTCTCTCTCTCTATCTCTCTCTCCTTGTCTTTCTAATTCTATTTGTATGATTCAATCTCTTTCAAATCCATTGTTGAGGAAATATGAGGAAAATGTTCCAAATAATTTGAAATTATATATTATACAAGGTACATATAAAGGTACAGATTAATTTGATAAAAGAAAGACTGAAATTATTCAACTCATTTTCATGGAGATGTAAAGTAAATATTTAAATTAATTCTAAATGTACATTGCATAGGATACATAAATGCACAGAGTCATCTAATAGAAATGAGAGTGAAGTCACTTCTTAAAGAGAGAGATATTATCAAGGAAACAAAGAAGGAATATCAAGGCATTGTGTAGAAAGATAAATTGTATTCAAAAGTGCTATGACAATACAAGTACATGTAATTAGCTGATCATTATTGCACATAGAAGATTAGTCACTTTCAAATGAGGAAAAGAAATATACTCAAAACTATTGGCACACATTATGGAGGGTGGTTATTGTGTATAAAAGGAAGTAATTGAACTTCTTTCAGTTTCATTCAGTGGTACTACCTTGATTATGTCATGTGACTGCTAACGAATAGAAGAAAAGTACTCAAAGATGTTCAAGTATTGTGATGGTTCATGATTCGAAGCAGTGTATGACTGGAAGCTGCCTGTGACAGCAGATTCAACATCAATGAAGGACATTTAGCAGCTGCTGATTTTCTTTTGTTGCTCGTGGAACATATGTGCATAAGTATTACAGGAGTGAAAGGAAAGTTGCATAAAGAACATGGCAATGGAATATTAGTGAGTAATTGATGGATGATGAAATGTACTGATCTGATTACTTCAATATTTTGGATTTATAGTTTTCTCCATCAATACAACATCGATGCAGATTCACCATTATTGGGACTAGCTACAACTCTGGATGAGATCAAATTAAGAATCAATTGTAATATCTAATCATTTCTTCAATCCATGTGTTTTAGCGCTTAGAGACTTTGGTGGTAAGCGCTTCATAAGCACCGTTTTTATTATTATTAATATTATTAGATCCTTAATTATCTTCAAACTGAGCACAGATTCAGTCTGTTCCTGTCTCACTTCAACAATCATCTTTGATTCTGAATTAATCTACATGCAGCTTAGATACTACCTGCTCTAGTTTGGGCATGAGGGATTAGACCTCCCTGCATGGTCACTGACAGGTGGTTATCCCATCAAATCATCTCTCAATTAACATAAGAAAAAGAGGATCATGGGGGACCAACAGGCACGGCTTAGGCATTGTTTGCTATATAGAGGGTGTAAGTTGCTATAAGTAGTGCAGTGGGGCTTTAAATACTTAATCTTAATCAGATTCTGTCTTTAATCTCTCTGCTTTACAGACCCCTCCATCAACTACAACCTCAGTGCGAATTCAGCCTGGTCCTACCTCACTTCACACCACCAGTGGGATCAGCTTAAGCTCTGGATTAGATCAAGCTTAGCTCTTAATCCTAATCAGATTCTGTCTTCAATCTCTCTGTTTTACAGACCCCTCTATCAACTACAACCTCAGTGCGGATTCAGCCTGGTCTTACCTCACTTCACACCATCACTGGGATCAGCTTAAGCTCTGGATTAGATCAAGCTTAACTCTTAATCCTGACCTTTCAACTTCATCAACGGAAGCAGTGAACCCTTGGCTACATGACCTGAAGCTATTCCCCGGAGTGGTTCACAAGATGGAATCCTGCTTGCCAGACCTGCAAGAGAAGATCTTGGATGAATTAGCCAGGTTTACAACCTTTTCTAATTCTCATATTTTTGAAATTATTTATCCTTATGAAATAAAATTAAAGATGGTTTGTTGTGGAGTTCAGTATTAAAAATTCTCTAACTTTAATGAAGACAAATCAATTTAACTACCGTACTTACCTTTACATGATAAGAATCTTAGAATCTCCATGTGGACATTATAGTTTGGTATTAACATTTGAGGCATACAGTATATGCAGAGAAGCGCCTTGTTCTTTTGGAGTTTTGTGCATTTACTCCCTTGCTCCCTCTTGTAATCTTGGACATTACTTGCTACCAGCATTATATGTTCATTGTCAATGTTTGCGTTCCTAATTTCCAAAATAAAAAAATCTGTAGGCATGGGATATTCAGCTCTACCGAACTGGCGACCTTTGACCTTCTTACAAGGCGTCTGAGTAGCACACGGCAGCTGTTCCGACATCCTCACCCTCTAGGTCAGAGGTCAGAGACGGCCTCTGTGGCGCCTTCTTACAAGCAGTGGTTCCTTGAGATGTGCATAGAGAAGCAACTGCCAGGATTGTTGTATGCCTTCTTAGATTTCTACAGGTAAGTATGTTAGATGAACGGTTAGATACATCTACAAGTAGATCACTCAATAACGAACGGAATTATGCTTTGCCCATAGAATTTGTTATTCCATGGACATAGCAAATTCATATTCTACTCGAAACATAATGTTTTTCCTTAGCCATCCCAAACGATTTAGAGTATAGTTAGGAATGTAAAAATGCCATACTTTATATGAAGTAAATACACTCTGTTCCTTTGATAGCAGTCAAGAAGAGAGGTTTTAAGAGGAGTTTGATTTTTGCAAAGAAATAAATGGAGAGTAACTTACAAAGGAAATCCTAGAATATTAATTTCATTGCCAAAAAACTGTAATTAATTCATCGGTGGTGAGATATTTCACTTTCATTCTCATTTACCCTTTATCTCCCATTTCGAATTTTATCCAAATCAACTTGTCAGATGGAATCCCCTTCTAGTTTTATTACTAAGTTCAATTTTGATGAAGGAATAGTAAAAGAATACTAACCTTGTAACTTCATTTATTGCACATGGTATCTCATTCTCTATTTATCTGTGTTTCTTCAAATCTTAGTCTTTGCTTGTCAGAGAATGAGGTGATGAGTCTTCAGCTACCCCTAGCCCAGTGCCCCTGGCTTGAGATCATGCTACACTTCAGGTGGATCGGAAGACAGGTGTCCGGTAGGTAGTATACAAGTATACAAGTAGTGATGAAACTTAAATGCTTGCCTTGTTCATGCTACATGTACAATCTCTCCCAGTTCTTATGCAGGTTATCATTCACTCCTAATTATTAGGATAGTCAATTCTTAGAGTGTTACACATCTTTTTGGATGAAAAGAAAGAAATTGTACATTTTTGTTTGACCAAATGTCTATGTGTAATTGATCTACCTTTGAAAATCTTGATTGGTGATCTTCTTGATGTAAACAAAAGTTGTAAATCCCTCATCATTTTTGTGTAGGTCTTCCTAAATCTTTCTTTGACCTATTTCTCTGATTTTTCTGATTTTAATCAAAGTATTTTGTTTACAATCTGGAGTTCTCTTTAGCATTTCACTTTTTCACTTGTGTACATGTGCTTAATTATGCCTTTGTTTCATTTTGAAGTCATTAGATAAATGGTCATAGAATGTCACCATTTTTCTGTTCCTTCTAGACCCATCATTGGTTTTCCAAGCTAGTCTCTCGAATGCTAGACTCTTGATGAAAGTCACCCAGCCCACCGTATCCCGTCTCCTGGATGCAGGATATCCCATCATCGCCATAGCAACACTGCGCTATGCACCAGGATCCATTCCAGAGGTTGGTTTGAGAGGGAAGAGGGGTGCGAATGATAAGAGAGGGGGTGGAGAGAGGGAGAGAGAGAGGGGTGAAGAGAGGGAGAGAGAGACATGGACAGAGAGAGACAGGGAGGGAGGGATAGCCTGAGACATCATTAGAATACAAATGAGTGAGATTTGGTTAGAGAGAGTGAAAGATACACTGAGAGACAGACAATTGCAGACACATAGACAAAATGATAGGATGGATTAAGAATTATTAAAAATGAGTGAATTAGTGTGTGAGTAGGAGAGAGTAAAAGAGAGAGAGAGAGAGAGAGAGACATAGACTTACACATGGGTGCTCATGTAAAGATGGAATTAGATGGAGAAAAAGTGTGAGTGAGTGAGTGAGAAAGAGAGAGAGAGAGAGAAAGTAAAGGAAAAAGAAAGAAAAGAGAGAGAGAAAAAAAAAACAACTGACATACGATATGAGATGTTGAGATATATTTTATAGACAAATACTGACAAAAATTATGAAAATTGGGGCACATATTTCTTCACCTTGAATTGTCAAAACACCAAATGATCTCATTGTTATGTGTCTCATGTTTTGAAGGCTCTTACCCCTGCTACCAATGAAGATGAAAAGCTATGGAAGCTAGATGGTGACAAACTCAAGCAAGCTCTACGTCCTTACCCCAAGCTCCTCTCTGCCGTCTTCCCACCCTCTAGCATAGACGGTATCAAGACTCAAGACATCACTGTGTATGAACTCCTCCAGGTAAAACAATTCATGCATTTACGTTCAAAGGGAAATGCAACCTTATAGCAAACTACTCTAGAGGAGAGCAGAAAAATCAGAAAAGTAGACTGGTGAAAGTTTGCTATCCATTATGTATTTTGACTAGTGCTCCAAGGGAGTAGGCACTTCAGAGAAATTAATGATATTCTCTGTTCATGGCAAATGGAAGAGTTATCGAGTACTACATCACAATCTACCGACCAAACAGCCAACTTGTGATTCGCATTGACCAAGTGATCTCATATTTCAAACATTATTAACTTTTTATTATTGGTGCAATTTATTTCAAATGTTTGCCATTCTGTTTATCTAATTTCTTTTCCTTCATACAAATTAACATATTACAAGGATTGAATTGGGCTCTTTGATCTTATACAGCTTTATCTACAAACATTCTAACATTGTGAGCGCTTTAGGAAATCTTTAGCTACACTGCCATGTGGTCAAAAGAAAAGCCCAAACCTGAAATTTTGAAATTGTTTAGTTTGAGAGCTGAAGTAACAATATCACTGTTCATTGTTTAAAGAATGTGTGGATAGCAAATTGTTTTAAGATGTAGTCAAAATATAATCAGGAATTTTGAATAAAATTTTTCAAGATGACCCATGCATCTATTCAATAATTTCACCATGGCACATGACAATGTCATGTAATAAATCAGCAGTTTCAAATTTAATGAAATTTCAAATTCATCATTAAATACACTCTTTGACAGTTATTAAAAGCCATATCATTTTGACACTATTCATCATAGTAAATAGAGCAAATCATTACAAATGTGATTTTCATTTTTAGGGAAATTGTCCACTTGACCCCAGGAAGTTATTCCTCTGGCAAAGTACCAATAAGGTCATGCATCCAGAAGGTAAGAAAGAAATTTCAACAACAAAAATTATAAAAACCTCTTATTATTTTTTCTCTCTATCTTTCTATGTGTCTATCTTGATATATTTGTCATCTAGAAACATTTTCACATTGCTTGTTTAAATGTATCTTTATTCTCTTTTTCACTATTTCTATTTTCCTCTATATTTATTTAATCTACTTCATATTTGAAATTAAAATAAAAAATGAAATGTTGCATTATAACTGTCTATAATAATGAATAATTCATTTTGTAAATTGATTTGTGAACTGAAACTAGTGAAAACACATTTCCATATCAACGATAATTACATAATTTCAACTTCAATTTTAATATGTTATTGAATTGCATTGTTGTACACTTATATGTACATGTACATGTATATGTAAATGATTGTTCTTCAATTGGAGGACTGCCAATCCATGAAGATCATGTATCCTTTGGTAGCAGGCCTAAGTAGGCTTGCACTCTGAAAATTTGCAACAGAGGGAGAATTATGATAGTGAAAGTAATTACTGGTAGACCGCCACAATAAGTACAGCTGCATACTATGTTGAATTATGCTGAAATATGAATCCAAATGTTATTCTGTGGACTTTGTATTACTCAGATCATGTCTGTCCTAAAATATTGATTATACATTTACTATTATTCTTCTTTGTTTCTCTTTTGCTATTTAGACACTACCAGTGAGATGCCGTACTTTGCAGACTCAAGTCTGATTGAACGTTACGCCTACACCGAGGCATTCAGCTACACGTACTACCTGAGACAAGGGCGGCCATCTTTTGCGTATACCACCTTCATCACAAGTCTGTTACAAGATGGCAATGTGCTTACCAAGAAAATGTATGTTTTGGTCTTCACCTTGACTCTTTTAAACAAATACATAATTCCATGTTTAAAGTTTATACATCGGTGTACTGCTCATTACCAACAAAAAGGTGTATTGCTTTGTTAATTTTACTGGTTCCCTTCCATTATATGTAATTGATAGAGTTGCCTTTAAATTTATAGTAGCAACAGTTGTAATTGTGATACTCTTTTTTTTCCTAGCAATAAAGTGATCATAAGGTCATGAGAGTGGCTGTCAGCAAAATTTGTGCTACAAATGATTGCCTGAATTAATTTTCAATTAATTTTCAATTGCAATAAATCTCACACCAGGGAGGGAGAGAGAGAGAGAGAGAGAAGGAGAGAGAGAAGGAAAAATAGACTGAGTGAAAGAGATAAAGAGATTCCTACATTTATACAAACAGTGTCTTTGCTCTTATTTACATGATCCCATTTATAAGGAATGTACACAAAGACATAAACAATGACATAAACAGCTGTAATTGTGATATTTTCATCCCCAGATTGTTTGAGGTGTATGTGAAGGCCTACACGACGGCGGTACGTAGCTTCACCAACCCGTCCATCTGTGCTGCCTGTACTGCATTCATAGAGATGCTGGGCAGGGATAGTCTATCTCTTCGTACTGACCTCCAGGCCGTCAGGACCATCGCTGACCATCTCAAGGGTCAACTGACCCCTGCTAACAGGTCAGGTGTCAAAGGTCAACAAGGGGTCAGTCTTGAGAAGAACCTGAAGGAAAAGAAGGAGACGGTAGAGAGAGACATGGGTGAGTAAGACTGCAGGGGGGTGTTTCACAAAGATCCTAAGTTGAACTTAACTCTAAGTTGGACTTTAAAATTATGGAGAGCCATTTATTGCCTTAAAATATAATTAAAAGCAAAAATTCAAGTAGTTTAGACTTTTCATAAATTCCACATCAAGAACATGAAATATAGAAAATATGAATGAACCGAATCAATGATTTTATGCCTTTAAAAATATTGTTTACAAAATATTTTTAAAGATGCTAATGGCTTTCCATAATTTTTAAGTCCAACTCAGTGTTAAGTTTGACTTAGGATCTTTGTGAAACACCCCCCAGATTGTACTGTCCTTCATCCAGTCTAATAAATTTCCCTGTGAATCGCAACTTCCAAAGAGGATTTAATGATTTTTTTCTTTCTGCCTCAGAAGACGGTGCCACTTTACTTGAAGAAATCTGTGCATTGTGGCTTTTTAATAAATGTCACATCTAAAAATTTATGTTAGACAGTATGCCCATTAATGATCACTTAATCCCTTAACGATTTGTTTCTTTCTTTATTATTATAGTGAACTTGATGATGTCGTGTGTGAAAGGCAGTGATCTCTGTGCCAAGTCTGTCTTGAGGAAACTAGAAGAAGCTCTCATCAGCCATATTGACCAGCAGAACATTGATAGGTCAGTCAAATATGTTAATATTCATCTGCATTGTGCATGGACAATCTACCCTTTACTTAATCATCAGATATGGGTTTTTAGGAGATCAAATTTTAAGCAGTACTGCTTAATAAAGAGGAAAATCACTTTATAATTTGTGTATATGCTTTGCAATTTTTTTTAAAAACTATATCAAATGGTTATGATGAATATTTCCATATTCAACAAATCTTGAACAAAGTACCTCTTTGGTGACTTAAAATACTTGACTTATAAACTCTTGAAATGTGTGGATATTCAACTTCACCTATATCTCTATTAGTCTGTGTACCACACAGTGTATATCCACTACCTCCAGACCAGAATATTCTAGCAAATCATAAATTGCATCTTGAATAATCTGAATAAATATTAAATAGTGATATTTTGTTCTCAGATTACACATGCTTTGCAGCTTATGAAAAGAAAATTGTATAAAGGATTTAGATCTTAAGGCTTCCTGGATGTTTTTAAAAACAATTACTTTGATCATCAGATTTTGTTTTGAGAGAATTATTTTAATATTTTTGTGATTATCAGGGTGAGCTGGAAGGCTGCTGAAGAATGGAACCTAGCAGTGATGTTCTGTCGTCTCCATGGTATCGCCTTGACAACCGTCTTTCCTGTGGAATGTACGCGAGCAGACAACTGGCTGATCTTCATTTGCTTCATCCAGACACACCAATACCCCAAACAACAGGTAATATACGAGCACTTTGGAAGTCATGGAAGACTAGTAATATTATTTGTTTTGATAATGTCAATAAATGAGAAAATCTTTAAGCTTTGTGAAATAATAATAATAATAGGCATTTCTGTAGTGCCGTCTATCTAAAAATTCTATTTCGAGGTGCATTTAATATCTTTCTTGAGCACACAAAAATATGACAACTTACGTAAACTACAAAAGATATGTGTTAGTAGCTTTATCTTACTAACAGATTCATTTTTATTATAGCCTTGAATGATGAAAAAAGTGGGCCCTGACAACAACAAAAACTCCTGCTATCAATGTTAGCCTCATGAATAAACATATATATGTCAAGAAATGAAAGAAAAACTAAATTATGCAATGATCATGAATGTATCAGATGCAAATAGAAATCATGAAGTAGTTGTATTGCACAGTAACACATATATGTGTACTAAATGATCATTTTTTGTTATACCCCTTTACAGGTTCTTGACTTTGTGAAGTCCTTCAAGAGTAGCACCATCAAAGAGCACATGAGCCACGCCCTCTCTCATCTCCAGTATGGCCCCGCCCCTTCCCAGGATACCGAATCAACATCCCAGGGAGGCGTGGCTAATGTCAGATCGAAGATGCCAATCAAAGACTACAGGAGCGCCTACTACACCAAGATGGGATTCCTCAAAGATGGAGCAGGTTTGAGGCTTAGGCTTTCACAAAATTTGCAACCTTTCTTAATTTGCTTCTTTAGTAGAAGTTTTTTTCTTTTTATCACATACTTAATTTATTGAAATTAACAAGAGAAAGCATGTAAAAGGAACATTCATTTACTTCTATAGATTTATTAAAATTTATTTAGAAGATTTATACTAGTAGAGATTTCTTGTTCATGTTTTATTGTAAAGACGTGTGAAGCAGCATAATGAAAAAAAGAAACATGATAAACTTGAATGACAGTGTTTGAAAATGTTAGTGTTTGCCAGTATTAGAGTTTAAAGGGTTGTCATCATTTCATGCTGTAAAATATATATTACAAATCTACAAATTAGCAAATCGCCAGTAATATATAAATGTATTTAGAAACATTTTGTTAGAAATACATTTCTTCTACAATGTATTCAAGTTAAATCAACTATCAAAAACATCTTGATAAACTCCATCACCTAATATGTACATCTTGTTGTTCTTGTAGATGCGTCAGCTGAAACAAGTGACACAGAAGATGAAGAAGATAAGTCTGGAAGTAGACTAGAGGCATCACATGATGAACTTTCTACTACTGACACAGATACTGTTAAAGGTAGCCTTTTGTGATTTCAAAATTCCCTATGAAGAACTAACTATGCATTACTGGATGTAACACGTAAAGTGCAGGTTTAAAACATCTGCATATGGATGGTCCCTATGTGACTATGGACCTCTTGACTGTGCCTTGCGTAGTAGAGAGTGAGTGGCTAATTAAAAGCAATTATGTGGATTGCTTCTCCTGGACCTACATGTACCGATCTTTTTTAACCTGACTGGTGCAAATATGAATATGCAAATGAGCACCGTTCGAGAGTGGGCTGTCTCTCAGACTATAGACCTTGGATTTATCTGTCATATAAAGAGACACTAATTGATTATAATCTTGCTTTTTTTTCTTGATGCATACTGTGAAGTATTTTTTTTTTAGATACTACTGTACACGAATGAATTTGCCAATATTTGATAGTTTGTCACTGCATAGAATACATGTGTACCTCATGAACATTGTTTCATCCATTTAGGTCTTTTTGCAAGTTAGGGAACTTTACAGAGTTTAAAGAAAAATTAGATTTAAAGACCCCAAAATTGTATGAGTGTTCTCAAGTGCCCCATTTTCTTTGATATTCAATATTCAGATCTTGAAGTTGGGGATGTATCTCGTGAGCTGTTTGATATTATCTTCACGTGTGGGAACCATTCTGAACCATGGAAAGTCTTCCTCTCTCACTCCATCCTCTTACAGCAACCAGTGTTGGCAGTGATTGCTGCTTGTCATCAGGTAATATCATGGTATTTTTGCTAGTCATGGTTGCTGATGTTTCTACTCGTGTTATGTGTGAAAGTATGGAATGATAATGGTAATTATTAGTATGATGTGAGTTGTGAAAAAGTTGATGATGATGATGATGATGATGATGATAACAATATTGATGATGATGATGACGTTGATGATGATGATGATGATGGATGGATGGATGGATAGATAGATGAATGGATGGATGGATGGATGGATAGATGGATGGATGGATGGATGGATGGATGGGCGGGTGGATGGATGGATGGGTGGATGGATGGATGGATGGATGGATGGATGGATGGATGGATGGATGGATAGATAGATGAATGGATGGATGGATGGGTGGATGGATGGATGGATGGATGGATGGGTGGATGAATGGATGGATGGATGGATGGATGGATGGATGGATGGGTGGATGGATGGATGGATGGATGGATGGATGGGTGGATGGATGGATGGATGGATGGATGGATGGATGGATAGATAGATGAATGGATGGATGGATGGATGGATGGATGGATGGATGGATGGATGGGCGGGTGGATGGATGGGTGGATGGATGGATGGATGGATGGATGGATAGATAGATGAATGGATGGATGGGTGGATGGATGGATGGATGGATGGATGGATGGGTGGATGGGTGGATGAATGGATGGGTGGATGGGTGGATGAATGGATGGATGGATGGATGGATGGATGGATGGATGGATGGGTGGATGGATGGATGGATGGATGGATGGATGGATGGATGGGTGGATGGATGGATGGATGGATGGATGGATAGATGGATGGATGGATGGATGGATGATGATGATGATGATGATGATGATGATGATGATGATGATGATGATGATATGATGACGATGATGAAGAGAAAGAAGAAGAAGATGATGATGATGATTATGATGAAGTTGATGATGTAAAGGGATTTTTTTTTATAAATAAAATTATAATAATCTATTGTATACATCGATCCATCTTACTCCAAGAACTCTTTTCCACAAAATATATTTACCAAACTGTTATTTGAAATGTGGCAATATACATTTTGCTTTTGGGCCTACGGTATATACCAGTAGTAGAATGTACTGGATATTGCAGGCTAGGCACTGTTGCATATGTATCATTAAACTATTCTCATGCTAATCTTCCCCCTAGGGTGCCAATATCTTAGACTGTCTTTGTTCCTGGCTCTACACCTCCTTCTCTGATGATCCCAACCTTGAGAGGGTCCTAGGTCCAAGCTCCTTTTTCAAGAGCCACGCCTGGAGCCTTGATCAGCTTCGCAGTCTCATTGACATTGCCATGGTAACAGGAAAGATCACACTTCTGACCAAAGGATTCCACATATTTGACAATGTGAGTATTTTTTTGATGAAATATGTTGCTCATGAATGCTGCTGTTATTTTGTGACAGTGTTATTAAAGATAGAGAGTACTACTTGCCCTCAGTTATTTCTGACAATTCTACCAAATAATTTTGATAGGCTATCGATTTCATCAAGTCATGCCTATCTCTGGTGTCAAGGACGTCACTTTAAGCTTAGGCTTAAGATTACCCCTTTTCTGTATATACCATGTCATTTTCATACATTTAAAGTTACAAGATTGTAAATGTAAATATGTTAATGTATATGGAATAAATAAAAATCAAATCAAATCAAATTTAGTGAATGTATTTTATTCATCATTTTATGACAGAGAGGTGTGTTGAACTCTTTTCTTGCTTTCTGTGAAGACTTCCTGGTTCTAAGGGATAGGAATCAATGCAAGATAGATCTAGAATTCTTCCATGAAGCCATCCTTACAGTAAGTTCTCTCTCTTTAACAAATATTTTTTGTGTTATCATAATTATGTCATTATTCCAAATTTAATAGAGTTTGTGGCTTTGAGAGATTGGTATCGATCAGTCAGCTCTGGCTGTTCATAACTTTGTGTCAATGCTGTCAGAGTCAGATCTCACTGATAAACACTTTTCACCCAATATTTACCGACATATTGTACTATTTCCTGTGTAATAACAACATCGATTCTCTGCTCTGGAAACTAATTTCTTTTCATATAACATTACTTTACAAAAGAAATATTTTATTCTATTCTGTTTTATTATATTCTGAATATGGATAACCTGAATGTTCTCTCAAGGCCCGTTCAGATGTGTCACAGTTAAAAATGGTTTTCTTTCTTTAAAATGTATAAATGAGGCAAATTCAAGCAACAAATGTCCTACTCATATTCACTTGGCTCTGTCTAAAAGATACAGAAAAGAGAAGGGTATTACAATTTAACACTGCGATTTAACGCAGCATATCAGAAAGAATCTTCAGACAAACTGATTACCAATAGCATTTGTATTGTGATGTACTTGTACAACAATAAACTGTTTAGGGTTATGAATATTAATTAGGTTGACTGATTTTTCAATGATTTTTCCTAGAGATCAATGATCTATCATACAAATTTGAAAAACATGTACCAGTACATTTAAGATTACATATGATTATCCTTATGTAACACTAATTTTCTGACATTATCTGATTATGTGAATGTATTCATTTCCTTCAGTGTCGACGTCGTAATAGTATGAGAAACCAGCCTGATCCCGGCCCAAGTAGACCAAGGATTGGTCATCTGGAGTGGTTTCAAGAGACAGCCAATCACATGGCTCGTAACATGCTACTCTCATGCACCAGCCAATGGGAGACTGGCTTTCTTCTCGAAGTCTTCACAGCTTTGAATTTCTCCCGTACTGTAGATTCACATGGTAAGCAAACACGTTGTGAATGATAAGTTGCTAAAGAAAGAGGAACAGCTTTATTTATAATAAAAAAAAATACAAAGGGTATAAAATACATACCGGTACATAAAAATGTTTCAAACAATTAATAGATTGTATATACATTTAAATTAGCTATGTTCCAATATGACGTACATCGGAGAAGGAAAAAAAATGCTCAGAGTATTAAAAGGTGATGGTCCATGCTATATGATCAAAATTATAATGTTTAATAAACATTTAACCAGATATTTCCTTGTGGTACATACTGATTTGCTATCTGATAATTGTATTCCTTCACATCAAAAATGCATTCTAGAATGTTAGCACAACATGGAAGTTTCAAGCATGTTGATTATAATTGTGTTACAAATTGACTTTTTCTCTCCTTTGCCATTCTTATACTAGTACCGGTAGTTCTGTTTTGTACATCTGAATTATGAACAGTCTGTATCATTGGCTATTACTTTAGTCACTATTTCATAAAAAAATGCTAGCTGTTAGCCATCTTACAATTTTCATACTCTGTTGTTCTGTCTGTCTTGTTTGTAGACCCAGACTACAGCACGCTATATCATCTTCACAAGGCCCTTCAAGGCACCGGTCTAGAGCTCTCAATATCCTGCATGCTAGACTCTGCTGAGGCCATGGTCAGTGAATGCCGGACATTGCTGGACAGGCTGCAGGCCATGGGACAGTTTGACCGGGCCAAAGAGTTTGCTGGGGCAGCTGGACTGTCTACTGACCATGTGATTATACAACAGGTCAGTGTATAAAGATCAAACTGTCTGAAAATGGTTTTATTGTATGATGACGATGGTGATTATGATGGTTTTATTGTATGATGACTGTGATGATTGTGATGATGATAATAATAATAATAATAATAATAATGTTGATGATGATGATTATAGTAATGATAATTTTCAAGTTGTAAAGGCATAATAGATGTGAATCTGAAACCTGAGCTACAAATGAAGGAGCCTAGATGCCCGAAGCTCACATTTTTTAAAATCAGAATACCAATTTCCTGCCTGTACGCATGTACACAGGCACTAAACCTGAACTATTTTTAGGGAAATACGTGTCCCTCTACATATGTTTTGAATTCCTTGATCAACATCAAATATGAATTTGTCTGTTTTTCTGTAAATTTCAGGTATTCAAATGTAGATAGAGAAATAGAACCCAGTCACACAGACAAGACTGGAGGGCCAATATATTTTGTTTTATTGCACTGTTTGGGGTAGGTGTGGCAATGTGACTAGGGTTGACGTGTTTGTTTTCTTAGTCATCAGTGTTTGTTTGTTTGTTTGTTTTACCTGACTTCTAAGACAGCATATGTATGCTCACAAGTAAGTTTCTTATTCATCTGTACTAATCTCATTGAATATATATATATATACATAATGGGACTTTTTATATAAAGTGAATTTCTGTTACCCCACAGATCCTCAGTGACCTTAGGCAGGTCATGAGGTCAGAGGTCGGAAGCACAGAGGCTGGACGTATTGCATTTTGGGTCAAGTGCAGTGAAAGGCTCACAAAGGCCAAGGTTGAGCATCAATCAGCCGCTCAATTCTTCCAGGTAAATTGCAATGATTTCTGTTGGAGTTACTGTCTGTTATCAATGTTTAACGAATGCACTACAGATGGTATGGCGACAAATGCTCCACATTTCATTAACATTCCATAACGTCTACTCTGGACTGAACTTTTTACCTTGCCCTGTTGCTAAACCTAACCTAAAACCTAATCCCCATGGTTACCCTAACTTTATGTCTTTGATGAAATAAAACCCAGAGCAAATGTCCTTGGAGTATATCCCAGATCGCCCATATGTTATTGTGAAACATTTGCAATGTTTTGTTCAATATATATTTTTTTTTTTTTTTTTTTTTTCTATACCAGACACAATCAGAAGAGGAAGAACTTACAGGTAATAAGCAAGCCAGAGAGAGGGCCATTCTACTAGACTTGTCCTACCAGTGGTTATCTCATCCAAAATCTACTCCAACTAAGAGTTCTCTACGGTCATTAGAACAAAAGGTCTGGCTGTGGAGATTGAGAGCTGAGGTCGACAAGGTAGGATACCTTTTTATTTAGTATTCAAACATATCATTCAGCCAAATGTTAACATACATGTATAAGGTGATGATGTCAAAGTAAATGACTGAATGATTTGAATTAATACCTCTCTTAAAGGGATTGGTTAACAATCTTAAATCTGAGAAACATGGCCCTACGTCTTATCGGTGTCTGTGATATGGTGTTATATTGTAGCCCTAAAGAAATTGCTCTTCAAAATGATCAAGAAGTGCCTCAAAAAAGTAAAAACCTTTGAGTGACCAGTTTGTACCATACTCGTTTTCCCCAATAGAATGTAGTGTTATGAAAACCAATTGGCAAACGCGAAATTTAATTTCGAATTTCAATCATAAATATCTTGATAATCAGACAGGCGATCGGCTTGTAAAAGTTATGGGTTCCTGACTGACCTAAAGGTTTATAATTATGATTGCAGCATGAGCTAAATCAAGGATTTTTTTAAAGGATCTAAGACAAAGTTACCGGATCCCTTTAATCTAGAGAGAGTTGAAAAGAGGCTTATACAGTCATTCACAATTGTTGGTTTCTGTTCCATCTCACGCATTTGATCAGAAACAAAACTTAGAATTTTGCACCTGTGCTTATTCTGTTTGCATTGAAAAGAAGAGGAAAGTAGACACAGCATCCCTATCTTGTCTGGAGTCTCATTCCGCTGACTGGACACCCAAGTCTAGAGGTCCTAGGGAGCTTCTATATGATGTACAAACAACAGATACATCTGTCCATCAGCTTCTAAATGAAGAGGTAGGTCATCAACTTTATCATGTAGTCAGACTCAATTTCTTCCCATATTCATATTGTGATCCAATATTCTTTTTACGTTATTTGCCAGACACATTATTTGTATGATACATCTGTTAGCTTGCTTTAACAGGTGAATAAGAAATATGAATATCTATATCTGTTTATCAAAAATAGAATCATATTATTCAAGTCACATACATGTACCAGTAGATAACATTTTGAAAAAAGCATACTAGGTCATCACTGGTGACTGTGCCATAGACCAGTGATGCCCTGGTGGAAGAGTCACTGCCTGGCAAGCAGGAGATGGCAGGTTCAACTACTGCTGGTAACAAGACTTTTTCTGACTTGTTTTAATTACAAGATCGAGCACATGATCTTTATTGACTGGGTCCTTTATGTAAGGAATCAAATGAACATTCCCCATCTTTCTCAAGCTAACTTCTACAAGAGTGATATTTGTTGTTATTATTCAGCATTTTAAATTTTAAATGCAAACTCTGTAAGAGATAGTCATGTATGTTTTTTTTTCTCAGTTTTTTAAATATTTCACTATCCATTTCTATATTTGTATACTCCCACTTACCCTCTTGTTTCATATTATGATCTATAAGACATTTTAACAATATACTTCTGTTTTTCTTTTCTTTCTTTTTTCTTTTTTTTCTTGTTGTATGTAAATAGTTCACAACCCTTTAAGAATTTTATTTTTCATACCGGTATATTATGTATTTGAAAGGTGTTGTAACAATCCAAGCTCTATTTTCTTATGCTTCATCACCTTTGCGTATTCATTCTTTAAACTGTATAATAGTTGCAACTTGTCTTTGATAAAACCTTGTTATATTCTTTTTCATGTGAAGTCGATTCAAATGGATTGTAAAATTGAAAATGATTTGTTTTATTATATTCTTTTTCATGTGATGCTAACTACAATGAATCATGAAATTGTGAACATGCATCAATAAATAAGTAAATGAATAAATATTTGTAGGAGAAATCAGCCCTGAAGGACATGATTGATGGCCTGCTGTCCAGCTGCTGTATCTCCAAGGCCCATCAACTATCCAGTCAGTTCGGACACACTCACAATGACCTCTCCATCACACTAGCATGCCTTCAGCTCATGCAAGGCAAGGTCAAACCAGAGGGCATTGACCCTGAGCTCAGGTCACAGGTCAAGGTCAGCAAACCCAAGCTGGCCAGACGACCCAGTAACATGACCCTCCTGGGTCCTCCGTCGGGGGTGTACGGTGGCAGGTCTAAGAAGCAGCTCAGAAGATCACCTAGTGGTAAGTCAGTAGGCGGGACAAATACACAAAACTACTGTAAAACTAGAAAAAAATTGGGAAGTAAGGACCATCATCCTGAAAGGAACTTTCATGATTTTCAAAATGTTAGTGTCTTAATTGATTAATTATGGCAACACTTTGAAACTCTCTGGTCTGAACACTCACAAAAGCTTGTGAAAGTTTCAGGTTTTGTGGTATTATTAAGAGATTGATGCTCATGAGCATCAACTTATGAGCATCAAATGACTCCTACCAGAAATAGCAGATCATTCTTTATTTTCAATAGCATTCCCTGGGAGAAATACAGTGAGAAATATCTTCATCTTTCTTTACAGTGGTCAGTCTGGGTATCAACCAGGAGTTGAGTTCTCCCCAGAGTGATGACTGTCTGACCATGATGGAGGCTCTCGCTGACCATACCTCAGCAGCCAGGACATGCTGTGACCGCATCATCAACATCTACAGGATCTCACAGGTAAGTCCTTTGGTTTGTAGTATGAAAATCAAACAACAAGAAATAGTTTCTCTCACCCTTTAAACAGGTTCATATTCCTTCAGAGGCAAAATTCTTTGTCAAATGAAGAGTTGAGTTGAGTTTGAGTTTATTTTATTTATACACGGTAAAAGCCCGAAACAGTTCGCAGACTGGTTTCAATCAGGGCCGTGTCGATAAAAAACAACATAATCATGACATATAAACAAAAGTAATATAACACTGACAAAATTCACAACCATAACACAACAATAATAGGAAATAAGCTAAAAACACTTTACTTAATTAGAACTATATTGGTAGACCAAAAAGATAAACAATTAAATAAGTTACATATATGATCATCATAATCTGTTTGCATATTTATATATATATATAAAGTAAAAACAAAAAGAAGTTTAACAAGATTATAAATAAGTTAAAAACATATTATGTATTCATGTTAAATATTAAATAATCAAACTTTAAAACAATAAACAAAAGAAAACACACATAATGTAGAATGTGTAATAATTGTGAAATTAAGACAAATGCGTATTCCATATTAAGTAGAAGTAAAATGAAGTATGGAATAATAATAAATACTTAAGAGCATTATGAATATGGATCATTAAATACTACATATATAATTGTTTTTGTTTTTAAAGAGACAAAAAATGATAACGTATTGCAAAGATCATATTGCACATCAATAGACATTTAAAACATATTGCGTAGGAGTAATATAACATAAATAACAATGATAAATAGGTTGAAATTATGAGATAAAAATTGTATACAACTATAAAACCTTAACAACAAACAACAACAAAGCTCTCTTAAACTAATAAGTTAGCCCCTCCCCACACACTTATTTCGTATTACGTCAGCTTTGCCTTAAAAATATTTAACGATTTAACGATTTAGCACCTTGTACTTCATGTGGCAAGTTATTCCATGTTAATTGTATTAAAAACTATGTAAATTTGAATCATGTACCATTTTACAATATTGTATGTGGTGTCTATTGGTTCTGTGATGATAGGCACCTTTTTAATGTATGTTTATATCCCCAAACACATTGAAATCCAATGCCCATACCTGTAACACTGTTTTTGCTCTCATTTAGTCATTCAATGAAATCTTCAGGTCATATGCTGTGTTTAATGGATATCATCAGGACATAAATTATCAGAGATCAATTTAGTAAACTTCTTGCCATTTATTCTAATATCACTTATCTGTATCACCTCTCACTTCTTGTTATCCTCATGATAGGTGTTGGACAAGCCATATGACTTGTTGATCAAGCAAGTTCCTTTCACGTCTGTCAAAGCTCTTCTCCACTCCAGTCATCCCGACCGCTATCTTCTGGCGAAAAGCTTCATCAGAGCAAACAATCTGGCAGACAAGGAGGTAGAGAATGTTTGAGATGAATGAAGGGGGGGGGGAGAGACAGACAGACAGACAGACAGAGAGAGACGGCATGGTTCTTGAGCACTAACTCCCGAGCAATGATTTTATCAGAGCAAACAATCTGGCAGACAAGTAGTTAGAGAATGTTTAGGATTGATGAAGGGAGGGAGGGATTAAGAGGGGATGGAAGGAGGGAGGAATATATTGATATAAAAGTAGATGAAGGGAGATAGAGGGAGAGAGAGGGGGGGGGGGGGGGGAGAGAGAAACAAAATTTCTTCCTGACCACTACCTCTCGACCAAAGATGTCATGAGGGATGAAATGCGTGGTATAGATAGATCAGTGGAGTGATGGGAGACGGAGGGAAGGAGGAAGGGAAAGATGGAGAAGCCTTTCTGATACCCATGTTTCTTAGCAAAAAAATCATCAAGGCCTACCTTGCTAATAATGAGGTATGGAATACGTCATCTTGAAAGGATGACTAGCTCTTGTGTTAGCAGAAGAATAAACTACAGAATATAAACAATTCTTAGAAACCATCACAAAGGGGGAAAATGGCATGCAGGAAAACAATGACTTCTTAAAATTATTGTAGTAAATTGTTTCTTCTGTAACAGTTGTAGTTAAGGAATTTTTTTTCCCCTTAATATGCTAACACTACCGGTATGATTTCTTTTTTTCAGGTGGCAAACTTTCTATCTGAAGATGTGATGACTGGGTTGCAGCAGAAAATCAAGAGAAGAAAAGAGAGTATGTATTCTAATTATTCCCTTTCTTTTGAAGGGTTCGGACAGAATATCATTATGCAAGTCCCTAAAGTACTTGAATACTCATTAAAGGTACTATTAATTATTTCTATTACACATAAGCTGTAACAAATATATATTAAAAACAGTATAATGACCCAGAAAGCAAATGTTTTCTTTGAAGAAAAAAAAAATATATAGATATGTACGACTTGCAATCGTAAATGGTTTTCTAGACACATTTATATGAAAAAAATTACACTTATAAAATTTAGTTTTTTAAGCTTCTACCAACCTTGAATTTGTTGTGCAAGCTTTCGTCCACTCCTGTGGACTTTCTCAAGCTAAGTGATCCGTCTGAGTCAGAGGCAGCTAAGAAAACGTGTGACTCAGACTGATCAATAGCTTGAGAAAGTCCACAGGAGTAGACGAAAGTTTGCACAACAAATTCAAGGTTGGTAGTAGCTTAAAAAACTACATTTTATCATTATCCCCAACCGATGAAAGTTTTCTGTATCAAAATTATACTTAATTATCATGCTCTCTATACACATCAACCGTTCTTATGATTATCAGGTTCCCTGACACGTCCCCCACCATCTGAGGGCCCCTCCCCAGATCGAATGGAGAAGGTAGCCTTCATGAGCCTAGCTAGAATATGTAAGGATCCAGCATGTCTGGGAACTAGACTACTAGACGAGGCAACACAGATTGCACACTCAGAATCAAGCACCACCAGGCCAGGTAAGAAAAACAAAGCATTGTTGGATAAAATATTAACATTTGAATTAATGTCGTGAAGAAATCTAAGAGTTTTCATTTATGAATAAAAAACAAAATATTCCCAGGAATTGTATGCACATTTACAGTGATGTAGAGGAGTCGTATTCGAGTGGTTTAAGCACTTGATAGGAAACGCAAAAGTCATGGGTGTGATCCCCGACATGGCACTAATTTCCTTTGGCAAGGCATTAATCTACATTTGCCTCTCCATATCCAGGAGAGAAATGGGGACCTGGCCTTTTAGGATGACAAAAGCCTTTGTGATAAAATAAAAGGCTTGTAAAACGAAAGGCACCTGAGCTTGTACTTACATGTATGACGGTGTCGTGAAACGATGCCCTGGGGAGTGTTTCACAAAGACTAAGATCGACTTTCAGTTGGACTCAACTATGGCAGGCCGTTAATGCCACTAGTTCCTCTAACCAATCCTGGCATTGGTTTCTCAAGGGATGTACAAATCATGGTCACATCTAAAGATCATAATTAAGAGACCAATGCAATGAGAGTAATCAGTGGCATGAATGGCCTGCCATAGTTAAGTCCAACTTAATGTCGATCTTAGTCTTTGTGAAACACTCCCAGATATGTTTCCTTCCTATTTTGTGTGTGATCCAATCACCAGCCCTGACCCTTGAGGTAGATCTGATCATCCGAGCTCATGACTGCTTCACACTCAGCTGCAACATGGAAGGAATCGCCTCGGTCCTCAGAGCCAGCCTAGACTGCTTTAGCGCCCTCGCTCAGTCCGAAGAGTTTAGTCTCATGGTAAGAACGTTATGATCCTGTAGGATACTGCTTCGAATCGGAACACTACTCTTTATGTTATGCTACCGGAACATGTACATGAATGGGACAGTCTTAATGTCTTTGGAAAGAAATTTATCTTCATTTGCCACACTCAACCCAGGTGTGGTAAATGGGAACTTGGCAGGAATTAATTCCTTGAAACGCTAAACAGTCATGAATGCTATATGACAACCCACTATTATTATAATTATAAATATCTTATTTGCAGATGTAGAGTGATGGAATGCAGTGAGGTAGAAAGCTGGATTGCTTGAACTCAATCAAGTAAACTAACCATCGTTACCCCTTGCTGATAACCTTTATTTATGTATATCTTTCAATCTTGATAGGTCCGTCTTCTGATTGGTGTGCGACGGTTCACTGATATGACCTATATCTTTGAGATACTGTAAACTAGACCTCATTGAATGCATGTGACATTGATTTGATATTAATCTGATTCTTGTTTTCATAGGTCCGTCTTCTGATTGGTGTGCGACGGTTCAGTGAGATGACCTATATCTTTGAGATCCTAAGAGCCAACCATCAGATGGATGCACTCCTCAAGAAAGGAGCTCATGTAAGCATATCATGATTGTTAGGGATAATATATCTCTCATTATAGATTAGATAGAAAGATTGGTAAATAGATTGGTAGATAGATTGATAGATATATAGATAGACAGACAGACAGACAAACCAACGAACAGACAGACTGATGGACAGGCTGACAGACAGATAGATAGATGGATTGATTTTTAGATACATGTAGATTGACATATAGCTATATATATAGATACATACATACATACATACATACATACATTGGTAGACAGACAGACAAACAGACAGACATATAGACAGACAGACAGACAGATTGATAGATAGATAGATAGATACATGTAGATGGATGAATAGATACATACATGTAAATAGATAGATAGATATATTTATTAGTTGATAGATAGGTGGATAGATGGATAGATAGATAGGTGGATAGATTGATAGATAGCTAGATAGCAAGTTATAGGATAGATAATTTTTGGGGGCAAATGGATAGATAGATAGATGTAAATAGATAGATATGTAGATTTGTTGGTAAATGGATAGATAGATACAATAGGTGGATTGATGGATATATAGATGGATAGATAGATTGATTGTTTGACAGATGATACATAAGGAAATAATTCATTTCTCAAGGAAGGATCCAATGAAAGAACAATACATACAAGTAAATAAAGTATACTTGTAAGGATTTTTGTATGATGCACTTTTAATATAGATCATACAAATATTCATTCTTTTCAACAAATGATGTAACGTACTCATTCTTGTGTTTTTTCGTAGGATGACAACTTGAAAGTGGCCTTATTGGACTTCTTGAAGAGATGCGATCCACCCGACACCGAGACTTACAGCATGGTTGCACTCAAGTTTGAGATGCATAGAGAAGTAGCCAGTCTGCTAGAGCAAGCTGCCAAGGACAGACTAAAAACACTCAAGTCTCGGACTATGGGTATGTCACAGTTTTATATTGTGACATCAGGTTATGTTGAATGCACTATGTATATCAGAGCATATGTGAATGCATATGGTATTCAAGATGGGTTTTTTTGCCCATCTACTCCCATAAGCAAGAAGCTGCTCATTTAAAATCTCCATTATCAAATTCAAGAAGATTGTTGCAATATGCCACAAGTGGTATTTGTGATATTTATGATCTTGGCCTGAGTGTGTTTTCTGTACTTTACATTTGATCAAGTAATCATTCAACAATGTTTTTTTTTTAAATACCTCTGGAGGGATTTGAGTTATTACTGTGTTTATTGACCACTCTTGTATTCTTGATTTTATATAAATTATGTACCAAAGTTATCGTTAGTTTGTGAGGATCATTTTTTAACAAGCCATTTACATGTATGTGCTTTTCATTATCCTCTCACTTCAGATATCTCATTATATATATATATATGTTTGTAATTTTGTATTGAAGATTATTTTTTTAAACTTTGTTCTTCCAGATACTAACATTGAAATTCAGAACATTCTAGAGAATGTCTTACATGACCTGACCAATGCTGCCAAGAACTATGCCAAGGTAGGGGGCATCATGTATGATCATTTTATTTACCGGTAGTTATTTATGTATTTGTTATTAGTGTATTAAAATTGCGCAGCAGCACTGGCTATAGAGGTCAGTTGACAACTAGAAGTAATGTACAAATGGCTGTTAACAATAATATTTATTAATAGATAGAATGTACAAAAGAAATGTACTATAAACAAAAGAAAAAATACAGAGAATTATACATGGCATCAGTTAGCCTACATATGTGATATCAAAGAGATAAAGAGGGGAAACAAGGTTCAGAGGTGGATACATTAACAGCGTGGGGGGGGGGGAGAGAAAGAGAGAGAGAGAGAGAGAGGGGATTATGTAGAGGATAAGCCAAAACAGTGAATACAAAGAGTGACAAAGCAAACCTGGACTTGTGTTGTTTTAAGCTTAAATGAAACAAGATTATTAGCAGATAACTTCTTATACTTCAATGTAAAACTTCCTCTCTCAGGAGGCTGTCACATTATCACATGTGCATAGTCCATACTCTTTGCTTAGTTACTCTTATACTCACTCTCCATGCACAATGTAAACCTTGAAATTTTGTCTGTCTCGTTTCTATCTGTTGCAGGATAACTGTTTGCGCCATGCAGAGAAGTGTATAAAGCAAGCCCGTCTAGTGGCCCTACAGATTCGCCTTCTGCCCGTCAGGACAAGGGTCGTCAACTTTGAACCTGCGGAGGTCACCAAGTTTGTTACCCAGCACCCAAAAGTTCATGAGGTATTTGAAATCAATTTGGAGTGAATATACACAGAAAATAATTATATACACGTGTGTGTACATATATACATATCTTCAAGTAATGCATGGTCCAGAACCTCTGTTAAATAAATATAAAAAAGCAGTTCTTGTTGTTGTTGAGATTAGGCTTGAGTCGGTACGGTCGATCACACCGGGACCCGACCGTTGCCGTCGGGTCCCGGTTTCGTTTTTTGAGAACCGACGCTCCGAAAAAAATAATGAAATATGTAAGAAATTGCAGTTTTGCACACCACTAAAATCATTCCACCTTAAAACTTAAGTATTTAATTGTTACCAATCATATTCTAGCTCATCCTGAATCAATCCGAACTGCTGATATAAATATGGGTTGCAAAGCAGTTCGCCCCATGGGGTTGTTGTTGCCAGCTGCTAGCTAGCTACTGTACTGGCCGGGTCTCTCGGCAGGATTAATTAATCAGGTTGAAAGAAACATTAATGTTTGAATAATAAAACGGCTTTCTAAAAAGTACTTCTTTACAACATACCGATCGAATAATTTTTAAAAGACAAAATGGATATTATTTCTTTGATTTTGAACACCGCATGCTTCTTTTAAAAGCTGAAAATTACTTGGTAATCACAAGAAGTTTCGATACGGATAGCTGTTGCAAGGCAAGTTCAGACTAGTCTCGGAAAAATGCGCAGTGCTCCTCGTAGTTAGCTGTAATTCGTGCCAGAACGAACCCAAACAAAGACGTGATCGTAACGAGAAAAAATCATTAAAAACTACGAGAGCACAATTGGAAAGACAACTACTCAAAATTATCGTAAGCAGATACATAACTTGGAGGAATAATACAATAGTTGTCCAAGAAAAGCCACAGAAATAGTGATATTTAAGGAGTTACTATAGGTACAATCATTATCGGAATGGGCCTGCTGATATGTTCGAATTACACGTTATTTGGTTTCTAGCCTCGTGTTCTAACACGAGGCTAGAAACCAAATAACGCCCTCTACGGTAAGAAGCAGTATAACAAAGGATTCGAGTATTTGCAGCAAGCCCCTTGCGATAAAAATGTACCCAGTTACTCCTCGATTATCACAATTTCTTTGGCATTTCTTGGACGATTGTTGAATTCTTTGTACAAGTTATTTATCTGATTATCGTAATTTTGAGCAGTAGTTGTCTTTCCAATTGTGCTCTCGTAGTTTTTAATGATTTTTTTTCTCGTTACGATCACGTCTTTGTTTGGGTTCGTTCTGGCACGCATTACAGCTAACAAGGAGCACTGCGCATTTTTCCGAGACTAGTCTGAACTTGCCTTGCAACAGCTATCCGTATCGAAACTTCTTGTGATTACCAAGTAATTTTCAGCTTTTAAAAGAAGCATGCGGTGTTCAAAATCAAAGAAAAAATATCTATTTTGTTTTTAAAAATTATTCGATCGGTATGTTGTAAAGGAGTACTTTTTAGAAAGCCGTTTTATTATTCAAACATTAATGTTTTTTGACCCGATTTATTTAACCTGCATGAATCAAAATGGCGGCTCGATCATTGTCTTTCTATTTTTGCTCCAGTTTTTTTACTTTTAGAGGCACGATAATGGCACTAAACATCGCCAATCATGGATAAAAATAATGTCAAATGGAAGAATATACCGATCTGTGCCGAGGTATGCATGTGTTGATTTATTTGACTGATAAAAAAGGTCACTTTTAAGGGACATACTGATGATATGCGCTTTTCATAGAGGCAAGTGACAAATCCTGCGAGCTGATTTCGGGACACCGGGTCCCGATCGGTGCAAGGCCGTCGGGACCCGGTTTATGAAAATCCCGACATGACTCAGGCCTAGTTGAGATTAATGGCATTTCGTTATTGGATGATTTTTGCCAGTGTTTCCTAATGATATCTTGTATTGTAATTTGAAGCCTCAGTCATTTAATCAATAAGATTTAAATCAATGAATGATATTTTAAAATTATTTCCAACTCTCAAATTCAGGTTAAATGGCGGGGAAAAAAATTCCTCTACACAAGAACTTTGAAAGCAACACTTAAACTATAGAGAATACATGTATCGATGCTCCTACACAATAATATGCTGTCAAATGTAATTTTAAATTTAGTCCTTTCACACATGAGCATTTGGTCTCTTCAAAGCCAGAAAAGCATTAAGTCTGTGTTAAAGCATATCGAGGGGTTAGTAACACAAAGACGTAACTCCAATTTGGCTATTTTGAGTGTTGGGTGGAGTTAAGTCTTTGTGTTTCAAAGCCAACATTTTTCTGAACATTTTGATATCAAATACCCATTTTGGCGGGCAAAATATGGAGTTACGTCTTTGTGTCACTGAACCCTCGATATATGAGTTTAATAATGTCCTTCTGGTTCAAACACATTTCATTTCCTCTCCCTTCCTTCAGGTACTGATAGTACAGGACGCTTACCAGCAGCAGAATGAATGGTCTAGTGCCCTCTATAACAACGTCGTCCTGCAAGGAAACTTCAAGTATCTAGAAGACTTCCAGTCTTGTATCCAACTCACCGCAGGCCATTGCACTGACGTCGCATCCAGGTATGGATTTGATCATGCTTACAATGAGTCATCATTTCTCACAATGTTGACCATGTCACCTTTTTTAACATTTCAGTTGCTTCCTTTGCCTCTGTGCGCGGTTGCTTGTTTGCCACATGTGCAGTTTTGCACAAAACAATTTACATCAATTGAAGGAACAATGGCTTTGAAAAATTACCCATTTCCAGGCTTGATTAGCTTCATGGAAACCCTTTTAACACCTACCTAAATTTAAATCTTGCACTAAAAACAGTTCTATATTATTGAAGCCGTATGGTATACCATGATAAATACAATGTGACACAGGAAGATTATTTGTGTGGCATATAAATAGTTAAATCTACATTCTGAATGCAGAGTACTTCTAATTGAGGGCATACTCTCCTGAAAATTATTTAAAAAGTGGGCATGATAATCAGTGCATAGTGATCAGATTGAATCACACATCATAAGGGGAAAATAGTGTTTTCCTGTAAATGAAAGAAGTTCAAATTGATGGAGGAAATGTCATTCAGTAAGTGATATAAATATAAGAACTTCAGCAAACATGATGAGCAATCCTGAATTTTCTAATCTAAATGTTCTCAAAATTAACTTTCTCTCTCATGGATGTCTAAAATCATTTTAAATTTGGAAAACTTGCCTGTTATGCACTACATCTACTCTTGATCTGTTGAATACTTGGCACTGAGATGACTAGCTTAGCTCTAGATACAATGTATTGTTATTATCGGTGACTCATATTCGGTGATGAAAATTTAAGACGCACTGTTTTAGTCTAAATCTTAATTTTTCTCATTGTTTTCAGATACCGGCAGCTGTCTACTAAGAGCACCTTGGTAGTATCTCACATGCAGCGCTTCATAGGCCTTTGCCCTGATGTTCTGACTGTCTACCGCCTCGCAAACCAGTTAGAGTTCAAAGAGATGGCATTCAATTTACTCAAGGGTGATGCAGGGCCTTATCTAAGCGATGTTGCTTAGGTCAGAAGTGCTAGTGAGGTTCATGAACCATTGTTGTGATGTACTGACTGCCTAAATCCTTGCCAATCAGCTAGAATTCAAAGATGTGGTATTCTGTTTATTCAAGGGTGATGCAGGGGTGTATCTTAGTGTGTAAGTGCTGTTGCTTCGATTTAACATGCAAGTGAAGTTCTGGGACCGATGTTTCATTGCTAAAGTACTAATATACTGTTCTTGGAATTAAAAAATGATTTCAATAAATATCAATTCTATTTTGTCAGCTCTAGAAATTAAATCTATAAATGATATTTTAACTTTGTGTCCATACTTGTTTGAGACCTTATGATAATATTGGCGTGTTGTGTGTATTACATGGCCACTCATTTTGAAGGGGAAGTCCACCCTGAGGTGAAGCACGAAAATTAAAGAAACATATACTTTGTCTTCCCCTTCAGTTAAATATTTATCTTATACATGTACATGTATTGTCTTACTAAACAGAATTTATGTAAATAAATATCTACAAATTAAAATTCTATTAATTTATACATGTAATTCATGGAGATCTTTGGCAATAATTTTATTTGTGCAATCATTTGATTTTCATTTTTCTGGACGGACTAATTTAGCACTATTACAAGATTGAGGTACACCTTGGGCTATGTTCCAATTAGAGATATATAATTGGTATCTTTCTTTTTTACCCATCCCCCCCCCCCCCCATCTCTCTCTCTCTCTCTCTCTCTCTCTCTCTCTCATGCCTTATACATCTTGCTTTAAAGGGCAATCAATCCTATGTAGTAAGTTCACTTCTATAAAAGCGCAAAGAAATGATGAACAGAATGGCAGACCAATAATAAGATAGTTATGAGTGTTTGAAATATGAGATCACTATTAAAGTCTATGCGAATTTCATATTGGCAGTTTGGTCGGTGGATTGTTACGTCATCTCAGAAAACCCTCATGTTTGTCTTGTACATAAATATCATTATTTTCTGTTTCCCCCCAAGTGCCTTATTCCTTTGGGCACTACTCAAAATATATTATGGATAGCATATTATTATAGGTCCCCTAAAGAGAATAGACCCACCTGAATCATACATATTTTTAAATTGAAATTGTTGTCATTTTGTGTTTTGTAACAATTAGGAAAGTTGTCCACCACTGCCCTACATGACAAAGACTTTACGGATTCAGCCAACTTGAAGAGCATTCCTGTCGTGACTACAACCTTCTAAATTCAAAATTCTCAATTATCGTCCGATTTCATTCAAACTTTCATTAGACCACATCTCTGATTTTTCTGCTTTCCACTAGATTAGTTCTCTATCAACGTGTGCCAACTTTTCTGTTTAGATATGCAATTCTCTTGTCAATCCCTAAACAAAATGGAACTTGACATTTTGTTATCATGAATTGATGTACAACATGCCATATTTGTAAAGCATGTCTTGTATGTAGTTACCAGGCTTTCATGTACATACCTATCATTAATGAACTTTCATTGTAGATTATGAAAGGTAAAATTGTAGAGGAAAGATTATTAGCAAAATGTTCCATCTGTGAATGGAGCTTTCATTCCTAGATATCAGTATACATTATTTCAGTATTATTATCTGGAGTATGTACAATTGCTATACATATAAAAATGCCACATTATTTGGGGGAGGTTTCTTGCAACAATACGACATCAGCCTATGTCCTCTGTGAAATAGAAGTAAATACATGTACTTTGATATTTCAAAGTTGGCATTTTTCAGTATATTGTACTCTACAAAAATGTATCTTCCACATGAATTTGGGATATGAATGCATGCGTTACTTATTTTCTGTTTTCTAATTCTTTTCTATTTTTAATCATGATATTGTGAATGTGAATCAATTAGTAATTGTCATATTTTGTATATATCAAAATATATTGTTTTCATGAGAATGAATATTGTCAATAAAATATGATGCAGAAAAGAAACACAGGATGAAACACACTTTTTTTAAACTTTGTAATTTAAGTTTTTATTTATTAAGCATAATATAAATGTATGACATTTGTAGAGACTTGCTTCTCAATGGTTATAAGAAATGATTTACATATCTTTGTGAACTGACAACATGCTTTGTGTTAAAAAATGCAGCATTTCATATATAGCAAAAAGGGAAAAAATTAATGAAATGCTCGATATGATTATTTCTCTAGATTTGATGTAGTTTAATAAGAGCTGCATTTTTAACATTAAAAAAAAAAGGTCAATCTTTTCAATGTTGAAGGAAAAATATGAAAGTTCTCTTTATCTGGTACTTAAAATAAACAAAAATGGATGACAGACTGGAGGGAGTAACTTCAGAGCTTAATGGATTAACAGAAATCACAACATTAGCATTTGAGACAAGTCCAGGATCAAATAATGTCAATTAACAGAATGCCCAAAAAAAATCATTGCATGCTTAAAAATCAAGTAAAATATTGATGTAGCTTCCATATCGTATTCCAGGATACCCTGGTACACGTTAGACAATTAGCCCCTTCTGTGCCACAGTCAGAAAATCCAGTCCAAGAAAAAACTTTTAACATTTTTGTTTTAGCAGGAAACATTAATTTATAGAATGCTACTATATCTATAAAAAAAAATAATCAGATTAAATTGATTCAATATATTTGACTCATGAGAACATTTAATCAAATTACTTTTGGTGGACCTAGTAGCACTGAAGGGGCCGACATTCATCTTGGACTTTGCCCCTCATCAGATATAATACCAGTAATTCTCTAATAAATAAACAAACTTTCAATGAGAACAAGATTCTGTTCAAATCAACATCAACAAATGGAAGTTCTGACTAATGTTTGCATCATTTAACTTTTAGTGTCCCAATTTCGAAAGATTACCCACTTACATGGCTAGAATTGCCGTCGTAAGTTGCAGACCTGAGCCCCGTATTATAAAGAGTTGCAATAGATCCGAATCAATCGCAAGTTTGCAGTCTCCTATCTCTTATAGTTGCGATTAATATCAAAAGCAAATAAGTTGTGATTAATCGCAACTATTTGTAAGATGGGGCCTGAATGAGTGTATATTCGTAATATCTAATAAAATATTAAAGAATACCCAATTTAGTTGTCCACTTTATAAAACCCAAAGCGAAAATTTTCAAAAAATGCTTTGAAGGATTTTGTTGTTGTTGAAGGTTTCAGGAGCCAAGAAGATGAGGTAAAAACAGAAAATGGAATGCTAAATACAGATTAAATCTTTAAAAAAAAAACACTACAAAAGTTTTGAAACAAAGGAAGACAAGTTATTTGTACAAAATTGGCCTTTTAAATGGGTTTCGGATAAGTGGATTTCCTCTCAAATAATCTTTTTACACCAGGCTTCAAAATAATTACCCCACAAAAAGGAATAATTTGCATTACAGCCCAAAGTTATCGTTCCTACTTTTATCTGTTCATGGCAAAATACACAATAAGAAAAGTATATAATGCAATAATATAATATACTTTGAATGGGGACAAAAATGACTTGTTGGAAATATTACGGTTGGTTCAGTCAAAAGATGTTTTCAGGTTAGGCAAAATGTAAGTTACCATAATTTGATGATAATGTAAAATGATTATTACAGCATAACATGCTTTCTTTGAACATCAAGACATATAAGAAAGTGACATTTTAAGATGGATGTTATGGACCGTTATTAAAGGAATACTATAAACTCAACTAGGAAAGCAGATGGCAATGAAATTTGTGTTCCATTGCATATAGTGCACTACCAATTTAACTTGAAACAAAATAGACATAATCTACTGCATGAAATGAAAATGCACATTATAATTCTAAATCATTACTAAAGGGACCAAAAAAGTAATTATTACAATTCTCAATGAGCCAAAAGTATAACAGCAAGTTTGGGCTCTGCAAATTATATTTCCTGAATCAATGAAAGTATATTTTTCACTGGCCTTGGGGGGGGGGGGAATTATCTGCATATCAAAGATATACCCAAATAGCACTTACCTTAGCATTTGTGAGAAAGTCATTTATTGCCTACATAACAGACTTGTGAACAGTTATCATGTCACACAATGCAGTGATTTAAGAACTGCTCTTTGAATGTAAAATACCATTTTAGACTCTGTTGAATTCTAAGTAAATGAGTTTTCAGTGATTTATCACAGACTGCAACGTGAGCTAGTACATGGTGATCAAATGTCTCGACCAATTATTGATAGAATTTTCATTTTATAAATGTCACAAAAAGAAAGAATGCATGCTTCTTATTGTTTATCTACTATATATACCAATTGTCTTTAAAATGTTCCATAAATAACTTTCAGTAGTAGTGCAGGCATTACTGGATAACAAGACATTGAAGAGAACAGGAGAATTTGGCCTAATATGAAGAGTCTTTGTCACATAAAATCATCAAATTCATCACCACCGTACCCAAAGTCATCAAAGTCATCCTTCTTCGCCGACTTTCCGCTCCCTGCTAGCACTGCTTTTTTCTTTCCTTTCTTTGATTTCGAGGCCTGAAAAACAGATGAACAAGAATTATGTTTTACTTGATAACTGCCACACAAGTTTCCCAATGTGTAGGAATTTTCTTATGATTCCGCAGGTATAATATATTGGGTCATCGGCTGCTTATCAAAGCAAATAAGGTTCAACAAACAGTTTCCCTTTGAGGGCAATATTCAAATTATGATTTACAATTTCATTTTTAAACTGGGTTTTAGTTCTCAATTAATACTTCTTTCATTAAATCATTTAACATCGCTGACAATTGCCTACATGCAAAATATCATTAAGCTAGATGGACCTTCGACCGCACGCAGTCGAAAATGATGCCTCCGCCATGGAGCAATTTTACAAACCAAAGCAGATGCAAGCTATTTTTGCAAACATAATGAGCCCTGTGACCGGTGACCTTGTTACCCCCAAATGTAATCAGTTCATTGGCTCTGCAAGATAAATACATGACCGAAGTTTGGCGGGAATCCATCGGTGAGTTCTTGAGATAACGCGATCACGAGCTATTTCTGCATACATAATGAGCGCTGTGACCTTTGACCTTAAATCTTGCGACCCCAAAATCTAATTAGTTCATTGGCTCTGCAAGATACATACATGACCCAAGTTTGGCGGGAATCCATCAATGTTTTCTAGAGATAACGCGATCACGAGCTATTTTTGCATACATAATGAGTCCTGTGCCCTTTGATCTCGCGACCCCAAAATCTAATCAGTTCATTGGCTATGCAAGATACATACATGACCAAAGTTTGGCGGGAATCCATCAATTGGTTCATGAGATAACGCGATCACGAGAACGGGACGTACGTACATACGGACGGACAACCCAAAAACATAATGCTTCCGGCTACTTTGTAGCGGAGGCATAAAAGCTTTTTTCTAAATAGTAAGAATGTTTTTATAGAAATAGTTAGAATAACTGCAGATAAAATCTATTCTATTTATGTGCCTGAACAACCCGATTTTCTAACCAACTGCTCAACAACCAGAATCAGCAAACGTAATTTAGCAAATATTAGCTATTGGTAGTCTTGAACATTCTGAGTGAATTTTTGTTGGATTTCTGCATGAAATACTACCATAACTGATGAAAATTTAAAAAGTGTTGTCATCCATGTTTACATACCTTCTGTGCTTTCGTCTTCTCATTTGCTATTGCTGTTAAACTGCTACCTATTTTCCTCACTTGTTCACCGTCAACTGAAAGTATAATATAAGAGATGATAACAGTGTAGGAATTGTCATAAAACAGTTTACTTTGACCCTTAACTGCAAAAATTTGTTGTTGATCTATCCGTCTATAACAATTTTCTGTCATTTTGGATTGATTTGAGTCATGATATTTTATCAAGTTTAAAACACAATTATATTCCCAGACAATGAGGGCAGAATAGGACCCCTTCTTGAAATCCATATGCAAAATCAGCCCCAAAATGAAAAAAAATTGGGATTTGACTCCTCTCTTTTTTGGACATTATCTACTGTTTGTGGTATTTTCTATTGTTTAGAGTATGAGATAAAATACTGATTTGTAGATCCATGGGTTGAAAACACTTAACTACCCTTTGTCATACAACCTCAACCGTCTGTTCATCCCACAATATTACCTGTTTAACATCAAACATGAGGTCTTGTGTATCCCTTTCAGGACAGGTTTTATTTCTAGGGTTTAATTGATCGTATGTTCTGCAAATTGACAACACTATTTTCTCATACTGCTAGATCGTTAAAATAAAATGAGATGTCTCAGAAAATATTCATGGGCAAGAATCTTAAGCAAAATGTGCAACATTTTTTTATTTCTACCAGTCATTAAATGGGTTTACTGTTCTTCATTGGTGGAACTACAAGTAATACAATTTTTGTACTTACGGCAAACACAACATGATTGAAACACATCCTCTAGAAGACTTGGATAGTAATCTGAAGATTCTAATTTGGATAATTTGTCTTTTAATAGCTTCCCGAATTCCTCGAAATCCTCTTCCGTCGTCGGATTCATGGCATCGATTGATTTACCATCTCCGGCCCCTACACCTGTGAGGACAATGACAAAAATAAAATAAAATACATTTTAAATTTTCTATTATTACTTGAATAAATCATTTACCATTCTGTCCAAATCTTACGCTCTCATAACTCCAGATTTTTGGTACTTCTTAAGCTCTATACTAAGTGGGGGAAAGAACCAATGCTCATACAGGGCCTTTTCTGTGGAATGTTCTCCCTTGAGAGATTCGTAATAGCAGATTGCTTGAAGTGTTTCAAAAAATCTCATAATGTATCTGTTTAATTCTTCATATAATTAATTGTCATTGTTGTATTCTATGTCTTACTTCTGTTCTTTTGTTTATGATGCAGATGCTTTTTATGTGATCTCTCTTTTTGTTTGTTTCACAAATGTGCCTTGAGCATTTGATTTCAAGTGGATTTTTATCAAAATAAAGATATCTACATTGGATGTATGCACAAACTGTATATTTATTGATAATGAATCGATAACTACCTTGCTGAATGGAAACATACCAGGCTTACTTCTTTGTTTTTGCATGTAATTACAAACATCGCTGAATGTTTTCAAAGTTTGCCTTATTTATGTTATCAATTTATACATATGATGTGAATATTTGATGACAATTGAGTTGGATTGTATTAGAATTCGTTTAGATTGTCACCAAAAAATAAAGATCGTTTCCAAATACAGATTTCGCTACATGACATGACATCATTGACATGACCCTAGTAAAAAACCAATGGATATTAATGGGTTAAGTACAAAAGCAACAGAACTCCCTTAGACTTACCAAAAGCTTCCTTTGCTAGTTCAAGATCGGCCTCTTCTACCATTTTCTGTTGTAATAACTTTTCGTCCATTTCCTCTTCTGGTGTTAATTTGATCTGATGATGACAAAGAACATCATAATTTAAAGGTAATGCAAAGATTTGGGAAATTTTGAAAATTGGATGGATAGTAATTCTTTAAAATGTTGATGTATTTGGATGCCACTTTTTACTACCTTTAACTTGATTCTTGTACTAATCTCAAGCCCAATGTCTATTAAGTCATGCTCCAGATTATTTCTCTAAAATCCTATCAGCTAATTTTGTGATATCTAACATTTCAAAACATCTCCAAAATGACAGGACAATGAACATTTTTGTTGTTATCCGAGTCAATTTTCATGTGACATGTACAAAAACCAATATTTATTAAACTGACAGTCATTTATAGAATGATATTACAAAGCAGGCCGTTTCTATAATTGATTCTAATATCTCCATTGCATGGTCTGTTGACAACTTAATTCAAGTTCAATACCTTTTCTTTCTCACCCTTCTCTTTCCTCTTCTCAGCTTTTCTTTGCAATGCTTTTTCTAATGTGTTCTTCTTCTTCTTGACCTGAAAAGCTGTGGAATGTAATAATAATAATAATAATAATAATATCAATAACAATAATAATGATCATCATCATCATCATCATCATAATCATTTATCAAAATCAGCATTTTCCCTCTTCAGAGGGGTTACAGAGTTTTGCTCCATGATAACACTCCTTCCCTCTACTTCTTCTTGTCTCTAGCATCCTCTTCATTTAGACCAACCTTCCTGCTTCCTTCCATACAATAATAATAACAACTGGATTTGTAAAGTGCCTTTTCCAAAAGATACAAGGCACTGTCCCTTAGTCTGAGGAAAAATTAAGAAATGTAGGGGTATATTTTCAGATGTTTTTGCGAAGAAGTTTGGGAATGCTAATCTTCAAGAAATGTAACACTTGTCCACCACCAATGCAGAAGAAACTTGGAATATGTATCAACTTCAACTTTTATTTATAGAAGTTCCTTTGTACCACAAAGATTATGAATATACAAAATTTGAACTCCTGGTCAACACTGTATGTGATGATTAAATTTCATGGTTAATGTTATTTTCACTTTGTATACAAGTATTCAACATATTACTTGCATTAAAATAACAAATGTTTGTTTTGTATTTAAAACTAGAGTAGAGGACACAAGATGATTGAAATCTGTAATATGATCTAAACTATTTGTTACCTCCATCTCCAGAAGTTGACTTCTGCTCTGAAGATTCATCTTTTTTCTCTTCATCATCTGATGCAGCCCAGTCATCCTATAATTAAACAAAAAATATATAAACTTACTACAGTGTGACCCAAGTTTGTGACTTATTTCAATAATCTGACAACTTATCAACATTCTGACTCAATCAATTGCAAAATGTACCTGAATTAAGGTACCTTAATTAAGTTAGATCTTGAAATATTGTTCTTGGCCTTGTAACTGGGCGTTCACCAAAAAAATGAAACATGCCTGATAAAGTTCTACAAAGCTTTGTGTTTATTAAATATGGAGCAATGAATTGTAGAAATAAATAATCTCAGAATGTGTGAATTAATTATAGATTACCACCAAGTTAAATTCTGCAATATTTTAAACTTAAAGGAGTTCTAGACCCTTACTTAGATCTAAATTTAACAACACATCCCATCCCAGTATAGCTTGGAAAAGCTGCTTCAGGGATTACCTCATCAAGTATCAAGTACCATTACCAAAATTGAGGGAAAAGGGGTCAATTTCAAGCAATGTCAGTGGACAAAATATTCCTCGAAATATAGAAAATAGGGGTGCACAGGTGTCCTCGAAATTGATAAACAGGGTTCAGGAAAAGGGAAAAAAGAAAACCGGGGGGAAAAAAGGGTATAAAATCTTGTCTTTGAAATGTGCGTGAAAAGTGCGTGAAATAAGGGTAAATTTGCGAAAAGTGTCTTTTCAATCTTATAAATAGGGGTATATTTTGACATAAAAAGGGGGTTAAAATTCACCAAATGTCCTTGAAATTGACCGCTAAAGGGGGTTATTTGCATTTGTGGTAACGGTCATACGTGTCACCCTCTGTGGAGAGTGACCCAACCGGGCATTAAACATGTCACTTTGACAACGACATGTAAACACCAATTTCGTGTAGACAAGGACGCAACGTTACACCTATTTTGCTGTGAACAAGGTAGGTAGACTAATCATACAATTTTTCTAAATGTCGGGATCAAATATCGAATTCCTTAACACTTTCATATCAACAAACATCATCATGGCAAATTACAAAACGGCTGCCAACAAAACAAAACATAAAAAGTCATTTAAAAAAAAAAGTCTTTTTACTAGATCTAGACCCCTAGGGGTCTAGAGACTCTAGATCTAGATCTAGACGACTTTTTATCTTAATTTTTATGTTTTTAATTTTACATCACCACATCAAATATACATGCAATCATACAGAGCAATATTTCAAATAGAATCACAATTAAAAGAGGTATTTTATCATATTGTTGTCGGGTCAAACAGTTTGATAAATGATGGGCTTTTGAAAGTCGACTCTATACTCGACATGTGAACAGACATAAAGCATTATACGTGGGGCTAGAGTGAAACTCACCTTCACATTTTCTTCCTCGTCCTCTCCTTCCCATTTGTCACCGGCGGCAGCCCCCGCCTTGGAAAAGCCCGCATCTGGATCAAAATCTTCGTCCTCTGATAAACAAACAATCACAAGAAAACTGTTTAAATTTCAGTAATATATACGAACTGGATTAGTTAACAACTTATATTTCACGATCATTTTTGTGACATATGCCAGTGCACATGCTACTCACCCCAGTCAGCCATGTTTGCTCTATAGACGACTACTATAGCGCGCGCAAATTCCTATCCGCATGATCGCGAGCTGTGCGCGCGAAGATTTCGCAATGACTTGATCGTGATTCAGTGGAAAGGAATGGATTAGTTTAAAAGTTCTTTGACCCATAAAAAATTGATTAATTTAGCCAGTTCGTGCAGATATTTTGATAACTAGCCACAACTTTAACTCTAACCCTAAACCACAACCCTAACCCTATCCCTAACCTTAAACCGATATAAGCCTAACCATGATGACCCTAGCCTCAAATACCCCGTGGATATAACTTCCCCTGGGCACTGGTATCATTGGTTGGGGCCTGGGCCCGGTGGCGTCTTATTTTTTCGTACCACGGCGAGGCCGGATTCCTGTTTTATCATGAATATTCATTAGGCAGGGTCGGGGAAAGTCTCGATTCTCTTAAATATTCATATCGAGGTGGGAATGCACGACGCGCGCTATACTCGCACAAAGTGAGAAGATTTAGTTCACGGAGAATGCATATGGGTGAGTAATTGATTGAAATATCAGTAGATTAAGAGAATTTAGTCATTAATTTGAAAAAGCTGTAATTCGTGATCTACTGTAATTTCTTTACATTTTGAGACTGTTCTCAACAGATTTGTGAGGAAAAGGCTAGGAAAATATTTCTCTTGAAATTGCACTTTGATTTTCATCGTCGTGAAGTAGTTTGACTGCGCTTTGCCTTCATGTCACCCTTTAGAGCCCCGGGGTTCCGGCAGGCCCACGTTGGGGAATTTCGGTGCTCATCTGCATCAAGATAAAACTTTCTGATCAGGTTTTATTCCAAATTTGATCGTCATCGTGAATCTAATTCACCAATGTTACACCTTAAAATAATCTATGAAGTATGATTTCTTTAATAATCCAAGAGGGTTAATTCTTGTTTATATCTTTAGTAGATGTCGACTCTATTGGCTATACTAGTATTACTAAGACTAAGTGCTATCCGTTCGCTCAGTTGCATCATTGGTGCGTGTCAACTTTTAGACCAAAATTGTTTGTGACCATGGATAATCAAACGGCTCCAAACCATATTTCATTTAGACGTAAACCTGGAACTTATTAATAAAAATATTCAAAAACAAACAAACTAGACCTAGGATTCATTTATTTAATGTTCAGATGTTGTGTGTGTCCAGTGTGCTTGTCAAGTTGTCATAACTTTTCTAGATCTAGACCTATATTAAAGATTTTTTCTTCTCCAAAGTGTGCAGTTCATTTGATAAATCTATTTTTTGTTGGACGTTGTATAAGAGAAGAACCCTAGGGTAGTCGACAATTATGTTTACTTATACGCAGAGGCGGTGGAGCCTTTGGGCGGAGCAACTTCCAAAGTGGGGGGGGGGGGGGGGCACCAACAAAAAGGGCACTTTCTTGAAAAAAGGGCACCTTCAGAGGGAAAATATACCATTTTTTTGACATTGGTATATACCCCTATTTTGTGATTACATTATCAGGGATGATTTCAATATTTGTTTCTCTTAATACAGCATTTAAGATATTGCTTAAGTATCATATTTTGCAGTTTTTGGCTTGCAGTGCGAAAAATTACATCTTATAAAGAGGAAAACCCAATCCTGATGGGGTTATATAAGCACAATCTCATAACGGAAGACTGAATAGATCTGTGATAAGTTACATAATTATAACATCTATAACGATGGGCAAGCGTAGCGAGCGAGCTTTGTGGGAAATTGCTTTTAGTCGCTTGAAATTAGGGACACGTTTAATGATGAGAGGAAAAGGGGACACTTATCGAAAGGGTTAAGACACTTATCAGAAAAGAAAAGAAGCATGTGTCAAAGTACAAAGGCTAATTATCAGAGGTGAAAATGGGGCACTTCTTACACCTAAACAAAGAGGCATGCACCAGGGATGATAAGAACATGGGCATTTGTCGACGGAAAAGAGGCACCCATCAGATTTTGATAGGGGGCATTTATAAGCAGTGAAAAGGGGCATTTATGAAAAAGGGATAGGTTCTTTACAAGAAAGGAAATAGGGTACATATCATTGTTAAAAGGGTAATGAGAAGGGGAAGTGGCTCTTATTAAAAAGAAAAAGTGGCACATGTTTAAATAAACGGGGCACTTATCAAAGACGAAAAGTGGTACCGGTAATTATGATAAGGGGTAAGGGTGCTTATAAGGAAAAAAGGCTTTATATAGGAAGGAAAAGGAGGACATGTCAAAATAAAAGGGGCATTTATAAGAGATGAAAAGAGTACTGACTAGGAGGGGAAGGGGTGCTTGTCAAATTAAAACAAGTATCTCTCAGAAGTGAATAGGGTCATTTACAAGAGATGAAAAGGGGCACTTAAGAGAATGAAAAGGAACTATTTTCACAGATGAAAAGGGGCATTTATGAGAAGGGAAAGGGCCTATTTTTAAATGGGGGCACTTATAAGAAAAAGGGGCACTTATTAAAAATGAAAGGGAGCACATGTGAAGGTATAAGGTGCGCTTATCCAAGTTAAAAGGGGTAGTTATTAAAAGGGGAAGGGGCACTTTAAAAACTTAATAGGGGCACTTGTCAGAGTAAAAGGGGCACTTTCCTATGTAAAAAGGGGCACTTTTCCTATGAAAACAGGGGCACTTTTAGGGTACTTGACCAAATGGGAGGGCACTCTGCCCCCCCCCCCCCCTCTCGGAGCGCCGCCTCTGCTTATATGGTATGTAGTCCACCTCTTCTTGTTATAATAAACTAATTCTACTTAGTACTGCTTCGTGTTCATAGGCCATAGAAACCACTGTTTGATGCACAAGTTAAATCTTCCATTTAGTTTTACTTTGTACTGTGGTTCATTAAATAGGAATGTTGATTTCCACACCATATTAAAATTAAGGCCAACCATGACAAAAAAAAGGGATGCCTTGATTGTCGTATTGATTTTCTTCTTCTTTTTGTTCCAAAAGATTGAAACTGAAGAGCTGGAAGGAGGACATTACAACATCTCTTATATTTGCAAGATGAAGCAGAAAGTCCCATGCAGGTACAGTTATCAGGTTATTTAGCACACACATATTAAACGACCACCTATTAATTCACTCAAAAGGAAATGGAACTAAGTTGACATTACAAGCATATATAGTGGAGGGTATATTTTATTCTCGTTCTGCACCTAGTATACAAATATTGATGTCTTTTCTTTCTATGTTTACAAAGGAAAATTTGTCCTTATTTACAGGAGGTCCTGTGTTTAGAAGAGCCATATCAAATGCACATTGTAAGCACTACATGTAGGGTATACACAGGACCCCTCATTTTTTTTTTTTGTAAGGGGTACTTTCACTTCTTGAGCAATGAAGATGAAGAAGAACACAAAATAAGATTGATAAAAGTCTGTTTATAGGATGTATTATGGTTGATATGTATCCATCAGTATCAGTTTTTAATTGAAGTACATGTACCTACTTTGTTTTCTCTCATGTAGGATGATGCCTCTCTACAGTGGATGATGAAGGCATTCTGGTTTGCAAACTCAGGAGAGGAACAAAGAACAGATGTTGACGGGATCCTATCTAGAGATGCGGGCCTACTACACTTCATACGAGCAAGTGTGCTAATATACATGAAGGTACCCCCAATAAATTTTTGTGGAACAAATGTCATGGAGAAAATTATAGATCTGAAACAGATATTTTTCATTGTCAGTTGACTTGTAAAAGAATAATTGACTTAATATCACAATTGTAATTTAGATTAAAAATTAAATGTCAATATAGATAAAATATAAGTCTACATTACGTATGTTTCAGTAGCATTATTTCCAGTACATTCGCTGGTCAAAGTTGTTTGGTCATTTTATGTCCCATACTTAACCGAGTATTATTCAATTACCGGTATGAGCACGAGTTGTATTACATTGTATTACTTATTTCATACCTTGTCTGATCCGAGCTCCAGCAGGCCTATCGTCTTAATGGGATCATCAGTAATAATTTAAGATGCGGTCAGTATTTAAACTAGTCTTGTACAAAAAATAGTTTAGGTTTGCCCACTAGAACCCCAAGTGAATTTCAGTCCTTCCTTTTTCTGAGCAGGTATCAGGGTGTATGTTATTAGTCATTGTTGATTTTGTTATATCTTATTTCATTTTTCCATTCAACAGACTTGGGTTATATTTTTTTCTGAAAACTAGGCTACAACTTTAGTGATGGATGCAGAAGGTATCTACACGAAACTACGTCTTAAAGATGCCACCCTCATATAATGAAAGAGGACAATAGAGATGGGTTTAAACTGGAATATTTACATGATATTTATTTGTTATTTGTATTATATGTTTGTAGAATACTACATTCAATAAAGCTAATGAAGTTTATCATCTTGTCGACTTTCAAATTATTAAAGATAACTAATCCTCAACGAATAAACATTAAAATTCTAACAATGTCAACTACCATCTTATAGGATGAAACTGAGGACTGGGCAGAAAGATTCTCTTTAAAATTTGATTGATAAAGGTCTATCAGTCTATATCAAAGATTGAATTAATCAATGATATTTTGATTATAATTATACATGTTAAAATTCATTTACCTCTATGGACTTCTGTATGGGAAGTTTTGTAGATTATGAAATTATTGCTACTTCAAGTATTGTATGTAAGAAGGTTTGAAAGACAACACTCTAAATGCATTAAATATGGAAACTGCTAATCCTCATTGCCTTTCGTATCCAAACTGGTAGCTTTCATAGAATCATGTTTCGATGCTTCCCAACTAAAGAAAACAGGGAGTGGGGGGGGGGGGGGGGGGCTTGCTATCCTCTTATCTTATCCTCTGTACAAATATGATTATATGTTTATATTAGAAGGATTTAGAAAGTGAAATTTTGAATTATAGCATTACTGTTGGTAGAAGTAATGGCAGTGTCGGGAGGGGGGGGGGGGTTCCTGGTGAAATTTACGGTATGCCAATGTCAAATTAATAAAAAAGAGAAAACTATTCTTAATAATAAAAATTATACAGTACATGGGCCTCCTAACAAAAACCCTGGTACCACTGTTG